GAAGCAGTGACGGGCCCGAATGGGGTGCACCCGACCTCACGAGCAGCCTCGGCGGGGAGTGGGATCGACGACTGTAGATGGTGGGGTCTGACCAGCAGGTACCCTTCGGTGCGGTGGTGCTGGCGGTGGGCGAGGGGGGCGAGTGGGGGGGGTTGGAGGGTGAGGGTTGAGCGGGGGGATTGGGGGGGTGAGGGTGCCGCGGGGACGGTGTGTTGGGGGTTGAGCGGCACCAGGGGTTGTTGGGGTTGGTGGTGGTTTTGATTCGGATTGTTTTGGTTGTGCGCGCGGGGGTGGTGAAGGCGGGGTGGCCGAGGGTTTGGATGTCGATGACGTAGGTTGTGTTTTGGGGTTGGAGATGGACGGTGAGGAGGGTGAGCGTGCCGTGCCGTGAGAGGTTGTCGCCCTCGAGGTCGATGTACAAGGTCGTGCCCGGGGCGATCTCGACCAAGACTTGGAGAACGGGAAGGGCCGAGATGATGACCGCCGGGGGCATGTGTCCGCGGCGGGCTGTAGATGGCGGATCGTGCATTGTTGTGGTTGTTCGGTTGGATGGTTGTGTTTTTCCAACGGATTGTGAGAATTATGGTTGGAATGGAAGAGAGAAGTACAGGAAGACATCATAGTTATAGAGGACTGTCACTAAGATGTTTGTGGTGTTCCACACTTGATGAAGTCCGGAGAACACACGAGATGTTGTGATGTAAACAATGGTATCTCAGGGCCCTGGGCCTGGGTGATAGTCATATCTTAAGTCGCCTGGCATATGGCCTGACATGCCAATGCCTGCCCCACGATGACGATGTCCTCCATTGTCCTGGGATCCCTGGCCAAGACAAAAAGGCGAGTCGCGTTTGACACTATGTGGTGAATACATGTCGTTTTGTTGGGTATTGTTTCACCAAAGACAACTAGACCTTTGTGTACAGAGGCAATTGACCGGCGACTGCTTTCCCTCTACACCGGCGGCCAGCAGGCTCAGCAGCCTTCCGATCTTATCGCTGTCTCTGCGGTTACCCGGCGATGCCCCACTAGCCGGCAGCCATATTGATCTCTGTATCGTAATGCTTTCGTCTCCTAGTGAGCGAACCTCCCCCTAATGGGCTTGGAGGTTCTGAGCCTTCTAAGCTTTTGGCTAACCACTTGATTATCTTCTAGTTTGAGATTAACAAGGCAGTTTCCGGGTTGCCGAGTTTCAAGCGTTATTAGAGATAAAGACTATACGTGATATTTTAATAATAGTGCTGGAATAAATACCTGGGCAAAGCCCTCTTTACCTTTGTTTCATATGGATTATCTGATCAGTGCCACCCCGCGGGTGAACATGATTTGTTCCGGCAACAACTAGAGCTGCCGCTGCAACATGGCTTGGCATCGATGCAGATGATGTCGTCTCCAACACCTATTGGCTGCGCCATGATGATCCTGCTGGATGTCAGCTGGCTGAAGATGCATGACACCGCAGTTGGCAGAGCTCGTCGAGGTTCGGTAGCAGTGGGAACCCCCTCGAACCCTATCTGCTCTGGCCGAAGGGCCCTGCATCCTACGGGGTGAGGACAACCACCTTTTTATTGGGAAGAAGAACGGGCCTGGCGACCCAGACCCCAACCCAAAGAGCCGCCGTTGCCGGCATGGTCGCATTCAGGTATCACCAGACGGTCCTGATTCGGGAGACTAGCGGCACTCGCCCACCCTCCAACTACGCCCGTCGGACCACTAGGACGGCTCCGAGAGAGCTGCAAGTCATGCAAGAGCGGTCGTTGCAGCCTAATGCCGAATAAAAGGATAAGGCAATGGGTAAGGGCTCATCTGGTGGCCTCGAACAAGCTCCACGATGATAGGCTCCCTGATATGGCGTGCATCCGCGAGGGTGGTCTCAAGACGGGATCATCTTGGCAGTCGAACGAGTCAATCAAGTCCTACGATACTCCCGCATAAAGCGCCCCGAAGTCCCTGGACAGCCTTACCGCCCGCCTTTACCCGTGATCTCTCACCGTCATGCGTTCTCATCCAAACTCTCCGCCCGCCAGCCCGCCACGACCATGGAGGTGACAACACCAACACCACCAACTCCCCATCTCCAAGCCCGCACGCGCATCATCACCCAAACCATCACGCGCCCCTTCACCACCATCACCGCGCTCGTCACCCTCGGCGGCGACAGCCCCGAACTGACCACCAACAACCCCCCACCCTCCCCAACACCACCACCACCACCGCCCGCACCCACCAACCAACAACTCGCCCCCGCCGCCCCGCCCTCCGCCCTAACCCCCTCCCAACTCGGCGCAGTGCTCGGCTCCGTCCTCGGCCTCGCCACGCTCATCCTCCTCATCTGCTGCATCCTCTCGCTGCAGCGGCGCAAGCGGCGCCTCGAGCGCCAGCAGAACGATCGGTATTACTATTACGACGATGGGGATGAGGACGAGGACGAGGAGATGCGGGAGCGCGGCCGGTGGCATTCGCGGAGCGGGAGGGGATCGTGGACCACCGTGCCGCCGCCGGTGAGGTTCCCGCCGACGCCGAGGTATACGACGTATTCGCAGACGAGGGAGAGGCAGATTGGGGGGGTGGGGCGGTATCCTTGAGGGGGGGTGGTATCTCTGGAAGAGGGCTGGTAGTTGAGGGGAAGGGGTGAGGGTGTGTTGAGGGTCGTGGTGGGACGAGGGATGGGGATGGGAGGCTTTGTTGTTGGTCGGGTGTGGTGCATTGCGGGGGGGTTATGATGAGTTGAACCATATCTACATACCCATACATCAGTTAGCCACTTCGCTTCCGACCCTTTGTTCAAAGGCTTGGGGTAACTCCTTGCTCACCCAATCTCATATCCTTTCCTACACTTGCCTGAGATTATATGCGTATAAACCGTCTTGATACCTTACGGAGCTAATCGAACATGGGCTACGTCTGTGCTTGCCAATCATGCATACGGTGGGCAATATAAACAATAAACTACGTAAACGCCTTTGATACCCCCGGCGATCCACAGCGAAACCCCTGAGAAGTCGTCCTGGTTAAGATTCGTTTTGGTAACGAGAGCTACGTATGCTAGACAGGGTGATAACAGACGGTGGCTTTGGAATTGGATAAATAATTTGTCTTCTTATAGCAGACTCCTAACGCATTTCTCGCACTCCGTTATATTACTGCAACAAATAGACTGCCATCTTCACGGGCGCGGCTTGCAGCCCGGGCCGGGCTTTGGCTCCACCTGCTGCGTGAGCAAGGCCAGACGCCACGGCAGCGCGTTGTACTCGCCCTCGTCCTTGGCGGGATCCAGACCCTGGTACAGGAACCGCAGCGGCTCCGACACATCAATGGTCAGAGTCTGATCGGTCAGGCTCCGGATGACCTCGCCGTGGCTGATGCTGCGGGTCCAGGCCTCGCCGTTCTCAAACTCGACGTTGTTGGCGCGCGCAAAGGGGTTCTCCTCGGTGTCGGCCAGCGGCTCCCACTTGCCGTCGATCTTGTCGGACGTCCACGAGCGGAAGTAGCGCTGCGAGTCGGTGCCGATGGCCTCGATCAGCATCAGGTACTGCTGCTTGCCCTTGCCGCCCTTGACGGCGTAGACGCAGGCGGCCTCGAACAGCTTATAGCGGTCCGGGTCCTCCATGGCGATGACGGGCTCGCTCATGCCCTCGGGGAAGTCGGCGATTGCCGTGTCAGACCGGTACAGGTGGCCGTTGTCGTCGGACGAGAAGAGATGGCAGCGCTTCTTGTCACAGATGACCCACATGTCCACCCAGTAGTAGGGGCCGATGTTGTCATTGATGATCTGCGGGCGGGCCGTGTAGAAGGTCTTGGGGGCCGTCCAGCCGGCGGGGTTGCTGATATCCGGGTTGGTCGAGTAGGCCGCGTTGTCGTTCTGGTAGACGAGGTACCACAGCTTCTGCGGCGCAAAGTAGAAGACCTGCGGGGCCGCGCGGTAGCCAACGCCCAGGGGCGCCTGGTCGAGGTAGTAGTAGTCGGCCGAGCCGGCCTCGTCGAAGGAGGTGAAGTTGAGGTACATCATGTTGTAGCCCTCGGCCTTGGCCGTGCTGGCGAAGACGTGGTAGGTGCCATCGATCTCGATGATGGTGGGGTCCTTGAGGCCCGCGAGGTCGCGGCCGTCATCCTTAGGGCCGATCAAGGGGCCGGTGGAAGTCCACTTGAATTTGTTGGGCAGGACTGCGGGTTTGGCGGGTTTGCGGGCGGCGAGAGCGGAGGTTGAGGAGTCAGAGGTGGGCATGGCGCAGACGACGCCAGCCCAGAAGGCGGCGACGGCGACAGAAAGAGACCGCATGTTGGGTGGTGCGCTACTTCGCCGGAGGTTTAGAAACACAACACATGGGCGAGGTTACCCTGAGGCGCTGGCTGCCTTATAAGTCATGACTGATGGATGCCGAGAAACACAACTGGCAAATTGCCGATCTCAGCCCCCGGAGGCCGTGTCAGTCGGCGCCGTCCGGTTAAACGCGCCGGCCCCCAATCGGATATCATCATGGCCGCGTCGATTGCCAAAATTGGAAGATGATGCTGAGGCCAAGGAAGTGTACCGCGCGCTAGGAGACAACCCATGGTTCTTGGTGAGGAGAAGGGCTAGCCAAGAAACATCGTGGAGGCTGGGGCCGGTGGTTTAACCTGGTTCTTGGGTGGTTTATGCAAGGGGCGTCTAGCGAGAAAGTCTTGGGGGCCCTGGGAATCGTACCTTAATGACGGGAGATTTGGATGGCAAGCAGATCATTGGAGCGCATCCCCGGGATTTGTGACGTTGTCTAGAACCGTCTCTCGCATTCAACCGGCCTGTATGGGGCGGATGTCCACCGTTGTGCGGGGAGAAACGGCGTCCGTACAAATAGCCGGCGGGACCTCCCTTCCGGGACCAGGATAGGGCCCGCTCGTCACGGCAAGCGATCGGGTTGGCGTCTCTAGCTCCTTCGTTTACCTGCGCTTGCCCGGCCTTGGAAGCTTAGACCGGTCTGGAGGAACGGTTGAATATGCGCCTCTCGAGCGGTTTCTTCGCCGCCGTGTCGGTCCTGACCGCATGGCTGGCAGTCCCGGTTCTCGGTTCCCCGGCGGTTAGCTATGACAACTCGCTCGTCCAGCAGCGTGCAGACCCGCACATCGTCAAGCACACCGACGGGTGGTACTACTTCACGGCGACGGTCCCTGAGTTCGACCGCATCGTCCTCCGCCGGGCGCAGTCCATCCAGGCGCTCAAGGATGCTTCCGAGACGACCATCTGGCGGCGCAAGTCGTCTGGAGTCGGCAGCGGGCAGGTGTGGGCACCGGAACTGCACTTCATCGACGGCAAATGGTACATCTATGTGGCGTTAGGGGTGGCCAACCAGTGGCGCATCCGGGCGTTTGTGCTCGAAGGCACGGGCAGTAACCCGCTCGCGGCGAGCTGGACGGAAAAGGGCCTCATCAAAACCAACTGGGACACCTTCTCGCTGGACGCGTCCACGTTTGTGGCCAACGGCACACGGTACCTAATCTGGGCGCAGCAGGAACCATCACGGACAGACGAAAACTCGAGCATTATGATCGCGCCGCTCCAAAACCCCTGGACAATCCGCGGCACGGCCATCGCCATCTCCCGGCCGACCCTGTCATGGGAGCGCATCGGATACAAGGTCAACGAAGGCCCCTACGTGATCCAGCGCAACGGCAAGATCTTCCTGACGTACTCGGCCAGCGCGATCGACTACAACTACTGCATGGGCCTGCTGACGGCGACGGCGGGAACGGACTTGCTGAACCCGGCGTCGTGGAGCAAGTCGCAGAACCCCATCTTCACCAGCAACGCCAACACCAACCAGTGGGGGCCGGGCCACAACTCCTTCACCGTGTCCGAGGACGGGCTGAGCGACGTCATGGTGTACCACGACCGCGGGTACCGCGACATCAACGGCGACCCGCTCAACGACCCCAACCGGCGCACGCGGGTGCAGAAGCTCTACTGGAAGGCCGACGGGACACCCGACTTCGGTGTGCCCGTACCTGAAGGGGACACGCCGGTCCGGCTGCGGGCTGCGTCGGGTGGGTACGTGCGGTACTACACCGGGAGCGGGAACCCGTCGGGTACGGCGGCACTGGCCGATACGCAGTTCCGGATTGTGAACCCGGGGTTGGCGGGCGGGAGTACGGTTAGCCTGGAGTCGACGAGCAACCCGGGGTTGTTTATGCGTCGGGTGGACGGTGGCAGGGTGCAGTTTGAGAGAAGCAGTGCGTTGACCTCGGCTGCGTCCAAGGCATCGGCGAGCTTTAACCTCGTCGAGGGGCTTGTCGACAGCCAGGTTATCTCATTGGAGGCATCGGATGCCCAGAACCAGGTTCTCGGGCTGGAAAATACCGGGAGGCTTGTGGTGGTGTCGGCGGAAAGCACACAGGCGCAGACGACGTTTTTTCTAGAGTGAGAACGGCGATGAACTGCCAGAGACAGGTACCTAGGTGCTTATACCTTCAAGCGTCTGGCATGGTTCTGGCTTATTTTTGCCATGTTGCGGGTGAAAAAGAAGTTGGTACAAAGTAGTAAAATACTAGAGGCTGTACATACCTGGCATACCTGTGAAATCGGAATAATCAATTCCAACCCCGTCTCCGTCTTGGGACCGATCCGGGCAGCTCCGGGTCCCGATGATGAGTGAATTAGCCTTCAAGTTGACTTGAAACCTTAACGGAAGGTGAAATCACGGAAGAGAGCGGCTTTGACGGTCTGCATCGGGGTTTGGATGGGCAAGCTCGGAGGAATCCCGGTTACCCCGCATCCGATCAACCCCCGGAGCGGGTCTTGCGGGGCGACCGCCAAGGCGCGGAAATCCTCGGCTCAGCTCCACGGCTTGGTGCGGAGGAGCCTCGGTTTGATACATAAAACGAGCCATCGACGATGAAATGGCCTTAACTATGAGATGAATTGATGAGACGAGGTCCAAATAGGGAACACTGATATAAATATCTCGAAATGACAGAAATTTGGCTCATCAATGCCAACCGAGGCAGTTCCACTTAGCGGTTCACACACACTCCCTCCGCTGATTCCACACTGCTGTCATGCGGGGAATGCGGAGGCAAGTTGGATAAGGTAAGACGGCCGGCCATGTTCGGCAACCAACAGAGCGCTGCACAAATAGCTGCATCTCTCTTGACACGAACTTGCAATAGCAGCCAGCCATTTGTTAATTACCAAAGCAAGCCAAGTGACGGTTGGCCCGGCCCTGGCCGTAGCGTATTGTTAGGTAACCCAATTTCAAGGGATCAAGGTCACTTGACGTCTGTGCCGTCATCAGAGGACAAACGCGACAGGGACCCGGGGCTTAAGCCGAGACCACTTACACACTTACACCGGCAATGACCGCCCAATAAATACGGACAGCCAATGGTCGATGCGTCTTTCCTTTGAGTTGGCTTTGTTTGACTTACATCACATTGGGGAACCACTTTCTCGAATTCAACCAAGCCTATCTCAGGTACCGTGACCGCTCAAGCCCACATCTTCCCATATCTGCGCTGTCAAACCCCTGAGACATCGGAAGCGGAGTTCGGGAGCAAGGGACCAGACACCCAAGCACATTTCTAAATTCTCAAAAACACCCAAGGGAAACGACGTCCGGTTCTTCGCTTATCGGCTTTACCTTTGCACGAGACCACCATCCAGAATCCAGAACCCGGCTGTCGGGAACCCACCCTGCCATCTCGAACACCCTCCCCGCATCCCCTTATCCCATTTGCCGCGATGCCACCCTTGTTTCGGGCAACCCCACCCCGGGCAACCACTGCCACTCGCGTCCTCCAGGGACACCACCGTCATACCGCTGCGGCAGCCGTGACCGGGATTAACCGTTCGAGAGCGCCCCGGTTCATCTCATCGTCCGCCCGGCTCAACGACGGCAGTGCATCCAACAACTCAATAAATCAGGGGAACGCCACTCTTCCGCGTTCACCATCCACCCCTCTGGTTTCGTCAAACCCCTTGACCAACATCAACACCACCACCGCCGCCGTCACTTCTAACACCCTTTCCTCCACCACTGCCCCCGTCTCGCAAACCCGCTGGTCGTCCACATCCGCAACCAACGCCCCCAAGATGTACACCACGTCGTTCGCCTTCTTCGAGGCGCTATGGGACGCCGGCGTGGAGTATGTCTTTGTCAACCTGGGCTCCGACCACCCCAGCATCATCGAGGCCATGGTCAAGGGCTCCCGCGAAAAGAAGGGCCAGTTCCCGCGCATCATCACCTGCCCCAACGAGGTGAGTCCACTCTCCCCCCCCCCCCCCCCCCACACCCCTTTATCAACCAACCCCTTACACCCCACCCCCCACACACAAACTAACCCCCCCCCAGAGGGGGGGCCATGTTCATGGCAAAAGGTTACGCGCGCCTGAACAACAAACCGCAAGCCGTGATCGTGCACGTCGACGTCGGGACCCAAGGGCTTGGGGCAGCCGTGCACAACGCGAGCGCGGGACGCGCGCCACGTGCTCGTGTTCGCGGGCATCTCGCCCATCACGCAGGAAAGGGGAGCTGCGCGGCTCGCGCACCGGAGTTCATCCACTGGATTCCAGGACGGTGCCCGACCTAGAAGCAGATCGGCGCGCAGTACTGCCGCTATGCGGCCGAGCTAGAAAGACGGGGGTCAATGTCAAGCAGATGGTGAATCGCGCGCTGCAGTTTGCGCGGTCGGGGCCGCAGGGGCCGGTGTATTTGTGTGGGTCGAGGGAGGTCATGGAGATGGAGATGGAGCCGTATGAGATTCGCCAGGAGGAGTGGGAGCCCGTGGAGCTGGGGGGGTTGCCGGCGGGCGCGGTGCGCAGGATTGCCGAGGCGTTGGCGGGGGCTAAGGAGCCGTTGCTGGTCACGGGGTATGGCGGGCGGAATCAGGCGATGCCGGCGGCGTTGGTGGAGTTGGCGAATACGGTGAAGGGGTTGCGGGTGTTGGATACGGGCGGTAGTGATATGTGCTTCCCGGCGGACCACCCGGCGTGGTTGGGGCTGAGGTATGGCGTGGAGGCTGCGGTCACGACGGCGGATGCGATCGTTGTTCTGGACTGCGACGTCCCCTGGATCACGACGCAGTGCAAGCCGAAGGCCGACGCCAAGATCTTCCACATCGATGTCGATCCGCTGAAGCAGGTCATGCCGCTGTATTACATCGCTGCGCAGCATCGGTACCGCGCGGATGGGTTGACGAGCGTGGAGCAGATCACGGCGCTGCTGCAGAAGGATGAGGGGTTGAAGGCGCAGTTGTCGAGCGCCGAGAGCGACAAGAGGTGGGCGGCCATGGAGGAGTCTTACAAGAAGCATTTGGAGACGATCGCGGTCCGGTCCAAGCCGCTCGAGAATGGCGAGTTTGGGACGAGCCACCTGTGCGCGAAGCTAAAGGAATTGTGCCCCGAGGACACCATCTGGGCCATCGAGGCCGTCACCAACACACTGTTTGTGCACGAAAGCCTCCAGCCAAAGCTGCCGGGGCAGTGGATCAACTGCGGCGGCGGCGGTCTCGGCTGGTCCGGTGGTGGCGCCCTTGGTATCAAGCTAGCGACGGACCATGAGGCGAAGCTCAAGGGTGAAAAGGGCAAGTTTGTGGTACAGATCGTGGGTGATGGCAGTTACCTCTTTTCGGTACCAGGGAGCGTGTACTGGATCGCCAAGCGGTACAACATCCCCATCTTGACTATCGTACTGAACAACAAGGGTAAGTAACGGCTTGTCTGGGTTCCTGCATGAGACTTACTAAAAATTGCAGGCTGGAACGCGCCACGCAAGTCCCTCCTCCTCGTCCACCCCGAAGGACTCGGGTCGCAAGCGAGCAACGAGGAGATCAACATCTCCTTCGACCCATCCCCGGATTATGCCGGCATCGCAAAGGCCGCTGCCGGAGGGGACATCCACGCCGCCAAGGTTGATAAGGCGGCTGACCTGGAACGGGTACTCAAGGAGGCCATCGAGGTCGTCCAGGGGGGGCAGACTGCGGTGCTTGACTGCAAGGTTTCCATGGGCTGCTAGGCGGACGTGTATGTATGTTACCGCATGGGTGCGAGCATTCATTTCGAGAATTCGAGAAGCAAACAAACACGTTTACTGGTGCGTTCGGAGGCAGTCCGTTTGCTGTTGCAGCTTGCGCTGCCTCCGCTCGCTCTGAGCCAACGAGGAGGGGAAGGCTCAAAATTCCGTTGAGGCCTACCGCGCGCCTGTGTAACACCCCAGGACGTGATGAGAGTTATTGCTTTGTGTGAAGTCGGGGTTTAAAGCGTGTGCCGTCGCCGGGTTTGGCGTTGATACGTTCGCTTTTCTAATACCAAGCGGACACCATAAACCACAATCCCTTCTTCACAAGGCAACTTTGCTTCCAACTCTCGTCAACAGTGAGCCATGGCCGACACGTCTGCACCGGAAACCCCTGTCACTGCCCCTGATGGCTATACCAAGCCGCGAGTAACGACTAAGACGATCATCCATGAATACCTCCTAGAACGTCTCCCCGTCTATGGTGAGCTTCGTGAGCTCCAGAGACAGGTAGTCCTTGGCCGTTCCCTCTTCCTAAACTACCCCTAACAGTAACTCTCAGGGCTGGGAGAGCGAAACGGGAGATAGCCACTTCCAACAACAGCGCCAGCGTGCAGACTACGCCGATGCCAGAACGAAGATCACCTTCTTCAACCTGATGCGTGACATCGGCTTCGAACTCGACAAGGCCACCTCCGCCCTGACCATTGATCATGACGCCGACACTCGCCCGGCCATTCTGGACCTCTGCATGGCCCCCGGCGGTTTTGCAGCGGCCGCCCTGCAGCGCAACCCGTCCGCCCTCCTCCGTGGCATTAGCCTGCCGCGCGAGCTGGGTGGCCATGAGATGTTGCTCCGCACGTATTCCTCCACCGACCCCAACGCCGACACCTACATCTCGTTCCGGGACATCACACTGCTGGCCGAGGAGATGGGCACCCCGCTGTCAAGCATCCCGGCCTCGCATCCCGATGCGGCGTCTTTCTCAGCCGACCGTCCCTTCCTTGACCAAAAGTTTGACCTCATCTTTTGCGACGGCCAGGTCCTGCGCACGCACGAGCGGCCCGAGTGTACGTTCCCTTCTGACCCGCCCCTCCGCCTTCAAGCAACCCACTTCTCCTACACTCCTCTGCCTCCACCCCCTTATCCCTCCCGTCTTCAACCCTCAACCATCCCCCACACCTGGCCCCCAACTCCCTAACACCCACCCAACCACCGCCCCAAACCACAACCCCCCCTAACTAACTCAAATAAAACACAGACCGCCTCCACAACGAACCCACCCGCCTCCTCACCACCCAACTCACCCTCGCCCTAACCCGCCTCCGCCCCCACGGCACGCTGGTCATCCTCCTGCACAAAGCCGATGCCTGGCCCACCGTGCAGCTGATCCACACCCTGTGGCAGCTGGTCCCCAGCGGTGGATTGGTGCTGTACAAGCCGCGGCGGGCGCACAAGACGCGGTCGTCGTTTTATCTTGTTGCGAGGGGGGTGAGGGTGCAGGGGGGGGATGTGGAGGGGGTGGTGGAGGGGTGGAGGCGGAGGTGGATGGGGGCGACGTTTTGGGGGGGTGGGGGTGGGGATGGGAAGGGTGAGGAGGGTTGTGTTCGGGAGGGGGAGGGTAAGGGGGATGGGATTGGGGGTGGTGGTGGTGAGGGTCGTGATGGTGATGGTGATGGTGATGGTGATGGTGGGGAGGATGGCGAGCGTGGGAGGCGTGGGTGGGAAAAGGAGTGCAGGGCGGTGTTGGACGAGTTTGGGGAGACGTTGGCCAAGTTGGCGGAGCCTGTGTTTGCGGTGCAGGCGGAGGCGTTGAGAAAGGCGCCTTGGATGAAGAATGTTGGCACTGCTTGGGGAGGAAAGGCGGGCGTGAAACGTGAATAGCACCAGACCGCTACATACAATATCAGCAGCACGAGAATTGAGTAACACACTAAACACACTACCTGTCCTTGGCAACTCCGTCCCCAACCCCCACCCTACCGCTATCTAGTTATTAATCTGTATCTTCCCAAGCCACTTGCTGATGTAGTCCGCATCCCCCGTCGTGATCCGCTCCGAGTATGTGTTCGAGTCGTTGGGTTTCTTCCCCGACACCTTGTCCTGCAGTACCCGCAGCAACGCCACGTAGATGCGCTTCTTCATCTCATCCAAATTGCTATTCCACTCCGCCTTTGCACGATCGACGGCCACCGGGTCCTTGCCCTCGACATAGATGTCCGGCAGTCTCCAGTTGAGATACGTGTTGGGGTGGCCAGGGCGGAAGCGGACCGGTGTAGAGATAATGTCGAAGTAGTCTGTACACAGTTTGCAGACTGGCTTGCTGGTGCCGATGTACTGCCAGCCGTTGAAGAAACGGTACGACTGTGTGCCGCCTTCGGTGCGTGACAGCCACTCGTGCAGGAGCATCTCTGCGTGTACAATAGGCTCCAGCTTGCGGTCCCATTGTTCTGCCAGCTTGGCGTTCAGGTCGTAAACCTGGAGTTCTGCGGCGTGTTGCCTGTAGGCTTTCCTCTGCGCTTTGGTTGCATTGGGAGCGCGGTTGAGGATGTCTTCGACCGTCTCGGGGCTGAGTGTTCCCGCCTTTGCATTTGGCAGGCTCGAACGGACAGTCTCGATGTCAAAGTCGCGGAACAGATCCGTCTCGGCCCAGATGTGGCGGGCATTCACAAGCGAATGCGCAGCGTACCGATAAGACAGGAGGCGTCCTGCACTGTGCTGGAGGGCGGACCAGCAGCCACCTTTGGCCATGGTGTCGTCGGCAACGGCGCCAGCTTCGATATACCTCCATGTTGGCAGCTGTGATTCTCGGGATGTCTGGATTGCTGCAATAAGTCGCATTGTCGATTCGATGTCTGTTATTTTGTCGAACTTCGTTAGCAATCCCGCGCAAGTTGCCTGCTCACTGGGAAACTGATCTACTCACAACTATCACTCTTTTGGCCATCCTTGACCTTTGGGAGAAAGGCCGCCAATCTCTGCAATTCTTGTTTCGCATTGTTCCCTGTTGATGGCCACCTGTCAATCAGGGCTGCTGGGCGGTCCGGGCGAGAGTTGCTTAGGTAGTCGTACCTTGCTCGGTGGTGTCACACTTTGCGATGCATTTCTGCAACTCCTTCTCTAACGAGGTGAGGTAGGATCTGGCGCGGACCATGTTCCAAGTTAGAATCTCTCGCATCAGACGTTTTTCCATCACTTCGTCCGAGTCGTCTGTCCTTTTCTCCACGCTGTCCTTGAGAATATTGAGAACGGCTTGGAGCCCGGCTCGGGCGTTTTTCATGGCGCCGGTACCCCTGCGGTTAGACGCCAAAACATAGCACAACCGACCATTATGGATGATCACGGCCAGTGCAGAGACGGTGTTGCCCTTGGGCTCGAAATCACAAATCTGGGCCAGCTTGTTGACCAGCGTTTGGAACCTCTCTTCCGGAGACTGGTGCTCGTTTTGAGGGCCATCGGATGGTGTTCGGCGGGATCCTCGAGGACAGACTTGGTTCAGGCTGTCGAGAAGAAATAGAGGCGGGTAAAACTCGTGTCGTAATGTGCTCTGCTGGTTCTTATTGAGCTCTTCTCGTTTTCCAGGAAAGTCTAGCACCGCTGCCAAGGGGTATCACCGTTTCAGCTCGTGCCGGAGAAGCGAAGCCCGGGGACAAGGACCGCTTACCCATGATACCGCCTGCGCCGGCTTTTTACTAGTCTTGATAGATTAGTTTATCCAGGTGGATGGGTGAGGAGAACGAAGCGAAGGGCGGCCGGAACCTCAGTCACAAAACGGAACGACACAAAGTGACAAAGCTACATGGCATGCACAGACAACAATATCCCGTGGATGGGGCAGATGCCTTGGCAACATGTTAATGCCCGGGTCCTATGGGAAACATGCGGGAGGTCTATAGCAATTGTGAATCTTGTCAATCAGGCCCCCAGCAGATGGGTCGGTTGGGACCACATGGTGCCCAGTTGGCCAATCCGGTGACGCCGGAGGATGCTGTGCAACCTGCGTGGGCCAATAACGCAACTGTGACCTGCCTTCTCGACCTCCTTGCGTCCATGGCTCACTACTATTGGATGCCTTGGAGGCAGTTGGCACAGCTTTGACGGATCTGCCCAACGGAGGCAGTCAGGCAGAACGACACGCTGGGCCCACACCTTCGGGGTCAGAGTTTTGCCGCTGGCTGGCCTCACACCCTTGGTACCTCTGCGTTTGTATTTTCAGTAAACTGCGGCTCCTTTTAAACCGCAAAGATACGGCCGCACTTTCTGCTGCAGAGGAGAGCCCGGTGGGCCCTTTCGCCTTCAACGAGGTAACTTAGACAGTTGGACCCTCTCCTGCATGCGTGAACAACTCCGACGAACACTTCCATGGACGACGAAGAGTACTATGGGGGGCAGCTCCAGGGTAAGTGAACGCCTAGTAATTTTGGGATACCGTTTAAAATCCCTCGAGATGGGTCTGACGAGAAAAGGATGTGCCACCCCTGGTCTAACGTCGGAGCTTGGCCCGTTCCTCGATCCCGGACTGGTTATCAACGGTAAGATTGGCCTGCGGGTTGCCCCATCCGCTGTCTCGGGATATTGTGGACTGACGTGGAGGTGAAGGTTACAGCATCCAAAACCAACCGACGGTCGATCCGCAAGACACCATCGTCGCCGGGGGTTCTAGGCTAGCCGTAGGCCTCACTATCGAAACGGACCAGCACGAGGACCCCACGCCGAGTTACGCGACGGGGTACCTCTGTGGGAACACGGCAACATATTTCGTGGGACACGAGGGCATTGCTGCGGCAGAACATGTCTCCCAGGCCATGGCAGACGTGACCTCGCCCAATATCTGGCCCGTTCAAGAGATGGGGTATCCTGGCACCCCGTTTCTTTCAGCAGAATACGGCCCTCATACGGTAGAGGACGAGACCCAGACGGCCTCAGCGCATATCGGAAACCAAGTTGCGCCGCATTAGTCGGACAACTCGTTACCGCAGCATTTCGAGGGTCCACCCCGGCCTTTCGAGGTGTCGCAGTCCGGTTTCTCTTTGTGCTCTTTGTCCGCTGAACAGTCGTCCATCGAAATTCCAATTTCCTATCCATCGGCCGAAAACGATTTCCTATCAACAATAGTTACAGACCAGTCATCAAGCTCGAGTCCTTCGCCGCCATCCTCTCCGCTGAGTAGCCATATCGAGCCCGGGGGAGACATCGTTTGTACGGAAGGTAAATGTGCGCAGAATCCCCAGCGATTTCGCAGACCTGGGGATTACAAGTAAGTTGCCCCACCAACTACTCAGCTTTATGAGGCCCTGCAAGGCTGACATCAACAGCATGCACACGAAGAGACATAGACTCCCCTACAAATGTACTTTTGCTGGCTGTCGCTGGGGTCAACGGGGCAAGGGATTCTCTCAACGCCGCGAGTTGGAGAAACACGAGAAGACTCACCTGGCTGGTCTGTCCTTTTCTTGCCCGGTCAAGAGCTGTTCTAGCAGCGCCACGAGGGAAGATAACCTGGTCCGGCATCTAAAGAAGACACACGGTATCAAGGCCAAGAAGGCGGACATTGCCAGTTTGTACAGAAGATAGCTCCGTTGGGACTAGTTAGGTGAACACTCAGAGGATGGTAGACGGACGGACTCCTTGGTTCTGTAATTGCGACAAGTGAACAAACATCGTTTCCCAAGTGTGCCTGTTTCCAAGTTACCCCTAACCCTCGTCATTGAAGCGGGTCGGTTTCTGGGCCGCGCCGTCGGACATCACTCGTGACCAAATGCCGTAAAGTTGCCACACGAAGGCCTGGCCAACTTAAGGTCATTGGCTTGATTGGGTAATGGGAAGGAGTGGTATTATTTGATGGCAAAAATCGGAGATCATTGAATAGTCGCGCGGCTCGCTTGCAATGCCTCGAGTCCTGGTGGCGGCTGGAGTCAGCCACAAAGTGGAACGCACGTGAGGGGGAATTTGGGAATTTGGGGGAATCAGCTGTTGTGTCTTGGCTCGGGGTCGCTTAGTCACTCCCACGCTCAAGAGAAGCACAGGCCATGAGGGGTACAACCATTGACCTGGAAGAGCACGCGCGCGGATGTTTTTGCCCCGCCATTGATCTCGGGCTATCTGCGATATCCGATATCTATCCGATTCGACAAGGGAAAGGAACCACATAACTTTGGGAACATTAGCGAAGGTGCGAGATCATCTCTCGCCTCGACGGCGGCGTTCAGGCCAATCCGACGGCCTGGGACGCATGGCTAGGAACGAGACGGACCCCATTTCCCACGCGCCAATTTGCCCCTCTTGACCCGCCGCAACTCCACCGATCGAGACGACAGCAAAAAAAAACAAAAAAAAAAAAAAACAAAGGCAGTCACGCATTCGAGCACGAGACCATGAGATTGGAGTCGAGACCCGACGGGAGACACGAATTCGTGGAGACGCTTGGCCGGCTTGGTCACGCTCAAGGCCGTGTGAGTCCCGTGAAAACACCGGTCGAACCTCGGACCCGCGGAAAGTCACCACAACTCGACCGACAGTGCCCAAGGTGTCCTAGGCACGCTGCGCACGCCAGGCACACTGCCTAGGCACCATTTCAAGTCTTTCATCCCGAGACGAAGCTTCGCATTCCTCCGACACACACACACACAAACTGCCAAATTCATTGTTTTCGACATGGCCCAAGAACAATTCGCCGAGCAATCGACATCTGGTCGTGAGAATGGCAACGGCCACGAGTCGAGCCCCCTACATTCTCCGTCGCCCGCGCGTGCCCCATCAGCCGATCCCGAGCTACAAGGCCACGCCCGTCCCGACCACGCGCTTTCTCCGGCTACCGTAGATCATGGCGACGAAACATTCAAGGTCTCGGCCGAAGCCGCCCTCAAGCTCCTTAGTGCAGGAATCGAGGCGCTGGTCAGCATGACGGGAGACATCCCCCCGACACCGCCTCCCATGAGCCCGACAATACCACACATGAGGGGAATGGACGCAGAGAAGATCAATATTGTACGCTCGAACTCGGAGAAGAACCTAGCCCGGCTGGCCCAACGGAGCAGCGCGGCGACCTCGCCCATGCCGGGGCGCTCTCCCCTTCAGCACGTTCAGTCTGCCTCCGACGCGGCGGAAACACTAACCACAACTTCACAGCCGCAGGAAGTTGACGGCGTGCGCCTACGCACAACGAATCCCGCACCAGCCGCCGCACCGGGCCACATCACGTGTCACCTCACCACGGACGCCCCCGCCGTCCAATCCCCCGCAAACGCAATCCCCACAACCGCTCGTACCGTACATTATCGTGAGAGATAACTCGCAACCGCTAAACCTCCAGCACAGCGCCATCACCCGCAAGTTTTACTGCCCGAGTGCCACCCCCAATCTCCGTGACCGAGTACCTATCACGCGTGCACAACTACTGCCCCTTGTCGGCGGCCGTCTACCTCGCCACATCGCTGTACATCCACCGGCTGGCCGTGCTGGAGCGCGCCATCGTCGTGACAAAACGCAACGCCCACCGGCTGGTGCTGGCCGGGCTGAGAGTAGCCATGAAGGCGCTGGAGGATACGTACTACTCGCACGACGTCATTGCGCGCGTCGGGGGGATAAGCGGGAAGGAGCTGGGGCGGCTGGAGATCAGTTTCTGTTTCCTGACCAGCTTCGACCTGGCGGTGGACGCGTCCATGTTGAAGCAGCACTGGGAGTTATTGCAGAAAGGCACCGAGTGTTGGAGCGTGTTGGAGGAGGAGCTGCGGCAGCAGGACCGCGGGTTTGTGTCGTTTGTGAAGGCACCCCCGGAGGGCGGCGCGGAGGCGCAGGCGTGAAGAGTGTGTTTTTAAAGTGATACCAATTTGTTTCAGTTCTGCACTTGCATGCGTCGGGGATTACAATGACGACCTTGCATGTCGGTACCCGATGGTAACCATGTGGTTCGGGCTGTACAAATCGAGTATGTAATTCCGAGGTCACAGTGCGGGGGCATGGACCTCATGGGTACCAAGAGGTGCAGTACTTTCTTTTCTACATTCCTATTTTTCCTATGTTTCATATGTCATATCTTTCATACTTTCTCTTACTTCCATATACGTGGGATGGCATGTATTTAAATAAAACCTCCGGGGCTCGGAGGCAGATAATCCATAGTTAATCTCAAGTCGTTCATTGAGCGGGGCTGCTTCAATGACGTGACTGTACATCGGTTAACTACCCTCTCAGTATAGGGCGTTCAAAGTGGGTGACAAAATAATCAAGCCACACAGACCACTCCCACAGAAAATTCATCCCCACCAAACCAGCAGTATCTTGAACATCACAGTCATTTGTAGTCCCAATTCTATCTAATTACCGCTCATTTTGCCATCAAGGTCTAATGTTTGCTGTAGGATTTTACAGTACCTTTTTTTATTTACATCGTGATTGACGACGTAATCGCGACCAAAAAAAAAGGAATCTACCCCTGAAGGTTGGTGTTGATCCTGCTGCAAATATTTTGTAGAAGAGCGGACCGCTAACCGCATTTAGTATGAAATGACCGGGTTCTGTGGCTCGATTATTTCGTCACCCACTTTGGGCGTGTTAATTTGCGGACACGATAATTTTATCGCTTCTCCCTCGGACAGAGGAATAACGACACGGCCAGCCATCTACAGTGTCAGTAGCCGCGTCCGGAGACTACGCTCCGCTTCAACAAGGTTCCGCCCTTGACCACACGTGCAGAAGCCGGCCTACCACGTCTGTAGACTGTGGCCAGTGAAGATTTCCTACCCCAACCGATCTCTATTCGCCTTAAGATATGCATGAGATCGGCTTAAACGTCATCGACAAGTTGCGATATTACACGATCTCCAGCCATCTTACTCTGGCACATCCGAATGATCCGACAAAGCATTGATGTTTAGGCCCTACACAAGTATTATCTTCTTATCGGCGATTGGCTGGAAGGTAATTGCTTATTCGAAGAATCGAATCCACCACACCACCAACCAAACGTTGCCCTCGAGCAACATGACGCCCCCTAGTACCTCAATAACGTCACTGCCTCGAATCATGACCACTCACACACTATAAGGTACCAATAGCATGTATGCCCGCCACAGTGTCGTCATGGAACGTGGGGCCCAACTCGCCCTCCTCTATGTATATATGGCTTCAATCTTCGTCCCGTCTCTGAAGTGGGAGAGCAAATCGAGCATCCCAACCCCCTCACCCCGCCCAACAAAAACAAAAACACCCATTACCTCTCAAAACCATGACCGAAGCAGCCCCTTACCAATCCGACGAGAAGCTCGGCGCCAACCTCCCTCGTGAGGCGCCCCCAGGCCAGGTCAACGATCCGTCCTACAAGACCCGCGGAACCGAGGCCGTGCCCGTGGTAGACGACGACGCCCCCGTGGACGATCCCATGAAGCCCGGTCGGGCGGATACGGATAAGCAGCTTGGTACGTTATGAATGCTTAGCATCTCACCGCCGTGGTTCACTTAACACACGCCCCACCTCATTGTCAATCAACCGGGAGAAGATACTGATGAACTTTTGTGCTGGTTGCAGAGCAGGATGAGCGCGAGGCGATTGATAAGAGCAATATCCTGGGGGAGAGGACGCGCAAGGCTAAGCCGCCGGGTACGTATGCGGAGCCGTCGGATGAGCAGATGATGGGCATGAAGAAGTGAGGGTTGTTTGGACGCGGTCGCATATGTACATGGTCACCCTTGACGTTAGCAGTGTGAATGATTGTTTGCGAGAACCAATAACAAATCATGCAGTTGTATATTGATTAGGTTGCCTTCCTGCCTGTATCCAATGCGGAGCACTTTGAACAGCCATGATAATATGATGGTATTGTTGGAAATGACGTTACGCCGGCTGTTGGCCTGACGTTCTTCTGGGACTCGTTCCGTTTTTACATTTCTAAATAGTAAGCGAAACGGTAATGAAGGATTAATGAGTGCACATTTAGCTGCTGGAAATGATCCTCTCGATCTCATCAGGGTCCTTGATCACGGTGGTCAGGTTGTCGGCACCACCCTTGGTAATAACCAGGTTGTCCTCAATGCTGCACCGAGTTAGCTACAGCACCATCCTCCAGAATAATCAACTTACCGGACGCCACCAACATCCCAATACTTCTCAAGGACCTTGGTGTCGATATACTTGGCATGCTTAGGATCCTTCAGGTACGGTTCAATGATGAAGCTGCAGAAGTAAATCCCCGGCTCAACCGTCACCACACTGCCCTCCGGAACCTTCCCCCTGACGCGCAGATACCGAAAAAGGGTGTCCGTGTCGGCGTAGTTGGGGTTGCCGCCGGTGTCGTGGGTGTCCATCCCGAGATAGTGTCCCAAGCCGTGGGGGAAGAAGGCCACACTCGTCCGATTTGCCAGGATCTCCTCCTTGTCACCCTTTAGAATGCCGAGTCCCAGCAAGCCATCGATGGCAACCTTGTGCGCCAGAAGGTGCACGTCGTCCCAGAGAACATCCTCTTTTAGCGCCGCGATACTCTCCAGCTGCATCCTGAGCACAATATCGTAGATAGCCCTGCTCTCCTTGGTGAATTTGCCGTTGATTGGGAATGTCCGAGTGACATCCGAGGCGTAGCAGTCCCACTCCGGACCGCCATCGAGTAGTAGGTTCAGCTTACCCGCCAGTGGCGCATTGTTGTGCACATAATGCAGTGTGGCACCAGCCCTGCCCGCAGCAAAGATGCCGTGGTACGACTGGTTGGGTGCACCGGCAGCGATGGACTGAGCAATGAACTCGGCTTCGAGCTCGCGCTCGTTCTTGGCATGCCTGACCTTCCTCATGACGGCGTGATGGGCGTCGGCGCCGATAGCGTTGGCTTTGGCCATCATGGCGAGCTCGAACTCATCCTTGACCACCCGGCTGACCTCGATGGCCTCCTTGAGTACGGCAAAGTTCTTGTTGTCGAAGCCGAGGAAGGTGACGTGATCTGAGACCTGGCCGGGGATGGCAAAGACGGTCGACTGGCTCTTCTGAGCACCAGAATGGGCCAACTCGGCATTAATCTCGGTAGTGTACTTGACCTCGTCCACGTCGAACCTTTGTAAGGCCTCCTCGGCGGAGACGGGCAAGCCGGACCAGATGACGCTCTCGGGGTCGATGGGAGGGATGAAGAGGGTGGTCTTGGCCGAGTCGATATCGTGGACCACGAATGAGTCGGCGAGCGGGCAACCGGTCAAGTAATAGAAGAAGCGGCGCTGACTGGGTTGTTGGTTTTAGCTGACGAGAAAGGCGCGAGGGCTTATGGGTCGCCATACCGAAACGGCTCAGGCTCGTCATTGTCCTCGAGCAACTTGGTCATGCGACTCTCGAGGTAGAGCACGCCGGTCGCATCGGGCACTTTGGTGCGGATGTAATCGACAACGCGCTTAGCATGTCGCTTGGCGGGGTATTTCCCCTGCAGAATGGTGTTGTAGTCCATAGTTCGGAAGCTGCTCACGGTCCGTCGTGGTATTGGAGGGAAGAGTCGAGAGGGGCGGAATATCCTGAAAAGAGAAGCGAAGTTTTGCATCATCGGAATGAGGGGCAGCGGCCGATACGGGAAGGTGCCCAAGCTTGCCGTCAGATAGGAAGGAGCTCACGGCGGGGCAACGGCAGCTCCGACAAGGCCCTGGTCGCACAACTCCGCGCCAAGCCTTCGGAAGACTCCTTGGCGCGGCTTCCGACGGCTGCAGAAGCTGAGGGAGGACTCGCTTAGCTCACCACGCGAAGTTCCACATTTCGGGTGGATAAACGGAGACAATCCAGTCCCCACAGGATGATTTGGGCTTCCACAACGGCATTATGTGTCAGAATACGGGATTCACTGGTCCAATCAGGCAATCAAGTATGGTTGTTGTCCGCGCTTGTTCCGCGTCCGTTGTATTTTTCGGTGTGTCCTCGTTCAGACTCCGACATGTGGGTCCCCTTGGGGTTTTTACCCGTCGAAATGAGAAGTGATGGTTAAGCTAAACATGCCCCGTTTTCTTCATATCCGAAGCCGCCACCCCGATATTCTGACATTATGGTCCTGGAAATTGCAAGGGACATGGCCGAACTGGAAAAGCGATGGTTTTTATTTCAGACACGCATCACCCAACCCTAAGATACATAACTTGGCAATCATTGATCTCATCTAGATCAGTCATCATCAGTATCGATAGCGTCATCTATTTGAAGCTGACATGAACATGGTCCCTAGGTGCATTTCTTCAGCAATACGTCCAGAATACGAATACGCTTGCAACATTTCGAGACTTACCAGTGGTTCTGGGTGATGTCGCCTCTGTCCTCCATGGCGCGCCAGCTGGTCCACGCCTTGACGCCGTCGACCGAGGGGTTCCAAATGCGCTGACCCCAAATCACATACTTGAGGTTGAGCGTGCCGCGGTTATTCATCACCCACTCAGCGATCTGACGGCCGGACGAGGTAGGAACCTAGATGGTATCAGCATCTGCCCCGTTTCCACTCAACGACACAAACTTACACCACCGCCATCCGAGCACATAAAGTCAATTGCCTTGCCACAGCAGTGATCCGACGTGCCGGGGCAGGCACAGTCCCTGGTGCAGTAGATCTGCCTGACGCGGCCCTTCCACGCGGCGACGACCTTCTTGGCGCCCTCCACGGCGACCGACTTGCAGGCGCCGACGGCGGGGAAGGCGGGGGCGCTGTATCCGCCGAAGCCCGAGGCGCTCGAGGAGCAGCACTTCATCTGGGACGGGCCCGGGCACTTGTTGGCGACCGAGGTCCCCGCGCAGTCGCTCGACCAGCGGCAGTTGCCCGCGCTACCGTTAGCGCAGGACGCCTTGGTGCAGCACTTGATGTTGGAGGCGTCGGCGGGGCAGGCCCCGGAGATGCTAACGCCGCCGGCGGACGCGCAGTTGGCGGTGGAGATGCAGACGCCTACAGAACGTCAGTGATGATCTTGATGGGGTGGGTTTGGGGTCGGGTTACCCGCTCTGCCGCCGGACCCAACGCAGGGCTCGTTGACGGCGGCCATGGTGGCCGTGGCCGTTAGGAGGAGAAAAGCCTTGAACTGCATCGTAGCGGGTTGCGGAGACTGGTTGGTCGATCGTGATGGTGTGGCTCGAGACCGGACTGGTTTGGGCCTGTGGAGGTCTGGCCCCTTTATACACCTAGTTCCCTCATCCTGGACGCCACCATTCCAGTAACCCCCGCCGCTAAGTAGCAAATTCAACCCACTAGACCTTTCTGCACATGCCACGGGTACCCTCTTGCAGACGGGATGCTCCCTAGCCTCCTGTCGCCCATCGGTCAACACCTTGGCGGCTTATCATTACCTTCCTTGGCAGGGTCAAGCGAACACTCTGCCCGAGGGGGTCGTTCTCAGCTCGTCCGGCGCGGTTAGGCTGAACGACTCGATCAACAACCTGATGCATAACCTGCCAAGAGAGGCGCGTCACGATCGCCGGCTCTCCAACCCCATGATGTTGCGTCTGCCAAGGTGAGCTATTCCTGGAAGACAGGGGCGGCCGCCGATTCAGTTGCTTGGTTGGGCAACTGATCTCTCTGTGGAGTCTAGCCTCGGCTGTCAACAAGCGGCACAGCAGGAGACTTGATGACCCGACTCAACCCCGAAGAGTGCAACGAACCAAAGTTGAGTTTCATTTTCAAGAACTAACCAATGGAGGGAAGGAGTTGATGAAACAAGGAAACAAGGCTTCCCAAGAATACCTAACCGCATAAGGTATCTAGTGTAGTTGAAGAGCCAAGTTACATGTTTTTGGGGCGCTCTCTTATCTTGGGTAGGTTTCCGGTTCGGCGAATCATTGGGCTAGGCCACTCCGAAGAGTTGCGAACACCACGTGCCAAACTAAACACCGAGGCCGTGCAGAGACGGCCAAGGATATCATGTATGTTTTTTCTGATTAGGTGGTACCTAGCAGTCGTCCAGCCACTTGCTCTCCTTCGGAGGACGGTCTTCCCATGTCAGAGTGAGACCGGTGCCCGCAAGCGTCGTATTGGCGGTGCCCTGTATTATTAGGTAACGTTAACTAGTTGATTTTTGTGGTAGTTAGTTAATGGCGATCAGTGAACAAGATCACAAAGCCTACCACCTTGATCCGACTTATCATCATCAAAAATTTCTCCAATAACCAATGTTTGCGGTTAGAACAGTTCAATATTCCCAAACATGTCCCAGATCAATGACGCATTGAATGAACATGAATCATGCCGTCCCGGACAGTGGCGCGTATTCGCGCGGAACGAATTTCGCGTCTTTCATTAAGAACAGGTTCAATCCTGTCAGCCAACTTCCCAGTGTTCCAGCCTCCTTCACTTGTGCCCTCAACCGAATCGTTTAGTTGAGGGTGATTTCTTACCACCGTCTGTCGTTCTGCACACCCGAGTAAGACCTATTCCCAATTCACCCTTTCACAACCTACATTTCTCAGCGTTTAGGTACTCTTTCCTAGTCCATGAATCAAGTTGCATTTAGGCAACTTCACTTCGCGCTGCACGACCTACCGACTCGGTTGTAGATTCATTCCAAATAAGCGATTCAATCCACGCTTAAGATGGCTTCTCTGTTGGGGATGCCGGTCGAGGTCCAGTGGCAGATATTTCATCGACTTCTGCATGCTCACGCCGAAAACGAAAATTCCGAGTCCAGGCCCTATGGTGACACCTGGGAAAGCACATTAGTGCATCACACTGCCCTCGGGAACCTCTCGGGAACCTGCAAACACCTCAACGCGACCACGGCCCCTCTGCTTTATCAACGGGTCAACGTTTCGATCTGCTATCCTGCCACGTTCATCCTAGTTCTCCGGCATTTTTCCCGATTTCCCAAGCATGCAGCGTTTGCCAGGGACCTCACCATCGACAGCGACTACACCTGTTCTCCTTGTTCCAAATCGCAGAGGTACTTTCTTGTCCAAGAGGCATATCGCTTGGGTCTCGATCTATCATTCAAAGGCAACGGCCGATGGCCTCAATTCGGATCGCTCTTGATTGACGTGGCCTTGTGCCATCTTTCCGCCATTCAGAAACTCAAACTCATCCTGCCTTTGATCACATCGAGTAACGAAGAATGGTGTCCAGTTTCCCCCAACGAAGCCAACCCGTTCCGCTCGGTCGAGTTCGAGTATGCGAGTCGATTACCCCCCTCGTTTGTTTTGTGCTCTCTGCAACGCCCTCCTGAAGGCCCTGCTGCCGTTGAAGGAGACTATCCGCAACTTGGGCCTCGACTGTAGTACGCTCCGTGCCCGGAACATCAAAGAACTAGACCAACTGTCACATTTCAAAGCTCTGCGGTCACTGCGACTTCTGTTTGGGTATTGGCACGCTGGGGATAATGCCGCGCTGGTCAATAAGTTTCCGCCCCATCTCGAGTCCCTTTGTGTCGGGGCAAGCGACATCCCGGTAGACGACCTCGCGATCTTGCTGAGCGCGTGTATTAGAGACGGCCGGCTTGCAAACTTGAGACGGTTCGAGTACACGTTTCTAGTGGCCGAAACAACTCACCCGTTCCCAGCTGGGGGCGAGGGTATCTCACAAGAGGCTGCGGCAGCTTGAAGGAATGTGGTGTTCAATGTGTCTTTAGGCCGTATCCACGGCCCATGTATGACTTCCAGCGTTGGAGATTGCGGTAGTGGGGCAAATCAACACACCCTTTCGACAGGTCCCTGAACGGGAGCCAGTTTCCGTCCTGAGTCCGACAGGTTCAGCTTGATGGCGCAATCACAGCACCTAGCGCAAGGTAGGAGGGAAAGGATTTGGGAGAGAGGAGAAGCCGGGGGATCTGACCTGATTTAGGCTCGCATGCAATGCCGGGGCCCATTTGTAGTACCTAGGTAAGGTAGTTTACATGCACGATAATTGATGTTGGGTTTTACTTGTTTGTCACAGCCAATGATAGAACCAGTACCATGAATTAAGCATTTGTCAAGCAGAGCATTTGGTTTAGCCGACCGACTTTTGCCCATGACTTTGAGCGCTCCATAGTGCTCGGGTAAAGTAGCACAACACCGGCAAACAGATTTAGGCAGTTGGAAACGCCAATCATTACCAAGTCTTGTTTGCAGAGCAATGCTACAGAGCTAGCTTAACGTACAGCACTATAGGCAGTTGATTTATTCTATCTAGGCCACGTTGCCTCATCCACCCGTGGCAACGTCATAACCACGCGAGCTTTCCTCTCGCTGTAAAGCACCCCGAAGGTTTGGCCGTTCACACAAAACTACGACCTAGGTTCTTCTTCGTTGTTGTCTTCAGTAGGCTACCATCAGACGACCCAGGCCAGGGACCATCCCGTTGGCATCTCCACAATATGGCGTGGAGCTCACTCTCGCTGACTCGAGTGCTCGTGCTCGGGCTGCTCACACGCTGTGCCCTTGCGGATTCTGACACCAAAGCGGACTCTCCGCAAGGAGGGTCGGCGGATGGCCTGGCCTACGAACAAATTGAAAAGGTCAACATCTACACCGGCAATGGCACTGCCCCCCAATCACCCCCCGTCGAAGGCTGGTGGGAGTCCAAGATCTGCTCCGGCGCCTTCTGCGTCTACACCAACCAACGCATCGCCAACGGGCGCGGCCTGGTCGCCGTGACCAGGTTCGAAGAGTTCCAAAAGCTCGAGCGCATCGAAGACCACCTCAACCGCGGTGAGAACAAATACCTCGAAGACCCCATCCCCTTGACCACCACCGAAGTCCCGCACAAAGGCCCCGGCCTGACCGCCACCAAATCCATCCGCCGCGGCAAGCCCCTCCTAGTTGCCTCCCCCATCCTCATCGTGCACAAATCCCTCTTCGACCAAGTCCCCAAAAAATCCGAACGCACCCGCCTCCTCGAAGCGGCCATCTCCTACCTCCCCTCGCACACCCTCACCCTCTTCAACACGCAACGCACGCCCCGCCACCCCTCCGTCGAAGCCATCCTGCACGCGCACCCCTTCGAGCTCGACCTGGGCTACGCCACCCACAAACAAACAGCCGACGACCACTCGCGGCACTTTGCCAACTACCCCGAAGCGGCGGCTTTCCAGCACGACTGCCGGCCCAACGTCGCCACGCACATGGACGCGTCGTTCGCGCTGCGCGCCACGGTGGCCCGCCGCGTCCAGCCCGGCGAGGAGCTCACCCTGAGCTACATCGATCCCTTCCTGGCGCGGGACGAGCGGGCGGCCTGGGTAAAGCGGCATCGGGGCGGGGAGAAGGGGGTGGAGGGCGGGTGTCCGTGCCAGGCGTGCAGTCCGCCGGGTGGGGTCAAGGGGGAGAAGGCGGTAGAGGGGGAGAAAAGGTTGAAGGAAATTGTGGCGTTGAGGGCGGAGCTGAGGAATCATGATAGTTCGAAGGTGGACTTTGGGGTCATTGAGCGGTTTTTGAAGCTGTATGAGGAGGAGCGGCTACATGTGAGGTTGGCAGAGGCGTATGAGCTGGCGGCGCTGAATTTCAACTATCTTGGGGATGATAAGCGGGCGAAGAAGTACGCGGAACTGGCGGTGCAGGCGGGGATCGTGGAGGGGGGAGTGCAGTCAAATGATGTGGTTGCTATGAGGGTCATGGCGAAGGATGTGAAGGGGCATTACTCGTATCGGTACACTCTTAAGAGGCGGGGGCAATAGGGGTTAGATTGAATTGGAGATGGGTTGGTTTCCAAGTGTCGTAGAAAGTTAGGACGTAGACTATAAGGTATAACAATCACGTTAGTTAGTTTCTTCTAACCGATATTTTCACATCAACAATCCTGAGAACAAGCGTTCATAATGCAACGGTGTCGAGAATTTCGGCCTAAGGGCAGAGTACGGCGCCCGACACGTTCCATTCTTGCTGAGGTTTTGGCTGGACTGCGCTTTCGTCGGGTCGTACACTGCAACATGACTTGAACCAATGCAGTAGATCGTTGGCCATCTTGAGTCCGGAAAGGGTTGACGGTGTAATTAAACCCCAAACGTCAAAGCATCTCACGAGTCACAATCAGTCAGGAAGCCCAGACCAAAGCAATGTTTTTTTTGTTTTTCTGTCTGTCGCTCTATTCTAGTCCATCGCCGATAGGAAGCAAATTCCCCCCAACTCGAGTGACCCAAACCGAAGCGCAAAGCAGTTGCCGAAAACATGGTGTCTCAAAATCAGAATCCAACCGGAACTCCTTCCCATATCCAGATCCGCTAATTATGCATGTAAACCAGCCCCATCCCACCAATGCCCGGGTATCACCGATCCAACCGCCCACTCCCAGGCCCCCAACCCAAAACCGACATAGGAAATCCCCACCAACAAAAGAAACCTAATCTGAGCAAGAATGAAAGCTGCCCCGAAACCCCCTTTACAACCGCCTCGAGTCCCACTCCGACACGCCATTCCACGCCTGAAAATCCCTCTGCAACCGATCCATCGCCTCACGGTCCAAGCCCCTCCTCCTCTCCGCCCTCTCCAAATCCTCCTCCAACTCCCTCTCCCTCCTCCTCATCCTCTCCAAATCATCACTCAACCGCTTCCTCTCCCTCTCCCTCCGGCCCCCCTCCCCCATCTCAAACCGTCCCCTCAACTCATCCCAATCCAGCCCAATCTCCCCCGCATTCAGCGACACCGCCCGCCGCTGGCCCGCCTGTGCATGCACCGCGCACAGGTCCCGGTCCAGCCCCACCGCCAGCAGCGACCCGGCCGCGGTGGCCGGGTCGGCGCCGCGCCCCCCCCGGCCGCACCCCACCCCCGCGCACGCGTGCCGCGCGCAGTAGTCCACCAGCGTGTGCACCTCGCCGCGGCAACCCGAGGTCCGGCAGGTGTGCAGCTCGCAGTGGTCGAGGATGTCGCGGGAGGAGGGGGAGGGGGAGGAGCGGGAGATGGCGCGGGGGCGCTCGCAGAGGGGCGTGCGGCATTGGTGCGAGGCGCAGTACTGCGGGGATTTGGATGATGAGGATGTGGAGGGGGAGGAGGAGCGGCCGGCCGAGGCGCGCCGTGTGCAGCCGGCCGCCCATTCGCAGAGTTGGGTGCCGTAGTGCGCTGCGCAGGTTGCGTCGAGGCGGCCGTCGCGGTGTTGGTGGGCCGGGCGGGTGCAGTTGGGGACGTTGCAGAGGATGATGTGGGCCGTGCAGCGCTGCTGGGTGCGGTCGGTGGCGCGGAGACGGCATTCGGAAGATGTGCAGCGGTCTGGGGAGAGGGGATGTTAGTTATGGGAGTCTGGAGGTGGTGGTGGAGGGATGTTGGGGATGGGGGAACATACGAGAAGCGCAGAACCACCGGACGTGCTCGCGCACGCCATAGTGCTCGCCCATCTTCTTGCAGCCGGGTTCACCGCATGTCAAGTCTGCCGGGGTTTGTTAGCATCGACTTCGGGCAACTGTGTGGATGAGTGCGACTTACGGAGTGAGCAGTATCGCTCGTTCGAAGACCTGGGGTTCTTGCAGTGATAGTCCACCTCGCCGGGGTAAGTCTTCTCGCAGGTGTCTGGCGTGTGTTAGCCGCGGTGGTCTTTGACGTGGAGAGCGGGTAAACAAACGCACGGTTGGAGCAGTATTTCGAGTACACCTTCTTGTCCCCGTCCGGCCGGCTGAAGGCGTGCTTCTTGTTGCAACCCTCAACCTGGCATTTTCGGGAGTCGTCGGTGAGGACCTCGGAGGGGCCCGAGTAGTAGTTGTATGAGGCGTCTGAGTAAGGCATTGTGGAGGTGGAACGCGATGCGGTAAAAAGTGAAGTTCTCAAGCGTGTTGAGGACCGAGCGCGGCGGACGCGTCGAGGTTTTAAACGTGGGTCTAGGCAGACAGAGTTGGGGATTTGAGACGTTGCAGGATACACGGTGTCTGGGGTGGAGGACGGGATACAAAACGCTGATTTTATATGTGAACAGATGGCTTGATGCTGGTTGACTGGTTGCAAGTCAAAATCCGAAAAAGGAGAAAGCTCGATCGGTTTTATGCATCAAACACTTAACCCCAGCACCAGCAGTTGAGGGAGCCATGCGGGCCGCTGCAAGATCCATGGGATGGAGACTGCAGCAGTCCCTTGCAGATGCAGGGAAAATGCGGCACTGCACCAGGGTCAAGCAACACTGCCAGCAGCCGCAACAAGGATGAGTGCGCGGGGGGGGGGTGAGTGGGTGAGTGAGTGACCAATGTCATACTGTGGCGGAGGCGCAAGGCGGCCAATAAAATCCCGCCTACCCCAGAAAAACGCCCAATTTGGACCCACCATTTTCCCATTCCGCTGCGGCCTGAGCCACCACAAAGTTGAAGGAACCATTCGCAGGGATCACAGCCATCCAGAGGGCTCCGATTTCCAGACTGCCGGGTCCGATCGAGGACACTACAATTCGCATACGACTCGCGGCTGCAGCGGCTGCGGGTTGGAGGAGAATCTGCAGCCGACGGACGTGTTTTGGTTGAGTAGCACAGACGACAACACGGTTCATACGCCCATACCCTTGCCTCCCCCGTCAGAAACAAGAAACACGTGGAATGGCCCAACAAGCGGCGGCCGACTTCTCTCTTACCGGCGCAGATGTTTCACTCACACATAACAGACTCTCAAGGTTGAGACGAAAACTCCAGCGTGGGACAAGTCCGGGCAGATGACCAAAGAAACCGGACCACCAGGTACGCGTCACCGGGACAAGGCAGCAAGGGAGAAAAAAATGGTGGCCTTGTCCGAGCAAACATCAGGTCGGCCGTGAGTGACGTCGTGCGCGTCGCAGGCAGCCTGCACACCATCTTTTTTCGGCGGGACTCTCTCCTCACCGAAAACATACCCAACCCAGACTGCGCAGTTTGGAGGTCTGGGCTCTGGACAGCGGCCGCCAAGTGCGTCACAAGCGGTTGGTTGCCTCTTCCGGCGCCTGCATATCGGCGGCACAGCGAGGAGGCGGCCGTGCCTCTTCTTGCCCTCTGTCAGCACCAACCAATGGGGACGGGGAGGCCCGGAACCGCACACACATTTTGGTTTCCGGCTCCATCGGAAAAAATCATGTGCTGGGAGCGGGAGGGAGCCCATTTGTGAACCCTAAACGTTTTCGCGCCGATGGAAGTCGGAGTTGCAACGCAGACGCTTTTTTTGCAAGGGCACCAAAATAACCATGTAATAGGCCGCGTTGTTCGCACAAATCAGCTGTTTGGCGTTCATTGGCCATAGTTACGCAGTTTCATTCATGATCTGGAGTCTGGACGAGGCAGACTCGGAAAGACAGAAATTATCGCCTCCCAGATGCCTCTCATTTGGTTGTTTGCCTGCTCGCCTTCCCCACAGGTCGCCTCATAAGCGAGAAAAGCGTGATGCGTTGTGTCGGTTAACCACGTGCAGTCCGACGATAAGGGGCTGTTGTATCGCCGTGGCAGCCGCTGAATTTCATTGCACAGTCAGCGATGCCGAAGGATGCCGCGACAAATGAAAATGCGGTGTTCACGATAGTGCGTTGCAGCGCAGCGGGCCGCCATCAGCCGCCCTCACTTCCCGTGCTGTGAGACAGGTTGCGGGGCCATCCAACACCTGCAGAACGCAATCAAGCTCCCGTATCCAGTAGATGAGGGGTGACCCCTATGATTCGCTGTATTGACGCCCCAATCATTCACACCTATCATTACAGGTGGTATCTAAACGACTTATTCTCCCTATCCGTAAAGTCCTCCAACCCTTGGGCATCATCAGGTGGACCATACTGCGCCTCACGGTTCTTGTTCTCCCTCACGAGGAAGAACCGAAGGATTTCGGAGCAGAAGAAGCAGACGACGAAGCAGATCATAACGCCGGTGAAACTCTTGTCATAGCGGGGGGCATACGATCTGGCTGCATGTTAGCAGCTGTTGATTGGAGGAGGCCATGAGAACTTACGCATCAAACATGAGGGGCCCGATAATGTTACCGATCGAGTATGCAATGAAGGTCGCGGCCGCATAAACGGCTTTCTTGGTGTGGCCGGCCACGTTGGACGTGCCGAGGCCGATGCACTGCACCCACGCCGAAGAGAAGAAGTTGATCAGGTAGTACCCGACGATACGACCGGCCGTGTTGGAAGAGGGAAGTTGCCAGCTGTTGGGGTCCCCGAGTCAGTACTACCATCACCGCATGCATGGTGTCTCTCACCGGGCCACGTCGGAAGACTTACAGCAAGGCGCACCCCAAGATAACCGGGAGACACGACCCCGAGATGATGTGAAACCGCGAGTTTGGCACAAACCGGCCGAGGTACCCAGACCCGAGAATGCAAATAAACGCCAGGGCACCAATCGGCAGGTTCAGCAGCAGCGACTCAAAGATAGTGAACCCCATGCCGTTGAACACAATGGGCGCAAACACGGTAACAGCCCCCGACCCCGTCGTCGACACGATCGACAGCACACAAATCCCCCACATCTGGTAGTCCTTCATGGCCTCGGCGACCTGGTACCACTTGAACGTCTTATTCTCGGGCCCCCGCATTGTTCCCGCGCACGCGCTCCATCAGCAGGGCGCGCTCCTCCTCTGAGAAGCCCTTGGCATTCTGCGGCGTGTCCGGGAACACCCACCATAGGGCGACGGCCCAGAGGGCGGTCACGCCGCCTGCGATGAAGTACATGTACTGCCACGGCTGCATGCGGCCGCCCTGGATGTGGCCCATGCCGTAGTTGATGAGCGGCGAGACCAGCAGCGAGCCGCCGCTGAAGGAATACCACCAGCTGGACCGCGAGATCTGCTCCGCGTGCGTGTACCAGAGCCCGACGACCAGCATGAAGATGGGCGAGACGCCGGCTTCGATGAGGCCGAGGAAGAAGCGGTTGATGAGGAAGTCTTTGTAGTCGCGGCAGGCCGGGGTGGTGAGCACGACGATGGACCAGAGGAGGCAGATGACGGTGATGACGATGCGCGTCGAGTATTTTTGGGCGAGCAGAGAGACGGGGTAGGTCCCCGCCATGTAGCCGAAGTAGAAGATTAGCGAGGCCCAGGAGTACTTGAGGCCGTCTTCGAGGCCGAGGTCCTTGCGGAGGCCAAAGATGGCGGCCTGGCTGAGAAGCGCCTTGTCGTAGAACTGGAGGGCGTAGGTGAAGCACAGCTGGATTCCGGACTTGTTAGGATGTCCCACTGGTATAGTCCCAGTAAAAGGGCAATACTCACTACTGGCATCACACGCCAATCAATCCTCCTCAGGAGTTTCTTGTTGATCTCGGCATCGAGGGCAACACCCGCAACACCATTCTCGACTTCAGCCGAGCTGGCTTTCTCAGAAGTCGGCCCAGCTTGGGCCTTCTCGAAGTCTGTGGTCATCGTCTGTCGTACCGCTCCGTTGTTTATCGATCAAGGGGTTGAGTTTGTGGCTGGAGAACAAAATGACAAGATCTGACAGCCCGGGTGGAGGACAGAGAGGTTTTAAGTTCGTGGAGAGCTGTCCATGGCTCTCCGACCGTCTTCCCCAGGTTCCTTGGCAGGTATGCAGTGCAAGGAATCCATGCTTCGATGAGGCTGCCAAATTCCCGAAGAAACTGCCGTTGCGGATCCCGGGCCAGATCCCGAGAGCGGTTTTTGGTGCCAGCCTGTTCTCGGTTGCAGCTTCGCAGCCAAGGAGGCGCGTGGGCGTGGGGCAGGCAGCTTTAACCGCGGAAGCCCTTCCTTTTTGGGTGTCTCCGAGGATGGGAGATAGCGGGGAAATCCCCAGCCCCAGAACCCCAGATTTTCGATGGAGCAACATGCTGGGCTTCATCTTGATCGGTGGTCGAGAATAGGACTTGGGCACCTTAGGGTACCCCGGGATGGGGCATGTGCAGTTGTACTGCTGCACTGGTCCCATCTCGAATACCAACGTCTTGGGACTTGAAGCCATCACCGAGTTTAGCGTTGGGTCGAGCACCTATCGACACACGGTCCTTGCCCGCATTTTTTTACCAGGTTGAAACAATGAAACCCGCCGTTCGCACTGATCAGCTTCCTCGTGTAATGGATTCAAGTCCAGTCAGGTTGGCAGGTTTTGTTTTTTGGGCTCTTCGTAACGGTGCATACATGTAGGTAAATATCACAGCCGAGAGCGGCTCCGTAAATCGGTAAGAACGACTTGCAGCTTGATTGAGTGCGACACCGTTATCGATGAAACGAGCGCATGTGTAATTCTCTTGGCTAAACAAGTTCCTGGGTCGCGATGGACGATCTCAACGTGGCTGGTGGGTTTGGCATATTCTTGGCACTCGTGGGGTGGGTGGAATGGAATGGGAGAATGGGCACCAGGAGCACCACACAAAAGCCCTATTTCCCCTATATTTCTTTCCATCCATCTCGCCGCAGTTTTTGGAGTTGCAATCTCTCACAACAAGGGGTTGCTTAATCGACGCATCAACAATGGTAATAAGGTAGAAGACACATTAATAGTCTATATTAAGTGCAACACATTCTCGCCGTCCGTTAACTACCCGTTTTTGCATAACCCCTTAGAACCTCCCCTACAAGCCCGTTTAATCTCTCGAAAATTCCGGCACCTGGTCAGTTTGCTGTATCCTGCGCGGAGTTTTACGATCGGCCTCAGCCCATTCCTCATCCATGATTTGCGAGGACTGTTCTCCTGCAGCAATAATCGCAAGCCTTTCCTGGTCGTCAAGCGAATTCCAAACAGCTTGAAGGGCCTCCTTATACAAAGGGATTTTCCTTTTCGCCTGAGCCAATGCTATGAACTGTTGGCCGCGGTCGATCACCTCTATCATATCAGGCGGAGACCCGTTTGGGTTTTGTGCCTCCCTCCGAAGCTCGATGAGAAAAGGCACACTCCGCTGGACAAGTTCGCTTTCGACTCTTGTTAGCTGCTCTGGATTTGTCGCGGCGATGGCGATAAGCTCGGCGCGTGTCTTTCCATTCGCTTTTGTACGGCAGATATGTTCGTCTTCCTCGGGCGAGACCCAGCCAAAAATTAGGTTGATTTCGCCTTGGGTGAGTGAGGAGGCGTCGGCGACGGCACGGCGATAGAGAGCTTCCATGTCGGTGGTATCGCTGTTGTTGATGGGAGGCCAAGTGGAGGGGTCAGCGACGGCGCGGCGACAGATAGTTTCCAGGGCGGTGGTATCGTTGTTGTTGGTGGTGGAGGCCATTGTGGGTGAAACCAGTGATGGTGCAACTGGATGGTGGTGGCGTGTGGTGGATGGTAGGGGTTCAATCAAGCAAGGTGAGGAGCCGAGTGGATGGATGGATGATTTATTTCGCCCCGGAGGCACTAAGCCTATAGGCTCTAAGCACGCTAACTATATCCGGATCGAAGTCACTTAGGCTCTAACTCGTACAAGCCCATTACTCTCTCCCCTTTCTCGCCACAACCTATGCCTCTTGCCTTGATTGTTAGCCGATCAGCTTGGAGGCTACGTTATCCAAGTGTTCAGCATCCTAACTTCAGCAGCTAAAGCGGGACCTGCTGGTTGAGGCTGCGTGGTGTTGTTGGTCGAGTCCTTCTACTGCGATTCCTCCATTCTCTCCTCCACGTTCTGTTCCAACCTTCCTGTCGCCATTGCGTATTTGATTGTTGCTCGGACTGCCTTCATATCTGGTGACCAACGTCTTGTTTCCGATGGCGCTTTTCCTCCTAGGTAGAAAGAGAGACTCCCTCGTCTTGTCGCTGAGCATTGCAGCATATCGTCTCTTAGAGCTGTCCACTTGGTGCATCGTAGTAGAAAGTGTCCCACTGTTTCGCTCGCATGTCCACAGGCGCAGAGGTCAGATTCGGCGGACCCGATCCTGTTCAGGAAACCGTTCAGCCTTGCCATTCCGGTTCGGAGTTGCGCCAGAATGCAGGCCTCTCTTCGCTTCAGCTTGTCGTAGAGAACGCGGGTGTGCTTTCCTGGCAGTGCCGCGTCTATAGCTTTGGAGAACTAGCCCACTTCTTCCGGGATAACCCTTCTCTTTCGTTGCTTGGCCATTGCTGCCCTAATTGCCGTCGACTTGGCGTGATGCCATTGGGACTCGGGCGTGCGCCCCTCTCTTGTCGCTCCTTGGGCTGCCGCTTTGGCTTCCAGTCCCAACGCAAAGTCGGTTTCCGCTGGTACCCACTGCAGGTTGATCGAGTTCCCTCTTTTTTGATACAGTCTAGTCAATTCGTAGATGTGTCGTACAATGCCTTGGCCGGATTGTTGCCGCGGTTGCCTAGTTGCTGCTAGCGCTGACTGGTTCCTAGTGGCGATGGTGATGTGCCTGTGACAGATACTGGCCGGTACCTTCTCCAAGGCCATTGCGATGGTTGCTAGTTCTGCAGTGTATGGATTTTGCTCCTTCCGTGTGCCGAGGGCCACAGCATAGCTTGCCACCGTCTCGTTGGTTCTGTTGAAGAGAGTGTCCCGTGCGATACCGCCCATGCCAACAATGCCTCCCTTTACAGCCGAGCTAGTTGCAATCAGGATTCCCGTAGCTTTGTTGACCTTCTCGGCCGCCCTTGCTCGGTCAGCTTCAACCGTCGGCCGCAGGCGGGGTTCACAAGGTGAGACGGCATATTCCTGGATCGTTTCCATCCGGTCAACTTCTGTTCCTTCTACCGCTCGGGCGAGTTTCTGCAGCGGGGATACGAATCGCACAGTCCAGATTTTCTTCACCGCGAGGGGAAAATCCGGACAACATGCTCAACGCGCATGCGGCTATCAATCTGCACAAAATGCGCATGGTTCGGGGTATGAGGGCTGTCGGTCCTACTTTTTGGACAAGCAATGATTTTGACGACACTTCGGAACAAACCAGCCTAGCCCGGTTCGAAGAAGCTGTCAATCTCCTGCGCTTGTATACTGCCGTCTTCACCTACATGAATGAAGACGCGGTACACGCAGCCATTGAGTGCATTACCCAAGGCTTTGCTGCCATGTTTCAGAGGTTGTGAGTATCAACCTTCGACCTTTCAAATCATAGAAGTTATCCAACTGACCGGTTTCCAGTGACGACCGTCTTCGGGCCACCGGCCGCATCGCACAAAATGGCCCTCGTTCCAATCTTTTATATCGCAGATACCTCAACGCCGTTTTGCTCCCACGGATAGAGGTTTCAAGCGTCGGCTACTTCCAGCTAATCGATCGACTGCGCGCCAACTAGAGTTTGGCCCTCTCCCAGACAAACCCCACCACGCAGTCGGATTGGTCATTGGAGATTCGCGGGATTCTTTTCACTCTGGACATCATGAGACGCCACGCGATGCCATATGACCCAGTACGTGACGAGGCGAGTGGGCTGTTTAAAATCAAACGAGATGGGCTGCCTCCGCCTCCTCCATAATTCGTGTATTTGTAGGTAAGCGACGACGGAAAAGGGATAGAACTGGCGGGAGATGTAAAAGCTAGTGTTATAAGCGGCGACGAAAAAGGGGTAGAACCGGCGGGACTTTCTGGAAGCGATGGCAGACGCTTGTGACCGAGAATCCGTGGCCGGCCGAATGGGGTCAAGTTTAATGAGATAGAGGGCTGAAACCTCTTGGGAGGGTAAGGATTTGTATTTCTGTGATATGTGTGTAGTTAATTCTTTTAGGCTCGATTAGAAAAACAGCCATTCCTTTTCTTCTTCTTGACTACTACCTACATGAATTCCAAAATCCGCACTCCCCAAAATAATAGTTCACATTAATAACATTGCATCTGCTTGCAGGTTCCGTCAACACTTGGCTTTTATGACTAGGCCAGACTTCGAAAACCGGAGGCCAAACAAGATCAGAGAACTGGCGCAGACGGTAACTCCCGCATACACCCACAGGCCGGTCCAGTTCAAGGGCTCGACCGTGCCTAGAATGGTGCCGGCGCTTGGCCCGGCGAGCAACAGGCCAAAGCCGGCAATGGCAAAGCCCTGTCCAACGCGGGTGCCGATCATGGCCTTGTTCGCAGTCAGCATGCGGAAACAGACGGGCGGCAGAGCGATGACGACGCCGCTGAGAAAGCCCGTGACGACGGCCATGACGACGATGCCGGGCGCGTTGTGCACGGCGAGAAGGCAGAACACGGCGACGCCCATGAGCATGGTGAGCGGCGCCATGGTGTTGAAGACGCCGATGCGGTCGGACAGGGCGTTGGGGAGGATCCGGCCGAGAGTCGAGCCGGCGTTGAAGATGGCGGCGATGTAGAAGGCCAACGACCTGTCGGTGAAATCGCGGTTCTCCGGATAGAAGGAGATGTAAAAGAGGAGCACGGTTTGGCCGATAAAGATGATAAGAAGGGCCACTGTGAAGGTGATGAAGGGCACGTCGGTAAAGGCGGACCAGTCCATCATGGCCCGCGGCTTCGGGACGCGCACGCGGATCTTGAAGACGACCAGGGGCAAGATGAATGTGGCGAGGGTGATGAAGGCGATGGATCGTACGGCCCACGGGAAGCCGACTTGCGTGATGAGGCGGGAGAGGACGATGGGGTAAATGACGCCGCCGAGGGACGAGCCGGACGACGCGATGCCGACGGCGAGGCCGATCCGAGTGCTGAACCAGGTCGGGATCAGCGACACGGTGGGCACAAAGAGCAGGCCGCCGCCGATTCCGACGCAAAATGCTTGGGAAAGCAATGCCTGCCAGTACTCGGTGCATAGCGAGAGCATCATGAGACCGAAGACGATCATGAAGCTACCGGAGACCAGGAGGAGGCGGAGGTAGCCCCGGTCGTAAACCGGCCCCGAGATGAGGCCGGTGAGCTGGAGAAGGAAACATTGGATGGAGCCGATCCAAGAGATGTTGGCCGACGATTCCTCAAACAGCTCGCCGGACTCGTAGTAGGTCTGGAATACCGGGAAAGTACTGAGCATGCCCCATGTGTTGAAGAAGATGACGAAGCCGGCGACGACTTGGAGCCAGGCGATGAGGCCGCCGTTGGGGGGCGGAGCCGGTGAAGCACCGGGGTCCTTCTCGGGGGGACCTGCAGGCTTGGTCGGCTGCTCAGGATCGGAGGGGCCTGTACTTGTCTCGCTGTCGTGGTGGGCAGGATTCGCAGAAACCGCTTCGTCCAGGTTGGACGGGCCATTCTGAGCGATTGGGGACGCCATAGTGGTATTGGACCTTTGGTAGTATCAACGCAGCCGTGAAAAGATAAAGGTCAGAACGTGGTTATGCGCTATGCTGCATGTGGATGTAGTTGGGTCGCTGCGGAAATGCAGCTTGACGGCACGACAAGAAGACAGTCGGACAGACCAAGGTACAGTCCATCGTTTTCCTCAAGTATCTCGTGGCTTTCCATGGTCGAACGCGTGCACTGCGCGGCATTGGTCAACCGCCGCGGGGCATTGTTCGGCTGAAGGAAACTAACACGGTTGGTTTGTCACCCTGTGCTGCTGGTGTTACACGCTTAGTTATCACTCTTTGTTCCCGAAGCTGACAAATGTGCGCCGCGGCGGAGAAACGGCTTCGACCGCGGCGGAAATAAATGAACCCCCTCCCCCCCTACCTACCAAGCAATCACCCCCAACCACATCCCATTCTTGCCATTCCCGGCTCCGCCAAACCTACAACTTTTCCGCCGTGGCACACAGGATTAACACGCATCCCACACGGTCCATACCCTGACCCATGGATGACCCCCGCAACGAAGAACCAGCCGCTCCGGCATCCGAATCGTCGCCCGGCCAAGGGATGGATTTCTCAGCAAGCCTGAGGCGGAGAAAGGTGCGCAAGGGGACGAGGTCTTGTTGGGAATGTAAGCGCCGGAAGATCCGCTGTATGTTGGCATCGCCGGGGGATGCCGCTTGCATCGGCTGCCAACATCGCCGTGTACCCTGCGTGCCCCAGGAGCTGCCGGGAGACCTGTCTCCGTCTCCGGCCAAGAAGGACAACCATAACCAGCGTCTCGGCCAGCGCATTGCCCGGGTCGAAAACCTCATGAAAGATTTTCTTGCGAGCCGGCATGATGAGCGCGATGAGAGTGATGAAAGCGAGCCACGCCGGGGGCGAATTGCGCAGGGCTCCGGGAGCCCAGATGCTACGAGGCCTCGCTCTTACGAGTCCTTGCACACTTCTCCAGAGGTAAAAAGCAACACAAACTGCTCCCCATTCCTCCGCGAGAACTGTTTCTGATTTGTCAGTACTATAGGGGTTGAGAGGGTCCACTCCGAATCCATCTCTCCTCACGCCGGACTCGCAAGATGTCTCGGTCGACTGCCCGGGGTTAACGGATCAGGCCGAGACTGAAACCGCCCTCCGCAATCTGGCGGCTGCTCTCCCGTCCGAAGCTGATGTCAGGATCCTGCTCGCGGAGAGCCTCCGGCCCTCTCGTTACACCCACCTCATCAACACACAGCCGCATACCAGGTTGACTCTGGAGGCGCTGGCCGCACCGTACCGCTCAGCCGAGATTCTATGTCTTGGTCCTAGCATGCATCCAGTCATGTTGGCCAGGCTGATGTTGACTTTTGCCATCACCTTGCAGAGTCCATCGGGACAGAAGGCCGAGGGCCTCTCGGAACCGCACAGCATACTGGCCCGCCGCTTGGTGACGGCTGCCAGGACGTGGGTGACCACCAAGGAAGGGATGCATGGCTCTCTCGAGTGTCTGATCTGCATTCTGCTGGAGGGGGCGTACGAAGTCAACTGCGGCAATCTCCGGTGGGCCTGGGCCGTCTACCGCAGGGCAATGACAGTCGCCCAGCTGATGGGTCTTCATCGCTCTCCCGTCCCGCCGGTCAAGCGCGTCGACCCGGAGTTGGATGCCGATCCCGAGTTCATCTGGTTTCGGATTGTGTACATGGACCGCTACCTCAGCCTGCTACTCAGCCTACCTCAGGGCACGTCGGACAAGACCATGGGCGCCGTGTCCGCCCTCCGGCATCAACCGCCGCTCGGCAAGTTCGAACGACTCCTAACGGCCATTTCGTCGCGCATTTTGGAACGCAACGAAAGCCCCTTTTCCCCGAGCCAGATATCGACCACACAATCCATCGACGCCGAGCTCCTTGCCGTGTCGAGGAGCATGCCAGCAACCTTTTGGCGCGCTCCTAATTTCCACAACCTCACGCCAGGGTCACCCGACACCCTGCTTGAGACGCTGCGCCTATCAGCTCACGTTTACTACCATGGCCTGCTGATCCAGCTCCACCTGCCATACATGATGCAGGTTGGCGAGAACTCGGTGCACGAGTACTCCAAGATCACGTCGGTCAACTCGAGCCGGGAGATCATGACGCGCTTCATCGCCCATCGGAGCTTTAACCCTATGTCGTCGTGCTCGCGGCCTGTCGACTTTTTTGCTCTCCTAGCCGCCATGACCCTCCTTCTTGCTCATTTCGACGCCCATCACCACCGCGAAGCCACCAACATGCTGGCCCACCAGCGCCTCAGCGACCGTGCCATGCTGGAGCAGGTCTTGGAGCGCATGGATGTGACGCGGGCCATGAACATTGGCGACGATGTGATTAGTGAAAAGAGTGCCCAGCTGATACGGCGCCTACTCGAGATTGAAGCCGACGCCGCGGATGGGAACAGCTACAAGACTGACAGCGTAGAAGGAGGGGACGAAAGTAAGAGTGAAGGGGAAGCCCTGCGACTGAGTATCCCGTACCTTGGAGTCATCAAGATCTCCCGTCAAGGTCCAATCTCCCGGGAACTGTCAGTTGGGAACGCCGTGTCTCGGCCGCACCAGACGCGTCAGGACGAGGCAACGCAGAGCGAGCCATCGGGAACATCTGGCGAATCCTCTAGATCTCTGTCCGGTGCATCACTTTCGGATGGCCTGTCCGTTAGTCATTTTCCAAGCCCCCAGTTACAGCCGCCCTGGTATGGACAGTCAGTGATGCAATGTCCCAATTCCAGCTATGATACTATGATTCTGCGGAATCATCCAGCGCTTCCTCCGATTACAGCCGGAATCCATGACTGGCCGTTGCAGGGCGTTGACATGGCCTTCTTTGACGGCCTGATGAGAGGAGCAACCTGTCCGGATGGTGTTCGATTAGAGCCATAAGTACGTTAGTTTATGGAATTGAAGAATTTGTAACAATGTGGCAAGCCCAAATCGAAAATGCTATGAGGATAGGTAGGGAGAACAACAGTCGAGCAGCACTGGAGCCAAGAAACCTCCGCCCCCCCTCACCCCCGGTTCGCAACCAACCGGCTTCTCACCCCCACGATGGCCATGCGCCAGGTAAGCGGCTGATTACGAGGGAGAAGTACTTTGTAATTATATGTACTAAGGTACAAGGTACCCTACCCTACATGTAGAGCGCAGGCATATATTAATAGCACTCTCTGTCGCTGAACGACTCTTTTTATTCCTCACCTCCAAGTCGATATCTTCCATCACGCTTCAAGTCGCCACAAAAATCTCACAGCATCATTACTGTCACCTTTTCACAATGGCTGGCCTTCAAAACGACGCGTATTCTCCCTCCGCCCCCGTGCAAACCGAATCCGGCCTCGTTTCCGGACGCGTTCTCACGAACAAAACCCGAGCCTTCCTCGGGGTTCCTTACGCTGCACCGCCCACCGGCTCTCTCCGCTGGCGTCCCCCGCAGCCTCCCATCCCCTGGTTTGGCGTCCGATCCGCCACCTCGTTCGGCCCGAGCGCCTTCCAATTCCCGCCGCCTGCCAACTCCATCTACTACGGAGGCGAAACCTCCTTCTCGGAGGACTGTCTCTACCTCAACATCTACACCGGCCCGGAACACGAACCCACCACCACCACCACCACCACCCCTCGCCCGGTGCTGGTCTGGTTCCACTTCGGCGCCTTCCAGTTCGGCTCCGCCTCCAACCCCATCTACTCGGGCGCGCACCTCGCCGCCGCGGGTGGCCTGACCGTGGTGACGGTGAACTACCGCCTCGGCCGCCTGGGCTTCCTGGCCCACCCGGCGCTGACCGCCGAGGCCGAGTCCTTGAAGTTGTCATCGTCCCCAGGTAATAACGACCATGGCGGCACCGGCGGCACCGGCGGCACCAGCGGCAACTACGGCATCCTGGACCAGATCGCCGCGCTGCAGTGGGTGCGCCGCAACATCCGCGCCTTCGGCGGCGACCCGGCCGCCGACGCCATCACCATCGGCGGGGGGTCCGCCGGCGGCGCGAGCGTGCACATCCTGCGGGCGTCGCCGCTGGCGCGCGGCCTGTTTGGCAAGGCCGTGGTGGAGAGCGGGCCGGGGGTGGCGCCCGTCGTGGCGGGCGGTGGTGGTGATGATGCGCGCGGCCACGTCGCGGCGTACACGAGCCTGGCCGCAGCCGAGACGGCCGGCGTGGAGCTGGCGGCGGGTTTGGGCGCGTCGTCCGTGGAGGAGCTGCGCGCGCTGCCTGCGGCGGCGATTGCGGGTGTGCACCTGGAGCGCGCGAGCGGGAGGTGGAGGGCGGATCTGTGGCCCGCGGCGAGGACGAGTCTGAGTATTTTTGATACGGCCTGTCCGGTGGTTGATGGCTATGTGCTGCCGGAGTCGCCGCTCACGGCGCTGTTGGAGGGGAGGGCGGCTGATGTTCCATTGTTGGCGGGGAATGTTGGGGACGAGGGGTCTGGCATGCCGTTTCTCGGGTCCGTGGCCGAGTATGAGGAGTACGTGAGGAAGACGTTTGGAGAGCTGGCCGCGGAGGCGCTCCAGCTGTATCCGGCGGGCAACGAGGAGGAAGTCCGGCAGGCGACGTCGCAGCTGCTTGCCGACCAGGTGTTTGTGTGGTCGACGTGGTCTTCGGCGCGGTTGCAGGCCAAGACGCTCAAGTCATCTGTGTGGTATTTCAAGTTTGAGCGCGCCCCGCCGATCCCGAAAAACGCGGACTTGGTCGAAAAGACGCGCGCGGGTGCTTTCCACTGCGCCGTCGTACCGTATGCCTTCGGCAATCTCGACGCCTGGGAGTGGGACTGGACGGATGCCGATAAGGAGCTTTCGAAGAGTGTCTCGGATGCCCTGGTACGATTTGTAAAAACGGGGCGTCCGGGTGGTGACCAAGAGGATGACGACACCTTTTGGCCTGCATTGGGTTCGGGGGCCTCCTTGGTCAAGATCTGGGATGCCGAGTCGTCGAGGCTTGAGGCACCGGGACCACGCCTGACGAGTGTGACGGCGTTTTGGGACAAGTATTACGGGATTGAGGGTCAGGTTGCTGTATGAGTGAAGATATCTAGTATTATGAGCTATTTCAGTTTAGCCTATGTCTAGGTACTGTCCTACCGCCGCATGTCTCTCCCAATTTCCCATGCGAGCTTGATGCTTGAGGAAGTCGTTCCAGTTCGGCTTTTCCGGGCGGCCAACGCACTGCCAATCCCGTAAATGGTCATTCTCATCTTGCAAAAAGAAGTGACCATGCAAGAGGTCATTTGCTTGCTGGAGCAGATCGGCAAACTGGTGCCTGCTCGAGTCGAGAACGTCCAGACAATAGCCAATGTCGTTGTCGTGGGCAACGCGCAAGCTATATTATCACAGTTAGATTTCCATTTCACTTCATCTCGGCAGTGATATGATTGAAGAATATAAAAGGGTACTTGACTCACTCCTCGTCCGAGAGACTGGCAGGTAGCAGTAAGAGGATGCCATAACCCAAGCGGTCGATCATTTGGGCCCATTTCTTGCCGCTCTTTCTCCACATCTGTATCTTTAGGGTCTTTCTCTTTGCATCTGACGCAGCATCCTGGCCTTCATCCGGCGGGAAGATGAGATCGGCGAAGCGGTGTTGCACGACAGACCTGCTCCCGCCCTTCGGTAGCATCGAGCCGGCCTGAACCCGTTGGTCGTCGCACCACGACAGGAACAGCGTGGGGTATTCCTGCGCGAGCGCGTAAGCGTGGTAAAAGTGGGCGAGCGCGATTCGTTTTCTGATTCGCGAATTCTGCTCCCCGAAGATGCTGCTTTCGATGGCCACCCCCAGCCCCTGCACGAGCTGTCGGAAATGAGACGCATCCGCCATCTGTGACACGTTGGAAAACTGCCTAATGGTTGGCAGTGCATTCTGCCGCTCCGGCGCTCTTAGCTGGGCCGCAAACTCGGTCACCTGCGCTCTGGCTTCCTCGGCCCCGATCCGCTGCAGCTTCCTGGCCAGCTTGGAGTCTCCGTCCAGTCCGCTGAATAAAGGCCTCGGCGTCCCGGTGCCGTGGGACTGGATGCGGGGGTTGCTATTTGCGCCTGGCGTCTTCTGTTGTGTAATATGTGTCATACTGGGGCGTCCCGTCTCGGCTCCGACACTGTTGGACGTGGCCCTGGGGGTGGGATTTGGCCCTTTGGGAAGCGACACCCGCCGCCTCTTATCCGGGTTGGTACGTGGTCGATCCGGATCGTGAACCAGCGGGGACCATGGTGTCGACACAGCATCAGAGGCGGCGGCGGCTGTGTTGCCTGTGATGGCGCTCTCCAACCTCCTAAGCTTGTCCATAACCTTCCGATTTTGTTCTTTGATTTGGTCCAGCCGCGGTGACCCGCGGACCGAGATTGTCGCAACGACCTGGTCGACGCACCTGTGGAGCCCTGTGTAGATGTTTTCGATGTCATCCTGCGGCCAGTTGGGGCTAGTAGTACTGGTATTGGCGACAGCCGTCGCGTAAGGCTCAGGGGCCGCTCCCACGGGCAACAGGTTCAGGTCGTAATAGATGGCCTCTTCGTGCAGGTGCTGTTGAACTAGCGGCTGGTTGTCAAGGGCCCCTCGGAACTGGTCAAGCATGATGTCTGACATGGCTACGAGATTCTGTAGAAACTAATGGGATGCTGATTCTAATTCCAATAACGTGACATACAAGTAGGGTGGTGGATGTTAAGTCGGCTTAATCACCACCACCCCCACGCGTCCCCCGTAATTAAGCACGCTATCTGGATCGTTTCATGCTAGTCAACATCCCAAGCCCTCCCGTCGCAGAACCACACTCTGACAGCAGGATCAGTCTTGGGGGCCATATGATGCCTGTCGTGTGTGTCTTCGCTTAGCACTTACAGCAATCGGATTTCACCCAGGGAAGCCAAGATACCTATTTAGTCCACGAGCGCGGAGCTGAGTCACGTAAGCACGGGCTGCGTAATAAACCGCCCCCAAGAGATATACATGTAAGAATCTGGGAGAACACACGCCGGGACGCCCCGAGAGGCGCAGGGGGATTTTACCCGTCGTTCGCCGTCCGCCGAGCAACGGGCCGCGGAGATCGTAGAGTAGCAGGCCGCGGGGATCGTGGAGCGGCGCGGTTCTTGGCTCGTTCGCTTCCTGCATTATTTCTATATCTGATCAGGAAAAGCGCGTTTGCGAGAACGGAGACTGCGTCGCCAGGCGCCCGGTTTAAATGCTTGAGAATGAACATTTGGTGTTAAGATCCGAGCCGTGTTCCGGTGTGTGCCCATGTCTCGGACTTCTAGCCCATCCTATGCCGGGCCGAACCTCGAGCGAGGTGGGTGACATTGACTGCTGTCAGCGGCGGTTGCAGCTGGGGTCGATGGCGTCAGACTAGGAGACACTTTTGTCATTGGCTTACACCCACCCGTAACCCCTTCTATCACCCGGTGTTGCGGTTCATACTATCAAGGCAACGCGACATGGGAGACGACGTAGCAATGCAGATGCACGCGCAAGGCATGATAGTACCAATGGCCAGTTCTATCCTGACAGAATGATACAGCCTCGCTCGCTCCGGCGTGATCAGGGATTAATGTCCAAGTCATAAGCCTCGGACGTCGTTACGGATATTTCGTCCGTAACCATCTATCCGACCTATGATGCCACCTATGCTTCTACGTACCATCGTAGCAAGAATACCGCCCAATCGTAGACCGTATCCTAGAGTTGGGTCCAACTCTGCGTTCTGTGGCTCCGTGCCGGCGCGCATTTGGCCTCATGCGACGTATGGGCGACCAATCGTTCATATAGTTCCTGCTTATCTTCAAGCTGCCTTTTAAACAGGGTTATCAGTTGCTCGATGTAACTCATTAGCAATGTCGGAGGCCCCTCGTACGTTACAAATACACAGAGGACTGTCTGGCGGTGTAAGGTGAGGTTGCCCGACCGTGATGGACTTCAAGGAGGGTGGAGGAAGGAGGATGGAGGGTTTCACACATAAAGGTCATCAGCCCCAACCTTTCCGTCGTGCCCACCTCTGAAAGATGTCTTGCTCGAGTTGATCAACGTGTGCTTTGGATTGTCTTGGAGTCCCGATTCGGTTGAAACGGTTTACCGGAGCACACAACCTTTTCCATACCTTGTTACCCATCTCTTCGTTCGTCGACGACTTGTGTCCCCAGTCCTTCTTCAAAAATGAACAGCCTTTCAAGTTGGACGCGCCTCGCCAATGTTTCTAAAGTAGATTACATTTGTGCCGGTCTCGCCACTCTCACCGCCTATGTGGTGTATTGTGCCATCTGGCGCCTCTACATAAGCCCCATAGCTCACTTTCCAGGTCCAAGGCTGGCAGCGCTGACCGATCTGTAAGTGGCTCTATGTCATCGTGTCAGTGGAGCAAGAACATGACCTGATAACCCTCTTAGATACGAAGCGTACTACAACAATTGGCTGGGGGGAAAGTACATCTGGAAGATCGACGAGCTGCACAAGCAGTACGGGCCGATTGTGCGAATATCGCCCAGGGACCTACACGTCGGAGACCCTGTCAGTTGTGACGCAAAGACCAAGCCAAATCCTCGTCCAAGCTGCTGACCAACCGGACAGGATTTTTACGATGTTCTTTATCCAAGCACCACCGATAGAAGACGGGCAGATAAAGCACCTAGCTTGACCAAGTTTTTCGGCCTGGACAACTCGTTGTTTTCCACGGTCAGCCATGATATCCACAGGATGCGCCGCGCCGCCCTCCTGCCCTATTTCAGCCCGTCGCACGTCAGGAGGTTGCAGCCAGCTTTCCAGGAATTACTCGATGTGCTTCTAAAAAGACTATCGGACCTCAAGGACACAAACGAGCCGGTGAACGCAAATTGCGTGTTTGCGGCTTTTAGCAATGACATGACACACATCTTGGCGTTTGGGGAATCCCAACATAAACTTGGTAAGTCCCCAGTTCGAAAGATTCAAGTTGACAAACTAACTCTCACGTCTAGAAACGCCCGACTTTGACTCGTCCGAGCGAGACGCTTCCTTGTCAGGGGCCCAGTCATTCCACGTTCTGAAGCGTGCCCCCTGGCTCAACAATGTTATGATGGCATTGCCCGTATGGTTCTCCCAATGCTTGAACCCGGCGCTGGGATCGTTCATGCGTCAGAAGAAGATGACGCGCGAGAAGGTCGCGCAGCTTGCTTCTACGTCCGACGACGACTGGGAGGGGAGGAACACGCCCGTTTTCCGCGGCCTCCTCCACTCCCCCAAGCTTCCCGCCGAGGAGAAGACGGTCGAGCGCGTGGCCGAGGACGCCCAGATGCTGCTCATGGCCGGCACGCTTACCATGGCTTCGACGCTGGAGCATCTCATCTACTGGATGGTGGACAACCCCGACGTTTTGCGCAAGCTCAAGGAGGAGCTGCGCACCGCCATGCCCTCTGTCAACGACGTTGGCAAGACGCCCCTGGGCCACGCTCGAGGCCCTCCCGTACCTGACGGCTGTCATCAAGGAAGCCGTTCGGCTGATTTACGGCAACTCAACGCCGCATTTCCGCATAGACCCGGACGGACCCCTGGTCTACAAGGACGGGGCGACGGGAAGGAGTTGGGTGATTCCGTCCGGGACACCGGTGGGCATGACGAGCGTGCTGCTTCATCACAACGAGGACCATTTTCCCAACAGTCACAGCTTCATCCCCGAGCGGTGGTTGGGCGACGAAGGTAAGAAGCTGGACAAGTACATGGTTGGATTTGGCAAAGGCAGCCGCATCTGCTTGGGCATGCCTCAGGGCTACGGTGTCTTACGTCTTGTGCTTTCCCAGATCTGGAGGCTGTGGGCGAGCCCGGGTGCTATGATTGGTGACGAGATTGGGGTGCTCAGTCTGTATAACACTACCGCCGAAGACGTGAAGATGGTGGGGGACTTTTTTGTGGCGGCCTACAAGAAGCCGCAGGGGGTTGAATTCAAGCTACACAGCATGTAGGCGTGCAGACGGCCCGAGGCTTTCCGCAGGAACAAGCCTCAGGTTACATTATTCAAAATAGGTACCTTGGGTTGCATTATCAGATAGCGGAATGCAGAACCACACAGGGGTTGTTGTGATCAACATTTTAATCGTCGTGTGCTGAGGCTGTAATCCTGTCTAGAGTATGGGTAATCGTCTACCTATCCGTAACTGCCCTAGCAATGGTAATGAGCCGCGCTTGATAGATAGGTGCCCTTGGCCGACAAATCATATTTATGGTAAACGTGGCGAGGTGCTTTATCGAGTAAGGAGGGCGGCAAGGCCTGTGGTTCTATCCAACATACTTAGGTACCTAGGCGGGTGAAGCCGCTTAGAGACGAAGACATCCCGCGCCACCTCCGGAGACGGATGCAAGTGGAATCCTTTCAACCATCCTCAGACCGAGGCGATACGAACCTGAGTACCGGGTGTACTCACGCATGACAACCCTTGAGTTACTAGAGCCACCCCTGTGGCAGCACGTCGTCATCCAGGCTCAGGCTACAATAATTGTTTCTTTTTTGTAGCGCAACTAGAATATAAGTGTAATTTACGTCTAATGGTGGACTGTTAGGAGCACATGGGCAGCGGTACAAAGCGGATAGCCACGAGCCGGAAGATATTAGCTTACGGTAACAAACCAAGGTATGAGCGGTGGGCTGTCAGCTTCAAGGGAGGATCGGCCTATACATCGAGCGGATGCGAGGTTCCAAGCCGGCAATATAGCGTTCGCTACCCGCTCACGAGCCCAGGGCTGCTTCTTTTGTTTAAGCGAGGTGATATAAGCTTAAAGGGCGAGCTGTTAAGAGCTTTTCCGACTTGGCATGCGGCGATAAGGTGGGTAGTCATGAGCAATCGGACGAAGCGGCCCGAGTCCGAATAGGACTTTCATCCGATTTCCCTGAACATCTTCAATGGTAGCTCAATATTTCTTACGTTTCGGCTAGAAAGAAACAGTATCTTCCCGAGAGAGCGATGGAAAGTTCTGATACGTGATTACAAGAAACATGGATTGACTGTGCCGTTCATACGGTTATCATACGCGAGAAGGATCCTAGATTCCATCCTGGTACTCACTCCTAACAGGCCGGGCTTCAATTATATAAAGCCTCAAGTATCTCCCTCGCTACCCGGGATTGCGAAACTCGAGTTGTAGTACTCAAGGTCTCTGCGGTTTCTCAGACTCATTCAACATCAATCTTACTCTGAAGTTCAACCCTCCTCTATACCTCCGCCCAGCATGGCTAGCCTCCCTTCACTCCTGGTGTTCGGGCCTCAGACAGGATTCCCATCAGAACAGGCCCTCCACAAGGTTCGGCAAGAGCTAGTCAACAATTCTCGGCTGTCTGCTCTGAAGGAGGCCGTCGACGACCTGCCAACTTTCTGGCAGGAGTTAGTTGAGTTTGACTCAACCCTACGTGCCGTTCCGGGCAACGAACACCTGCGCCATATCAAGCAATGGGTTCAGGACGGCGGTTCCTTGCCCTTCCGAGAAAGCAACGCACTAAGCCACTATTCCCTTGCGGTCACCGTCCTGCTCCACATCACGCAGTACACTCGCTACCTCGGACAACTCGACAAAGACTCGCACCGTGACGTTCTGGACAGCGTCAACGGCGGTGGAGGAATCCAGGGTTTCTGCGTCGGTCTGCTGAGTGCCCTCGCTGTGGCAACCTCAGCGAGTGAACTTGACATCGGTACTTCTGCCGCCGTCGCGCTTCGCCTGGCCGTGTGCATCGGAGCCTACGTGGACCATGATGGCCTGGATGATGAGATTCTGGCTGTTGCCCTGAGATGGGGAGAGGGACACGTTCAAGCTAACGTTGAGGACATCATCCGGTCGATCCCTGATGTAAGTCAACACTGCCCTTTTTTTCCCAGTTGAAACCGCCTCGTTGCCACAGGCACAGTTTTAGCGTGTCCTAACTGTCGTCGCTAGGCTTACGTATCGAGCGTCAACGACGATACGAGCGTCACTGTGACTATCAAGGCTGCCTACCGTGACACTCTAACGGAAAAGGCGAGTGAGCACAAGCTGCGCACGAAAGAGGTCCCCGTCTACGGCCGTTTCCACGCGGCCGCCCACGCCGGTGCGGTGGACAAGCTCATGGAACTGGTCAAGGTCTCTAGGAACCTGGAATTCCCAGATGCGAAGGCACTATGCAGCCCCGTCCGCAGCACCGCCGATGGTAGAATTATCACCGCGGCCTCGTTGAGTCGCGTTGCCCTGGAGAACGCCCTCGTGGACCGGGCCGACTGGTACACCACCGTGGCGTCTTCGGTCGAGCAGCTTCCCAAGTCCAACCGAACCGTCGCTGTTGCGGGATCCGGGAACTGCATTCCAGCATCTCTCGTCCAAGACGCGCGCCTCGACATCCTCAGCCTGGGGGATTTCCTGGAGGCGTCGAAGCCGAAGCTGAACGGCCGCGCCAGTGGTACTACCAATGGTACCAACCATAGCCATGACGGCGAGGAGTCCGTGGATTTGTCCCAGTATCCTGCCCATTCGATTGCCATTGTTGGGATGGCTGGAAGATTCCCCGGCGCGGACTCGGTCGATGAGCTCTGGGATCTTATCCTGGAGGGCAAAACCATGGTTCGGCCTGCGCCTGTTGAACGGCTTGACCTGCCGCATACCGGAGACCATGCGAAGACGCAATGGTGGGGGAACTTCTTAAACGATCCCGACGCCTTCGATCACAAGTTCTTCAAAAAGTCTTCCCGCGAGGCCGTTGCGTGGGATCCCCAACAGAGAATCCTGCTCGAGGTTGTGTACGAAGCCTTGGAGTCTGCGGGCTATTTCGGCCCTTCGGCGGCTTCGGAACCGCTCGACTACGGCTGCTATATCGGTGCAGTCATGAACAACTACTACGACAACCTCTCTTGCCACGCCGGCACCGCCTACGCCACGGTTGGAACGTCCAGATGCTACCTCAGCGGTTGCATGAGTCATTACTTTGGATGGACCGGTCCGTCCCTGACGATCGATACCGCGTGCTCATCCTCCCTGGTTGCCATCAACACGGCCTGCCGAGCCATCTGGTCCGGTGAATGCTCTCGGGCCGTCGCCGGGGGAACTAACGTCATCTCGAGTCCTTTTGACTATCAAAATCTCGCAGCCGCCGGGTTTTTGAGTCCATCAGGGCAATGCAAGCCGTTCGACGCTGATGCTGATGGTTATTGCCGAGGCGAGGCCGTGGCGGTTGTGGTTCTCAAGCCGCTCGCGGATGCCGTTAAGGAAAACGACAATATCTTGGGCGTCATTGTCGGGTCTGCCGCGAACCAGAACCACAACGTTAGCCAGATTACGGCGCCACACTCGGGCTCGCAGGTTAAGCTTTATAACAAAGTTATGGAGCTCAGCGGGGTGAAACCAGAAGATGTGTCATATATCGAAGCCCATGGAACTGGAAGTAAGTCAACGCCCTTGTCCCAATGACTTGCGTGTCTGAAAACTCACAATGTGTTTCCGTGAAGCCGGGGTCGGTGATCCTATCGAGGTCACTAGTATCCGCGACGCATTCGGCGGGCCTCAGCGAGATTCCGTCCTCCATTTCAGCTCGATCAAGGGGAATATCGGTCATACCGAGGCAACCGCCGGCGTCGCTGGTCTCATCAAGGTTCTCCTGATGATGCGACATCGAAAAATAACCGCGCAAGCGAGCCACAGGGCCCTGAACCCCAAGATTCCAACGTTCGCCGAGCACCGTATGGAAATTCCTCGAGAGATCATGCCCTGGCAGGCCTCCACCCTCCTATCCATGGTCAACAGCTACGGTGCGGCTGGCAGCAACTCGGCCGTGATGCTTCGCGAAAAGCCGTTTTCTCGTCGCGCCGCCCCAACTACTCCACGACTTTCCAAATACCCGCTTTTCATCTCAGCCGGATCTGCCAACAGCCTTTCTCAATACAGCAAAAAGCTGTTGAGTTGGCTGAAAAAAGCCGAGGCTGAATCCGAAGCGGATTTGTTGCCATCAGTCGCCTTTCATCTTGCCGACAGAGGCAACCATCAACTACCACACGTCGTAGCCACGACGGTAAGCTCGGTTAGGGACCTTGAGACCAACCTTGAAGAAGTTGCAGGTGGCTCGGGGACGATGCTCAGCACATCGCCCGCGTCCCAGCCTGTGGTGTTGGTGTTTGGCGGCCAGGAGAGCGACTTCATTGGTATTTCAGAGGATGTCTACCAGTCATCACTGGTGCTCCGCAAACATCTCAACTCTGTTGACAGGCTTCTTGTTTCGGCCGGATTGGAGAGCATCTTCCCCGCCGTGTTCGAGTCCAGGCCGTCGGGCAATCTGGTAACTCTGCACTCAGCTCTATTCGCAGTCCAATATGCTTCGGCCAAGGCGTGGATCGACTGCGGGCTCAAGGTCGACGCGGTTGTTGGCCACAGTTTCGGTCAGCTGACAGCGCTGTGCATTTCGGGGGTGCTTTCGCTTGCCGACGCGCTGAAGCTGGTGTCTGGGAGGGCTTCACTCATGCAAACACACTGGGGCCTCGAGCCGGGTTCCATGTTGTTCTTGCAGGCCGATCGCAAGACAGTCAACGGAATCGTTGGCACCTTAACCGATGCTGGCCTCTATGCCGAGATTGCGTGCTACAACGGTCCCACGAGCCATGTCGTCGTGGGTTCTTCCGAGGCCATCGAATTCTTACAGCGGCACGTTGCAAACACGCCTCACCTTCGGAATTCCGTCCGCACCCAGAAGCTCAACGTCACCAATGGCTTCCATTCACAGTTCACGGAACCCATGCTGGAACATCTCGCATCACTTGCCGAACAGCTGGAATGGCGACACCCGAACATCCACCTCGAGACCACTGATGAGTTCCGGAGCAACTCGGAGCCCGACTTCCACATAGTCCCACACCACACAAGACAACCCGTCTTTTTCCAACAAGCCATTGAACGGCTTACGGCTAAATTTTCCCGGTGCACGTGGATCGAGGCAGGACGCGGTTCTTCGGTCATGAAGCTCGTCAGGGGCTCTGTGGCAGGCCCCCCGCAGGGACACGCATTCCACTCTCCCCAGCTCACATCAGCCAAGGCGCAAGAGTCACTCGTTGACGTCACAGTAGATCTGTGGAAGAAAGGATACGCGATTCAATACTGGCCGTTCCACAGAAGTCAAAAGACAGGTTACGATGCTCCCAGCATCCCACCCATCCAGTTTGAAAAGACCCGGCACTGGCTCCCGTTCCGGGCAAGAAGCTCACTCAAGGAACACGAAGCAGCGGAGGTGGTGAAGGAGGATGAGCAAAAGCATGAGCTTCTAACCTTGATACACTCCAAGGACAAGGCCAACAGCCTGGCGGTTTTCCAAATTGATCCGCACGCAGAGCGTTTCAAAAAAATGCTCGGCGGTCATGTCATGGGCGGACAGACCCTTGCTCCGGCGTCGTTGTACTTCGAGATCGTTGCGCGCGCAGCCTTGCTGCTTCAGAATGATACGCAGGCGACGACGTACGTGCCGACCGTGGACGACTTGCACATGAGGTCCCCGATCGGCCAAGACACCAACACCAACATCTCACTCGTGCTTACAAAGCTCAACGACGCCCCGCCCGCCTGGTCATTCTCTATCACCACCCGGCCCGCCGACGTCCCGAACGCAGAGCCATTTGAGGTTTCCACCGGCAGGGTTTGCCTCAAGAAGCGCGACGACGCCCAGCAGGCGCGAGACTTTGAGCGCTATGAGACCCTGACGGGTCACCGTAGATACGAAGAGGTCCTGAATCACCCCGACGCCGAGACGATGCAGGGTAGCCACATTTACCGAGCCTTCAACACGGTCGTGTTTTACGACAAGCCTTTCCAGGGCATCAAACAGGTGGCCTGCGTGGGCTCCGAAGCAGCCGGCAAGGTCAGGATCAGGCCAGATCCAGAAGACCCGGCCGACCAACGGCTTGTCGACACACCCATGACCGATAGCTTCATGCAGTTTGCCGGATTCTTGGTCAATTATTTCAACAACCCGAGCACCGAGGACGTGCTGGTCTGCGGCAAGATAGAGCACATTGAGCTGGGCGGGTCGTTCGATCCCGACGCCGGGGAATGGCTAGTGTATTCGACCATGAGCGAGGGTGGTGAGACGGATGCTTGGTCCGACGCCTACGTCTTTGACGCCAGGACGAAGAAGATGGTCATGGCCGCGTTCGGGTTCCGCTTCTCGAGAATGGCCCGAACTCTCCTCGGGCGGATCCTGAAGAGTGTCAACAAGTCCGCCAATACGTCCAAGAAGACACCGGCCAAAGATGACATGCCCGACGACATCCACGATGATTCTATTCATCTGCTTGACCAACCCCAGAGCACTGCGAGTGCGCCGGCGCGGTCAACGAGACCTGTCGGAAAGCGCCGAGAGCTCCTCCAGATTCTGTCCAACGTTACGGACGTCCCCGTTGCGGAGCTCAGGGACGACTCAAGTCTGGACGATCTAGGAATCGACTCTCTCATGGCTACCGAGGTGCTCAACGACATTCGTTCGGCCCTGGGTCTGACCATTGACCTATCCAGCTTCCTGTTCTTCCCGAACGTGGGCACCCTGGCGGCCTACGTCGATGACAAGCTAGGCTTTGGCACGGGGGGCGACGACATCGATTCGGGGGTTTCAGACGTGGAGACCGAGGCGTCTAATAACAAAGTAGGAACAGCCACGCCGGCATCCATTGTGACAGTGGACGAGCCTAAGTTCTCCAAACAAGATGTGCCGACCTTGATATCAGCACGCGATGCCTTTGAAGAAGCCCGCCTCAACTACGACCAGCACGCCAGGACGACGCAAGCCGTCGACTTTTGGGGGGAGGCTTACCCGCACCAGGCACGCCTCGTCCAGGCTTACATCGTCGAAGCATTTGCAAACTTGGGCTGCAAGCTTGCAAGCCTCCAACCTGGTGACCGTGTTCCCGTCATCGAATCCCACGAGAAGCACAGACAGCTCGTGCACCAGCTCTACCGCGCGCTGGAGGACGGCGGCCTGATTACCAGAACCTCCTCCTCCGGCGACAGCGATGATGACATCAACTTCACGCTGACCGCGGCCCCCATCGACCCCACGCCCGCCGAGACCATCTACCACGACATCATCGACCTGCACCCCCAGCACGCCAGCGTGCTCAAGCTAGTGCGCGCGGTGGGCTCCGAGATGGCCGCCTGCCTGCGCGGCGACAAGGAGGGCATCCAGGTGGTGTTCGGCAACCGCGAGACCAAGCGGATGCTCGAGGAGATGTACGAGTTCTGGCCGCTGCTGCGCACCCCGGCGCTCGTGCTCGGCGACTTTCTCGTCAAGGCGTTCCGGAACTCGACCGGTGGGGGCAGGTTCCGCATCCTCGAGATCGGCGCCGGCACGGGCGGCACGACGCGGTACATTGTCGACCGGCTCCGGCGCGAGGGCATCGACTTTGAGTACGTCTTCACCGACCTTGGGTCGTCGCTGGTCAACGCCGCGGCCAAGGGGTTCAAGAACAAGGAAGGGCTCGTGTTTGATGTCCTGGACATCGAGCAGGAGCCGAGGGACGAGTACAGGGGCGCGTTCCACGCCGTCATTGCCACGAACTGCATTCATGCCACGCGCGACTTGGAGGTGTCGCTCAGACACGTGAGGCAGATGCTGAGGGAGGACGGTGCGCTGGGGCTGATTGAGATCACGCAGAATATGTACTGGCTGGATATTGTGGTCGGGCTGTTTGAGGGGTGGTGGGTGTTTGAGGATGGGAGGAAGCATGCGCTGGTCGATGAGAGGCACTGGGAGAAGAAAATGAAGAGGGCCGGGCTTGGAGAGGTCTCTTGGAGCGACGGGACGAGCCCGGAGGCCAAGACGGTGAGGGTCATTGCTGCGTTTCCTGGCCAGGGCGAGGCGGTGCCGGAGAAGCCGGTGAAGGCGGCCATGGAGACTGTCGTCTATAAGACAGTTGGGAATCTTGACATCCACGCCGACATTTACTACCCACTGGAAGGCGAGATGGCGTCAGATAAGAAGTTGCCGGTTGGTAAGTGAGCATCGCCTTTGCCCATGTTGGTTTCGACTCCTCGTAACTGATCATATTAGCGTTGATGATACACGGAGAGAGCCACATGCTCTTTAGCAGAAAGGATATCCGACCCGCTCAGACACGCCTCTTGCTCAGCAAAGGGTTCCTGCCCGTCAGCCTGGATTATCGCCTTTGTCCTGAAGTTCCCCTGATGGAGGGACCCATGGTGGACGTTTGCGACGCTCTTGATTGGGCTCGCAACCAGTTGCCCGGAATCAAGCTGCCAAACCCCGGGCTACAGATCGACGGAACTCGAGTAGTAGTGGTGGGTTGGTCTTCGGGCGGCCAACTGGCCATGTCACTAGGCTGGACGGCGCCGCAGCGTGGACTGCGTCCGCCTGAGGCCATGATCGTCTTCTATGCCCCCGACGGACTATGAAGACAAGTGGTGGCAGAACCCGATTCAGCCCAACGGCGCTCCTTATAGGGGCCAGCAATACAACGTCCTCGAGGGCGTCCGGGACGAGCCAATTACTAACTACGATATGGTGGGAGCATGGGAGGAGCCCATCGCGGATCCGCGCAGCTGGCATGATGCGCGCTGCCGCATCGTGCTCCATATCAACTGGAAGGCTCAGACGCTCCCCGTCATCCTGAAAGGATTGCCGAGCATCAAAAACGCTGCCGACGATACTGGAGTGAAGGACTGGAGCAAGCTGGCGCAGCCATCCCTCAACACCATCAGGGCCGCCAGCCCGCTTGCCCATATCCAAGACGGGAGTTACCACGTACCGACATTTTTTATCCACGGCACGGCTGATGATCTGATTCCGTGGGAGCAAAGCCAGAGGACGCATCGGACCATGGCCGAGCAGCACCTGGCCACCGAATTGGTGCTTCTTCACGGGGCCCCGCATATCTGTGACTTGAGCAGTGATCCCCAGTCGGATGGATGGAAAGCCGTTCTCAAGGCGTATGACTTTATTGCTTCACATGTCTAATAGCTGGGGACGGCGTATGGGTTTGCTTGTCTTATCAATTGAGATTGCATATGAAGGATGGGTATATCATGTAAAACTGGACTCTACTGTTATCTTGAGCCTAGGACGGGACACAAAAATGGTTATCGCCGATAAAAAGGATAGGCTAATAGTAAGGCTACTGAATTTAGCGTTATTGTAGTAGGGGAAGGCTAGACTACCATTTTGGGCCCTCGGATCCCGTCCCTTGTTCGGGATGTGAACGAACTGTGCGTGACCCTCGAGACTCGGTACCGGATTAGCCCGTTTATGCCGTCGTAGCCTTCCCCCTCCCCCTAGACTCCCATGCTACCCAGATGTCGTGTGACTGTGACAGTTCAAGGCTTCTGGGTCCCAGAGGTTGCCACGTGGGACTTGCATCAATGTCGCAACGAGCAAACCACGTGCGGGATTCCCCTTGCCGGGCTACTCGTCACCACAACCGGCCGAGAATAAGTTAGCAGAGAGTCCAAGACTGTTTGTCTGATCGTGATTTTCGTGCCAGACAGGAGAAGAGATTCGTTTATCCCCCTCATTGGTTAATCAAGGTAATGGAAACAATTCTATCTCGTATGACGCATCAATCATTAATACCCAGGTGCCCAAAACCGTACTCTACGCCAATTAACAAAAGCCGGCCATGCCCTCGTGACTGTCTGGCCGTTTTAATACCAACTTGGAGATATTATCCGCAAGGCATATCCAGAAACAAAGCAATCCAAAAACCCTACCCAAGATCATGTACTCCCGCTTATCATAAAACCCACTCGGTTCCCGCCTATGAACACTTCCATGACCATTCCTCAACCGTCCCGTCCGTTCTGCCAAGCTCCCCGCCAGACGGAAACCCGCTTGAACGATATACCGTCGTCGGTGGCGTGCTTCCTCCGATCCGTGCAGGCGAACCCAGTTCTCGTCGTTTTGTTGGCGCAAAAGGTAACGCAGGCATCCAGGCCGTTGGGGACCCAAATCCAGCTTGTGGCGTCAAACCCCAGATCGTAAAAGCCCTCGTCCCAGAAGATGGGGGACGCTTTGCCCTCAAAATCATTCTTTTCATAGACTTGGAGCGCGTACCCCTTGTAGGTCCTGTCTGTTTGATTACTGAGAAACGAGATGGTCGGCGTGGGCAGGTCGGGGCCGCGGGAGACTGTCGAGGATGCTGTGGGAGTGGTGGTGGTGCTGCCGGTGTCGGTGCTGGTGCCGGTTGCGCTGCTGGTCATGTTAGCTAGGGTCAATCGCACCGGGGCAGGGGCTGCCATGTTGGAACACTGACCTGCTCGATGATGCCGAGCTCGTTTCGGCTGGTTCGGCGCCGTCTGACGACCCCTGCCTCGCGGCTATGGATCCGCCGACGCCGCCACCGACCGCCGCCCCCACGACTACGAGCGCGACAATCACAGCAATAATGATAAAGAGGCGCTTGCGGAGACCGCAGATTCGCTTCTCGGGCGCCGGCGGCTCGCTGCCGACATATGTCTGCTGATCGTCACCAGGAGGGAACGATTGCCACGGCAGGGAGCTGTTGGGACTCATCATGCTGACTGAGTGCTCGGCGTCGGTCCATGGTTGGTGGCTTTGGTGGCCGGGCGAGGGCATCCCTTGCATCCCTGGCGTCTGCGGTTCGTGTGGAAATTTTGGCGCCGCGTCGTAATACACTGGATACTTGTCCGTCTCCATGTAGTGCCGTGGCTGGGCGAATTCTGGTGATGAATCAGGCACTACTTCTGGCAGCGGCGTTGCGCTCGCCATTGGCGGCTGCGGCTGCGGGTGCTGAACCGCCTCTGGGAGGTTCTCGTCGGCCGGGCGCCCCCCCATCTCGAACGGCGGCTTCCCCATTTCGAGTAACGTCAAAACGCTTTCTCGATCCGTCCTCGTCGTCTGGGGTCCAAATGCCAACTGTATTCAGATCCGGGGTATGTGGGTTGTGGCGTCCGATCGGGATCGCACCGAGGCGCAAATAGTCCTGGGGGTGGCGTTCACCATTCTGTGAGTTGGGGAATCCCGACGTTTTGAGCGCTGTTGATTTGATATCGGACGATTCGTCTGGGTCTGCGGGCCACAGCCCAGGCCTTCCCCTCGCACAGCTGTACCTTTTGTGGCTTCGGCAGGGGCCCGAAGGGTAAGACGGCACAGGGATCGTCCGCGGCAGTGCCTCCATTCGGAAGGGTCTCTGACCCGAGCTGCGCAGCTGCTTCGCGGTAGGGTTGCAGTTGCAACTCCTTGGCTTGGGGACACAATCACCAGCTCGCACCCTCATTTGGCCCCTGACGAACCGCGGAGAAAGGTCGCACCAATCCGACCCCCTTCAATCCGTCATTTCCTTGCTCTGCAGCCAACGCCGTTCAGCTTCGAGCCCGCCACTCGCCAGCGCAAGAATGCGATTACCACGCTGACATCAATGTCAAACGCTGTTCATTTAAAGCTGCCCTTAGGGCTGAAAGTCCCTGCGGCGTCAATCCGTCGGGGAAGCCTCGTCGCAACGGACAATGCCAGGGACGAGGGCTCGGACGGGTGGGCGATTGGCCGCCCTGGGTCGCCTGGTGGTGAACAAGCAAAATCCCTCGTGCGCTTTGCTGGACTTCAGAGTTGCTGTTGATGTGACCTCGAAACCTCAAAAGTTCCAAGCGTGGCTTCGCAGAAGTGCGGAAGTGGGGTCAAAATTAACTCGCTCGGGAAGATCTGCTGTGGATCAGGGACCCATTTATTCTGGAGAGTTCAACCTTCGTACCACCACCAGTCATTGTTAAAGACAGTTGTGCCGTCTCGTCCTTACTTTTCGATGAACCCACTGCGGTTGGGCCGTTGTAATCTATTCTCGGCTTCAGCGGTGTTGTATCGTCATCTACAGAGTAATATTGAACTGGGTGACGGTTTCTGTATCTTCTGACCAGGGGGCCCGGGCGAGTGGGTCTTGATTTATTTTTCCATCTTCCGTTCCTGGCGCCACGGTAACTACCTTTTGTATTTAGTCAGGAGGCGGGACCCTCCTTGAGTTGGGGGCAGACAATTCCTCTTTTTCTTTTCCACACTTGCAGAAGGGACTCTTTGACGCGGTTCCTGGAACCGCGGCCCTGTGACCAGAGGCGGCGTCACGATTGACGATACCACTGTCGTAGGATAAGTGGTGGAAGTTTACTGTTTCTGAGCCATCTCCTCTCTCATGTGACATTGACATCACAAGGCGTGCGGCGCAGCGGCCCAAGCGTACCAGGTGGTGTGTGTGGTTTTGAGGTGTATCACCTGGGCCAAATCTAAGGCATGGCCCTTTCTAGCGCGACATCTCGCAACGGCAGCACTAAGATGGAGCAGCTCGATATAGTCCGCAAAATGCTGGCCTGACTCGAGAGCCAGCGCACGGTACGAACGACGTCGTGTCCGACAAGAAGATGCTGGGTCTATTCTGACTCCGCCCTTCGTCGCCCTACCTGGCGTTTTTATGGATCGCCAACACCTTCGACATCCCCGTCCAGATGGTTGATCGCGGCATGAGCGCGGCCAACCGCGTGGCTGCTATAGAGCCCTTCGTCACCGTCTCTCTCGACCAGCTACGGCGCGAATACTACCACCCCACGGAGTCCCCCTCTCCCCAAGTCCTAGTCACCACCGTCGGCATCATCGCCGAGGGTCTCAACCTGGCCCGGGCGAATTACCTCGTCCTGCTTGGCCCCCTTGGCACCGTCGCTAAGCAACTACAGATTGGCTGTCGTATCAACCGCGAGGGTGGGTTTTTCACCCCGCACCTGACCCTGCTTCTCGACCCGGACAATAAGGCCGAGATGGTCGTTCGCCGGCGGCAGCTGAACCGCGCCACCATCGAGACGGAGGTGTGGGGCAATACGAAGTAACGGCGACCGACTCGCCTACTTTTCTTTCTTTCTTTCTTTTTTTTTTTTCTTCTTTTTTTTTTTTTTTTTGGCGCGTGGGCATTGACACAGGGAGGATATATCGGTATTGTTTGAGTCCGGGTTGCTCGGGTTCACTTGCTCGGGATCGGAACTCGCCGTGGTGCGGTCGAGGCACATCGCCTTTAAGGAGGGATGTGGGAGGCGCCGTCCTCATCTGCTTTTCCTATTCCGTCTCTCCTATTCCAGAGCCGCGCCATAATGTGTATCGAGGTTCCGAGGGCGCCTGGTGAATGTTTGATTACCGGCGGACATGGTTGACTCGGACGTGGTTATTCGGAGGAGTTCATTGTTGGGTTGACCAGCTCGGGTTTGCCGTGTCAAGGTCAGAGGCCGGCTGCCTTATGATAGTCTTGCTTGTCAGGTAACATAGGGAACTAATCTCACTCAACGTGCTCATTGCATATGTCAGTGCTATATGGTCGCGGGCTTATCGGACACCACGAGCGGCTCATTGCCCACTCACTCTCAGTCGAGTGAGACACACTTACCGGCACGGGCGGTTCTTGCCACTCTTCCTCACGCGGACAGGGTGACGGCGGGCGAGCAAGGAGGTGGTGCGGCGCAGCCAAGGAAAGCTCCCCGTCTCGTTCTTCTGTAGCGCCAAGAGGACCCTTGGTTGCGTATCTTAGAGCCTCCTCAGCACCTTGGTCGTCCTCGTTTTCGTTTTGACGGCCATAGTCAAGCGGAGCTAGCCGCACCGGATGCTTCTTTGCTTTTGCGGAGCGGGTAAATCGCTTGCTTTATTATGTCGTTGGCGATTTCACCATTCTCGACTAGATCGCCTGCGAACCGGAAACGTTCGAGGAGCGCTGGGGTTTCGGTCATATGCCCCTACATCCCCGGTAAGGTGTATGTTGCGTTCCGGGAGGTCCATGGCAAAGGTGCTCTACCCATCAGCACATTCTCCAACTTCCTCAAGTTCACGAGCCTTTCTCCGCGCATGCAATTATATTACGCTCGTTCCTCAGCGCCCCAACAGTTGCGACGATGGCCGCCTTGCACACCACGCCAAATTCTTCCGGAGCTGTTCTTACAACCTCTAGCATGCGGATCCCAAGCTTGCGAACCGCGGTTTGCGGGCCCAGCAGAGGGATCCCTCTGCAACGACCTCTGGGGCTCCGTCACACTCGCCACTCCCGCAGGATGTGCACGATCCTCAAAGCGGTGATGCTAGGAAATCACAGGTCGAGGTCATTTTGATCCCAAACGATGCCGAGTTTGATCTCGATAACTAGCCGATCCGACTCATCTTCTGAGTCGCTTGGCGGGCTTCTGTTAGGCGCGCAACACGATTCAACCCGACCGTATTTCTGGTATAGGTATGTACCTGGATTTCGCATTCCTCGGCAGCCCAATATCTTGACTTGACTGAGCAGGCAAAGGCGTCGGCGCTACTTCTGACCATTACAACGTGCTGGAGCCCTCGGTCACTAGCACGGCCGGCCCAGGCAATGAATCGCATGCCTCACCCATAACTGTGCGCGTGGAGCAGGACCAACCTGTTCTGGTGTTCCCGGTATCCGACCCTTCGCATGTGTGCGTGACGACACTATGCCGGCCGATACTGCACTGCCCCTGCCCCTGCCCAACAGCCAACTGAAGCGGACTATGTTACCGATGAGATGTGTCCTGCCACGCCGCCGCAAGTGGTGCAGAGCCGGGCACGCACACCTACACTGCCGGATGACGAGAGCACCGGCGAGCTCGAACCGGCAGATGCCAGGCCACGCCTTCAGCCCCAGAGTCGATGCGGCACCGCCTCCAGTTGCGGGGTCGGTCCACGACAGAGGTCCGGCAGCTCCCACCCCTCTCACCTCTCTCAGCATTGTAGTCATCGTGACGATGGCAATCGCAAGGTAGCAGAATCCGACCAGCCGAAGCCTACCACGGACCCGCACCGTCGGTCCTAGAGTCCACACAGCGCTGCCTCCAGCCCCAGGGTTGAAACACAGCGTGGTCCGATCATTTGGTCCAGGACGACAGGGGAGCAGAACGAGGGTTTTGTCGCGCCGCCACAGGCGCAGGAGATTCAGGCAAGCATGCCGAGGTTGCCAGTTGAGGGTAGCAACGCACCCGAGCTGGCTCATGCTGAGCCATCTATGCAGCCGTCCGCCAGCCCAGACCAGGCCAACCTTGAGCACGACACCGATTGCCACCAACATTGCGGGGGCTACGGTCCTGTTGCAGACAGCGTCGCAGAGCACGGCGAGGATGAGAATGTTGCCCAGCCACCGCGCAAATGCCGCCGGATACGCACTTCATCCCCCACCACCTGCCGAACAACACCCGAGCCGCAGACCCGCCTACATCGCGCAGGCCGGGCTCAAAGGCGAACAATCCAGCGCCCAAAGCCTCGCCGAAGCCAGTGTCCTTCAGATATCCCAGAAGACCAGGGACAACGGCGTGAAGGTAGTTCTGTCGTACCCAGTGTTGATTCTTCGAATTGCCGCCCGAGGTTCGCACCCAGATCTGGGAACTCGCCTTATAGAGCCGCAAATGCATTTCCTCACTAAAGCTGTTCATATAACACTTAACGTTCTTGCTTTCTTGAACCCCACCAACCTCTCTGTTGCTTTGTTCCTTGACAGTTGTGGGCGTCGACCCAAACATTCGCCAGCCACCTCCCGAAGCATGCCAGGACCAGATCCTGGACAGTCTTGGAATCGCCTTGCATTCTGAACTCCTTGGGCCACGTATTGTTGGATTCGCCACATGAAACCTTCTTGCTGATACTTGTGTTGGAAGGTCATGGCACCGGAAACAGCCATGGCACCGGAAACGGTCATGACATCCGGAAACGGACAAGGTACCGGAAACGGATTCATGGAACTTTGGCAGCACAAAGACTCGGGTTAACTCAAGGATACAAAGGAAAGATTTAGGATAAAAACCAGTTGCTCTGAAGAACTCTGAGAGGAAGAGCCAGAAATCAATCAATCCTTTTCTCTCCAATCTTTCCGTCTGAGTGTCGTTTCCAACACGTATCAATGCCCAGCTCGATAGCCGCCGTGGTAAACCTGGCCACGTCATAGACAGAGGTCATAAAGATCCAGACGACCCTTCCGCTGGGGCCGGTCAGGATAATCTCTGCTCTTGCCTCGTGAATGTTGACGAGGTAGTCATCGGGGCCTTGTATTCCGCAGTTGGTCCTGATTCCGTACGTCAGAAGACTTGACGACGCCGCACATGTCCTCGGCGTCATGTCCCATGGATTGGGTTGGACCCTATCACGGTGTACGCCGGCGCCGACGAGAGCTAGTCGGCGTAGCCCACTGGATGGCAGAGTGTCCCACTGACCTCCCCGGATCTACCCTCCGTCGCGCACCAAGATCCCGTCTTTATCCGAGTGGAAGAAATAGAGAAATCCATGACAGGGCATTAAAACGCACTTAGAACCATTGGCCGCATTTTGACTGAATTGTGATGCATTAAAGTGCTGGGTGATGGTTTTGGTGTACGCCTTTTTTTGGACAGGGGGTGCCGCCCTAAACATCCTCCTTGACCCAACCGCGAATTCGCCGAACAACAACGGAGATTATTGGACTTCAATCTCACCCTTGCCCACCTAACATCCCTCGACAAAGCTGACTGCGATCATGTCACGCTCACCGGCTCGTATCCCAGCTTAACCTCACAACTCTAGTTTCCCCCCACGATTCTAAACACGCCCCTCCCCCACCTTCCGAATAACCGTCACGGTGACCAAAACAACCAGCACGACCAACCACGCCACAGCGGACGCGACGCCGACAACCAATATGTTCCACCGCTGGCGCCTCGTTAGCAACTCCGCCTCGCCGTGTGTGTACCGCCACGGTGCGGCGTCAAAAGTGCCCCAGTAGACGAGCGGTGCGATAAAAGGGAAAAGGCACAACGCGCACATGGCGTAGTACCACACCTGACGGCGCTTGCGGGCCTCCCATGACGAGAAGAAGTTCTCGGTGGCGGCGAACCCAAACGGGACGCCTGCGCCGACTGCTGCCCCTACTCCCGCTCTCGATCCGCTGGCGCCGACTGTTTCCGTGGTGGGGACGCGGTGTAGGTTGGGGGGCGACATTGTCATGGTAGTGGCTACCGTCATGGTGCGAGCGGTGCGGCGCTGGTTGCTAGAATCACCGCGATGGGGAGTCGAGATTCTCTTTGACGAGCCCATCCTCGCGAGTTGGGCCGTCCTCCCGTCGCCGTGCTTATCGGCCTTCTGTAAGCTAATCAACGGAAACGCAACACTGTGGTGGGCAGTTTTCTGGATGGCCTGCGCATTCTCCCTGTGCTTGTAGACGGTCCAGTCAAAAATGTAATCGTACCGGAAGCCTTCACGGATAAAAAGGTTGCGAAAAATCGCTCTCAGATACCTGTAGTCAGGTTTGTCCTCGAAGTGGAGTGACCGGGCGTAGTTCAGGTAAATGGCAAACTCATTGGGCAACCCACGGCAGAGCTCATCGGTAGGTGTGCTCATCTTCTTCTCCATGATGCGGCTGTGCTTCTCGTCCCTGGTGGAAGCCTCGAGACCCTGCCACGGGAGCGAGCCACGACAGAGGTAGAGCATGACATAACCGAGTGACTCCATGTCGTCGCGGCGGGACTGCTCGACACCAAGGTGGGTGTTGATGGAGGCATAGAGTGCCGTGCCCGTCAGGTTCTTTTTCGATCTGTAGGGGATGTGGGAGTGTGTCTTCGGGTCGCGGTACTCCTTTGCAAGGCCAAAGTCAATTACACTGACCTGGTTGCTACGTTTTCCAAGGCCCATAAGAAGGTTCTCGGGCTTGATGTCGCGGTGAATGAACGATTTGGCGTGGATGTATTCGATGCGCGAAATGAACTGATCGGCGAGCAGCAGGACCGTCTTGAGCGAGAACTTGCGGTTGCAGAAGTTGAATTGGTCCTCTAAGCTGGGTCCTAGAAGATCCAGAATCATAGCGTTGTGGTCGCATCCACCACCGAACCAGTGAACAGATGGGATGCCAACACCGCCAGCAAGCGACTTGTAGACGCGAGCCTCACATTCAAGCTGCGGGTGCTCTGCCTTGCGACTCTCGAGCTTGATGGCCACCTCCTCGCCGGAGATGATGTTGGTCCCCAAATAGATATCGCCGAACGATCCCGAACCAATCTTGCGACCAATCCGGTATTTGTTTCCGCCGTGAATCTCCTATTATCCATCAGTAACCGATCCGCCCCACGACCAAGAAAAAAAGCTGGTGGTGCTATCCAAGCCAAATTCTATTTGAGATTTCGTACCATCGCCATCTTGCGGTGTAGTTTGCATTAGGCTGGCCGCGTCGTTTATTTGATCGCGCGGTGTGCGGTGGGCACGCCTCGAATTTGTTGTGCAGGTTGTGGCGAGAAAGTCGCTTGCACTCCGCAGGGTGTTTGGCTGTTGGCACTAGGCCAGTTTCTTTCCCGGCGTTGTTTCCCCTCCAACTTTTGGCACTATTCTGTAACTTAGCAGTGCGTAATTACTGACAACACCATGGCACCGGTCTACCTTGACTGCCGAACTTTTTACACTCCTCTTGTGGGGCCGAATCCTAAGCCTACACGCCGGACTAACAGGATACTTAGGTATCGCCTCGGTACGCAACCATCGTCATGGAGTGTCCGCCCGAAGTTATGCTTCAGCGGTTGACCAAGCGGGCGATGTTATCAGACCGGGAGGATGACGCCGGAGACAGAGCTAAGAAAAGGATTGATATTTTTACACACTTGATTGTGTCGGTTCGATTGCCGAGGTTCAGGCGGCGTTCCAGAGATTCATGGCAATGGAAATGGAGGCATTCAAAACTTGGAAGCTCGATTGAGTGTATCTAGGGGATGTCCTACTGCTGAAGAGAGAACAATCATCATTTGAAAACATATGGATGATCCGTACACCCCAGCCACCCACAGCCGTGAGCTCTATCCGTGTGATAACCGATTCTGGTGGTATCATAGGCGTCCTGGGGGAGCCGCGAGGATGGTGATTGGTTCGTGAACGAGGTGACGAGGGTACAGGAGTGACCGTGCCCGCTGCGCGCGGGCACGCCAAAGGAAGCCTGGAGGAACTTGCCGGCTGCAGGTAGGCGCCATAGCGGAGTCAACGATGTAATTGTTAAAGGCGGAAGAAGAAGCCATCTTGACTGCAATGGAATTATAAACAGTATCAGGAGATGATTCTAGTTTAGGTCAGAAAATCGGGACGGAAAGAACGTATCGAGTTCCTTGGATTGGGAAAATGGAGCACCGCGGTGTAAAAAAAGGTGGCCTCTAGCACCGGTTTGACCTCATCGCCGATGTATGACGCCGCATTCTTGAGTCTCCAGTAAGCTATATCGTCATCTAGGGGCTTCAGTAATCAGATCCCGTAAAGATTAACCTCTGTGGCGTAATCTCACAGAGCTGATAGGTTCCGTGTATTTTGTGCGTCAAAGAAGCAATTTGCTTCGCTACCCTTCGTCACGGAGACGACCATCGAGCCGTTGGCCTTGCTTGTATCCTTCCTGCTGAGCCAGGCAATCTTGGCAATGTTGACGTTCTCTGTCGTCGTGGTTCCAGGATTGGGACGTCATGGCCGAATCAGCGCAGACTGAAGCTGCTGACGAAGAAGCGGGTGCGTCGCTCTAGTAGTAGTAAACCTCATCTTTCGCCACTTTTTGACAGAAATCCGATTTTTTTGTTCGTGTTCGTGATTGTCAAGGAATGCGCGACGGAGGCATGCAAAAGCAGGAGCGAAGCAGCGAGTCACAGGGCCCTGATGCCAAGTGCGGGTTAGCGGCTTTTCTCCGGCGATCCGATTGGCCAGGTGTCAAAGCATTAAATGGTCCGTGCACCTCCACCGCCAAGACCAACTGCGAGATGCCAATTCGAGGAAGCAGAATGCAGATGACGCCAGACTTCGAGATGCTATCGAGAGAAGTCGAAAGGAGAAAAAAGCCAAAATTCTACAGTGAGAAGTCGACAGTACAGGTTAGAAATGACACCGGTTTTTGAGTTTTTTATGGAGTAAAAACTGGTCCGTGCTTATAGCATGCCATGGCATTTCTGACCAAGGAACCTGGAGTTCCTCCAGGCATTCGAGGCAAAGCAGTTCGCGAAGTACAATGGCAGGGCCAAACTTTTGCGGGCCCGTTGGCCTCCGTGCCGCTCACCACGCCGCACTATGGAACAGGGCGGTACGCAGGAACCGCGCCTCGTCGCCCAGTCGGCTGGCCGGAGGCCGGGTTATCGCCCGGCGCTCAACGGTGGTGTGGCAGCAATCGAATTGCCCCCCAATTTCCCGCCAACCACTGGCCAGGATCACGGCCTTCGTCGCGCCGCCAGGGCCGTTGGACTTTTCGCGGTGCGGAATCTGTAGAGACATGACGAGAATGTAAGATTGGGCTTTGTTGTAGTCTGGAGGTTCGAAATGATGAAGACAACGCTGGGGAAGCACAGGAACCTAAGGGCAGCCGTTCTCGACGATGCCAGATGGGGCCCAAGTCCGCTGAGGCGCTGTCAGTTGCAGCTGTGTTACATGGTCCGTGCGCTGCCCCTCATTCAATGGATCAGTCGGCCGAATGAGACCAAGTTGGTCGAAACAGGCAAGTCGTGACCATTTCATCGAAATCGTTCTTCGCTGTGCCCAAGTTGCCATTCTGAATCCATCGACCCATTACCAGGTTTTTATCCCGAAGCTGAAGGGCGAAGCATCTGACAACACTCGCGAGCAACATCTTGAGCAAGTCAAGAAGAAAGAGGAGAGATCTGAAGCGCAATTCTCTCCGAATACCAGAGCGCTGGAGGTCAAGGGTCCAGATCTAGTGGATCTAAACTTCTACGACTTTCCCGGCGTTTTCATTACTGCCAGGCGCAGCGAGGAGATCTTCCTGGAGCGCGTTGTCCAGAACCTTACGCGAGAATACATTTCGCTCCCTAGTGCGATTATCCTCTGCGCGGTTCCGATGAACCAGGACACGGAGAATTCCCTTGCCCTCAAGGTCATCAGGGGCCAACATGCCCAAAACCGGGGCCTCGGCGTCATGACCAATTGGCCGCTGGCGGGACAGCCTTGTCCGGGTCTCCGTCACCGGCCAGGTTCAACTAATTAGCACAAGGGACTTACCGGGGAGTTCGGAGGCGCTTGGGGGTTGTCACCGTTCGACATGATTAAAGGCCGATTGCTTTGGAGCGAGATACACAAATTACGAAGAGAATAGAGACTGGGATGGCTGTTGTGAGGGCAGTGAGACAAGGGTTCTTGACGAGGAAAGGGGCGTTCTTATACCCAATGACCGGTAAGCTCAGATTCGGGCTGATTACACGACTGACTGACGAGTGTAAAAAGGTGCTACTAAACTAGAATCACATCTCCTTGTACACCTTCTCTTTACGTTCCCTTCGTGGCAGATCATGCAGGACAACTGGCACATTCACATTGCAGATGCACCAGGTTGAAATTATTAACCATTAAAACTCCGTAGGCAGTTTAGTCATGTCCCCAATCCGGGAGGCTAGATGCGGGCATGGCCGGTTGGCATGTCGTTGTCAACCATGTACGGTTATCGTGGAGTGATCTCCCCAAGCCAACGTGGATAATTCGACACCGAATCCCCTTGGCCGATGGTCTGCTTTCCCTTGTCTGAGTTGCTTGTGCCGATGGGGGTGGTGGCAGGTCCTACGGCAAGCATCTCACTTAACTCACTGGGCCGTGCGATATCCTCAATGCGCACGACATGGCCTCCTGACCGGGCTGCCTTAGCAACCGAGCTTTGTACGCGGAAAGTCTCCCTTAAACTTCGGGCACGGCCATACCTAATTAGGAACATTTCATCTAACGAATAACTATGCGAGCTACGCAATAAGCATGCAAATTTCTCACCGGCGAATAAGCCGCTCGTGGTGTCCGATAAGCCCGCGACCATATAGCACTGACATATGCAATGAGCACGTTGAGTGAGATTAGTTCCCTATGTTACCTGACAAGCAAGACTATCATAAGGCAGCCGGCCTCTGACCTTGACACGGCAAACCCGAGCTGGTCAACCCAACAATGAACTCCTCCGAATAACCACGTCCGAGTCAACCATGTCCGCCGGTAATCAAACATTCACCAGGCGCCCTCGGAACCTCGATACACATTATGGCGCGGCTCTGGAATAGGAGAGACGGAATAGGAAAAGCAGATGAGGACGGCGCCTCCCACATCCCTCCTTAAAGGCGATGTGCCTCGACCGCACCACGGCGAGTTCCGATCCCGAGCAAGTGAACCCGAGCAACCGGACTCAAACAATACCGATATATCCTCCCTGTGTCAATGCCCACGCGCCAAAAAAAAAAAAAAAAAGAAGAAAAAAAAAAAAGAAAGAAAGAAAGAAAAGTAGGCGAGTCGGTCGCCGTTACTTCGTATTGCCCCACACCTCCGTCTCGATGGTGGCGCGGTTCAGCTGCCGCCGGCGAACGACCATCTCGGCCTTATTGTCCGGGTCGAGAAGCAGGGTCAGGTGCGGGGTGAAAAACCCACCCTCGCGGTTGATACGACAGCCAATCTGTAGTTGCTTAGCGACGGTGCCAAGGGGGCCAAGCAGGACGAGGTAATTCGCCCGGGCCAGGTTGAGACCCTCGGCGATGATGCCGACGGTGGTGACTAGGACTTGGGGAGAGGGGGACTCCGTGGGGTGGTAGTATTCGCGCCGTAGCTGGTCGAGAGAGACGGTGACGAAGGGCTCTATAGCAGCCACGCGGTTGGCCGCGCTCATGCCGCGATCAACCATCTGGACGGGGATGTCGAAGGTGTTGGCGATCCATAAAAACGCCAGGTGGGCGACGAAGGGCGAGTCAGAATAGACCAGCATCTTCTTGTCGGACACGACGTCGTTCGTACCGTGCGCTGGCTCTCGGTCGGCCAGCATTTTGCGGATCTGTATATCGAGCTGCTCCATCTTAGTGCTGCCGTTGCAGATGTCGCGCCAGAAGGGCCATGCCTTAGATTTGGCCCGGGCCTCCATGATGGTGCCCTTAGTGAAGACGCCCCGGAAGTCCTCGCCGGTGAGGCTCCAATCGCAGTAGGGCGCTTGGGAGTGGAGGCGAGCCAGGGCTGGGAACGTGGCGCACAGCCTGAGCAGGCGGAAGCTGCTGCTAGTGTTGGGGGCGCCGGCACTGATCTGGCGGACGAGGAGCTCGAAGGTGGGCTCGGTACCTCGACGATGTTCTGGCAGCTCCTCCCACCTGGCGTGGCGCTCGTCTAGCAACGCTTGCACCTCATCCTTTGTGGACGAGAAGATGTTCTCGATGCAAGCGGCAAACTGGGGCGGCGGCGGACAATCCACGACGTTGAAAGGGACCATGGGCACGGTTGACAGCGGCGCGCCGGCAAAGACGTCGTCTCGGCGGCGGCGGAGGGTGAAGGTGAGCACGAGGGCGCTGAGGTCGGAGAGGAAGACCTGCTGCTGCTGCTGATCCGATTCCGATTCCGAGCCGGCGGCGGCGGCGCCGAGGCCACGGGCGAGCGTCTTGTTGTAATGCGAGGTCAGCCGCTTGAGCGCCTGAAGCGTGGACGTGGCGGGCGGTCGGAGAGGGCTGCTCCAGCCGGCGCCTGGGTGGTTCAGGTGCTCCACCAGCCTCTCGAAGTCCGCCGGGTCCCGGGTCATAGGTGTGCCCGTCAGGGCAAGGAGGTAAGTGGGACTCCGAGCGCGCCACTGCCAACGCCGGATGCGATCCCAGAGCATGGTGGTCTCGCCCTTGATGCAGTGGGCCTCGTCCACGATGATCCTGCCCGGCTGGACGGCGAACTGGACTACGGTGGGCGGCCGGCGGCGGTCGGCGGTGACGGCGAAGGTCGAATCGATACTCTTTACGGCCGACGTGTTGGGAATCAGCAGGATGTACCGAGACTGGCCGGGCTTGGGTTTGAGCCTGGCGCCTTCGTCTTGCAGGCCCGGCTTCTTGCTGCTCGTAAGAGGCCCGCGGGGTAGCTTGGCGATGTTGATGTCGGCGATGAGACTGCGCACAGGCGCGGGATCGTCGGGCAGCGTGAGGAGGATCATGCCGTCGTCGGGGCTGGCGTCCACGAACTTGGAGAACTCATAGGCCCACGATCTCAGGATCAGCTTAGAACCAAACACTACTGTAGGCCCGTGCGAGAGGTCGGCAGCGATCCTGGCGGACCAGCTGCCGGCCTCGCAGGGGCATTGGAACCCGTGAGTGTAGGTTCCTGACGGGCACTTGGTGCGCTCGTCATCGGCTGCGAGGTGCTGGTCAGGGTGCCGGGAGACGTGATCGGCCTGCGCGCGCAGGCGGTGGCTAAGGACGGCGACGGCCAGGGACATGACCGTCTTGCCGAGTCCCATTTCGTCAGCGAGGAGGGCAGTGGCGATACCACGGGCCGCCTTGCTAGCGAACACCCAGAAAAAGGCCCAGAGCTGGTGGAACCGGAGGCCTTTCTTCATGCCCGGAGGGGTATGTGTGAAGCCAGGCTTTAGGACGTCGCTGGGATCGATGCCGAAGAATTTGCACATGTCGCGGCGGACCGCCTCAACGATGCTGGGGTCGATGGGTCCTGGCTCGAACGCCTCTCTGTCCTCGGGCTCAACGAGGTCGGACTCAGCGAGGTCGGACTCAGCGAGGTCGGGCTCGCTACCCGAAAGGACGTTCGTAGCATCTCTATCACGTAGATAGGGATCAAGTTCGTCGTCCGTGAGGAGATCTACGACCTCTACACTAGGTAACACCGGCGCGATAACGTCCTGAGGAGTCTGAGCCGAGGGCAGCGCCCAGATACGGATGCTCACGGGCAAGGTAGGGTTGTAGTAGCGGTTGGGGTCGAGAGGGACGCCCGAGGTCTTGAGCTGAGTAAGGAACAGCCGCCATTCGCGCTCGTCGGGGATGAGGGCAAAAGAGGTGCGCCGGTCGGCGTCCGCCGGGGAGACATACTAGATCCGTAGGTCGGAGAGGCCGAACCAGGCCACGAGGCCTTCGAGACGGTAGCGCGCGGGATCGTCGAGCGGGCGGGTGATGTCATCGCCGCGCACGATGGCAGATAGGGCGTCTACCGGACACTCTCGGGGAGGGTCGAACGCAGATACCCGGACCAAGATGGTGTCGAGGGAGGGAGGGTAAGACCGAGGGGTCGATTTACAAACTAGCATCTGGGCGCAGGCAGACCCAGGGAGCGGGGAGGCGGGCGAGCGAGTCGTGTCCGATGGGGTATGTGGGGTGGGACCCGGGCCAGGCTCAGGAACGCCCGGCCGTTGCCGCTTGGGCGTGCTGTATTGACTGTGATTCTCGCCAGCCCGCTTAGAACCGCGCGTGCTAGACGTGGTGGTCTCCATGACAGCGGATATAGGTGGTTGAAGTTGTGCACCGTCGCGGCGCTGGGAGGAAGGGTCGGTATAGCTGCACGCGGGTTCATGGTCAGCGCCGGGCGACCCACGAGAACGGGGTCGGCAGATCGGGGGAGAAGCTTACCTAACGTCCATCTCGGCTGCAGCGATCTTTTGGATGCGGCTCGGTGATGGTTCCTGCGGCAGGTTAGGTCTGGCGCCTTAACAGAGGAAAAAAAAAAAAAAGAAAAAGAAATAAGTGGAAGGGTTGCCGTACCTGGTCTCGCTCGTCGGAATTGGGAAATCGAGGCGGCAGACGCGCACGCGGTTCGCGGGTGTGCTCCGACGCGGTAGAGTCGAATTCTCCCGACCTGCAGAGGATCGGGACCAGCTGCTGGCCGCGCGAACCGACAGCGCACTGGATTTGTGACGACGCGGCGAGTGGTAGGTTCGATGGTTCGCTCGCACTGCTCAGAAGATCGAGTATATAGCATTGGACAGGGCGAGAAACACACGGAAGGCCGTCCATGCAGCGGTGCGGTGTAGGTGAGGGAGAATGACGAGGGAGTTACGAGTTGAGGAATTGTTTGGCAGAGTATCGAGGACGCGTGCGAAGTCCGAGGGGTTCCTACCCATGCACCACGCCACACACGCATCGCAGAAAACAGGCAGGGATGGGAAAGTACTTGTCACCTTCGAAGATCATTACCTGTTCCAAATCACAACCTGGAATAACTTTCTCATAATATCAAGGGCGCAAGCATCGTGTGCGGTAAATTGATGAGGCCCCGGCCCCGTGCAAGCTCCCGCCTAGCTTTGAGTTTCCTCAGTGCCCCTCCCACTCCAACTTCCAACCGGATAGCCAGGAGCACCATTGCCGTGAGAAGAAACACCTCTAGTCGTTGAGCGGGCTCGCCCAAGCGAAATCATTGGGAATCTTGAGATCATGAACATCATCAAGAACCATGGCCGACCAACGCGTCCCCAAAGCTGTATCGTTTCTTAGCAACCAACCCTCCTGATCCCGCGGGCGCTTGGCCAGGTGAGCATCTAGTTATTCGGTGGTTTAAATGACGTGTCGGCGATAAGTCGAGCGCCAGTCCGTCCACTGCACCAGGCCGCGCGATCGGGGCATGTTTGGCCCGGGGATTCGTTGATGAGGACCAGATATGACGGTGGGGGCTTCCATGGTGTTATGTTTTGATCTATGAAGAACGAGGAGAGGAAAATGAACGTTGACGCGCTGGCTTGACGTCGAGGTAGTTGATTCCCGGACTGAAATTGAACTAAGTTTCCAGTTCAGGTCCGTTGGGAAGCTTTGTGAAAGAAGAGGGAGTTTAAAGAGTGTCGATGTCCATCGTGGAGCCCCATCATGCACTTCACCTTATATCAACATGTTCAGAATATTAATTGCGACAAAGCCACCATGCCAACGCCTCTTTCAAACACCTGAGGACCCCAGGTGCACCCGGTGAGTGTTGTCCTGCTGAGACGCCTCTGCCCCAAAAGAGCCAAGAGAAGACATCCAAGGATCATTACCACAGGTTTCGTAAATTTGCGTCCCTGGGCCGTTATCACTTGCCTTGCAAACTGTAGCTCGTACGTAGCACATGGGAGGGGCACATCGAACGGGCAGGCGACTAATTGTTATCTTAGAAGCACAGACAAATTTTCGCACAATATCAAGGCCGAAAGTATATTTAATACCCAGTAAATCGGTTAGCTCTAGGGTACCACCGGGACGAGCTCCCTCGAAGCTTTGAATTCTCTCGGTGCTACCCTCACTTCTATTTCTCATCAACCGACTTTTCCAATCCCGCAGTGTACAAATGGATCGCCACACACTTGGTCGAGTGTTTATTTGGGGAGACTTAAAGGACTATGCTGACACAATCAACTTCTCATTCTCAGGTTGTTCTGCGTTTACAAGCTCAATACATTCGCTCCGCTATTGCAACGGAAATTGTAGGGAATACCAGGTATCGCGATAGCGTTAGAAGCACAGGGCAAATCCCTTCTCTCTGGAGGGACGTGCTACATTCGTGGTTCAGTTGGATCATGTTCTTCTATCTAGAAATGAGGGGGGCTCAGATTTTGCAACCAGGGTTGTCGTCCCCGAGGTCCAGGACCACGTGACGACTGCCCCAGCGGTGGACCCCCCCCCTGCCCTCCGTCACGTCCCCCTGCGGGGACGTAACTCTGGCGTAGATGTTCCGACAGAAATCGATACGTTTGAGAACTCCTTCGATGACATCTTGCAAACGGTCAGTCTATCTTTGGTAACCACCCAAAGGGTCGCACAATCTCCTTCGCTGGTGATCGTCGATCAGCCTGCTGTGGTCAAGACTGTTTGTCACTTTCTCGCGGCGTCAAACGCCATACTCGAGTTTCTCAATTTTCAACAGAGAAGGACTCGACTTGCTTCGGGAGGGGACGAATATCTGGAAAAAAGTCAAGGAATCCCAAGCCCTAGTGAAGGAGCTTCTCGTCACTCTTCTGCTTCACAAGACAGTCGAAACCTACCCGGGCAGGGACTGTGGCCTCATCTACAACGAGGGCGTCAACGTTTATGGCGACTTTATTCTCCACAAGTACGGCCATGTTGAGCAGAGCGACGTCCCCGGCCCAGCGGACGATAATGAGGAGACGGAGAGGTTGATTCGGTACTGGCACACAGAGAACTTGGTTCATCCGTTGAGGCATGTTCCAGGCAATCCATGGCACAAGTTCTTTGGGAACCTCCAGCCAGGCCCGATAGTGAGACCAGACTTGTTCAGGGAGCGCAAGCCGCAACCGTACTTCAGGCTCATGTTTCCGACTACCATTACCTGGGTACAACCCGAGATCCGCCGCGATTATGATAATTATCGCGAAATATTTGAGAAAGTGAGTTATTAATAATAGAAGAAAGCTATTCAGTATACTGACATCATCCAACAGTCTCTCCGATTCCCTGGACCACGTCTCCCAGAAGCAATCAGAGTCGTGGGTACATTCTATCTTAGCGGAAACGCAAGTACTGACACGAAAACAGGCCAGGACTGGAGGAGTCCAGTGCCGCTTGTCCCATTATTTCAGGGGCTGGAAGAGAACCGAGGAGGCAACGATCTTGTGTCTGAAGGATATGAGTGAGGTACGTCACATCTTTGGGCATTCACGGGCTTGACTGTGAAGCTGATTGTGATCAACTAGATTCCTTGCCCGGAATATGACCTCTTGGGTCTCTCAGGACTCGAGGCGTTGAATGCTGAGGTCAATGCCCCAGACTTGGCAGGGATTGCTTTGTTAGGAGAGGATATCCCCGATGTCCCCATTTTCCTAGAAGCGGAGGTGTGACGAACCTACTTCAGGACCCTGTCCTGTTAGGGTTCAGCTTCGGTTGAAGGTAATCTCTCAAGGGTGCTTAGGTTCGGTGCAGCCAAAAGGTGCACAACAAAGGCTTGTCTCAACAGTAGGCTTCCGTGCTTGTAGCGAACTGTAGTTGTGATTGCTAACTGGAGAACTCCCAGAGCTCTCCAGAACGAGTGACTATATACCTAAGTCCTGTGTGCTCAGTGTGCTCAGTTGTACCCTCCAACTGAGCTCACTGAGCTATTTCTCCCATTCCTGGGTCATGATTGGCTGGCTCCTACAAAGGTGCTCAGTGTGCTCAGTTGTACCCTCCTACTGAGCTCACTGAGCCACTCATGTGGGTTCCCTGATTGGTTTGTTTAGCAACTGGCCTGTGGTTCCACCCGTCGGCATATCCGTGACAGGAGGGCGCAAATACTGTCTCGAGTTCGACGGCGAGTGGGATTGGTAGGCTTCAGAGCCTCTGCCTTTCGTTTGAGATCGAGTACAGAAAAACCCTTCGGGGTTTTGGGGCAGTTATGAGAATAAGCATGTTAACTACATCGCGGTAGCTCGCACAAAACCGGATGTGACTGTAATAATCCTTGCAGCCTTTGTCAAAGTACGTTGCTTCCTATGCTCAGCTTCTCACCGGTGTCCTTGACTAATAGAGCATGGAACCCTCTCGCAGCGCTTCGCATGCCATGAATGTCAGAGAGGTGGTGTAATCGAAAACCGGGCTGCTTGAAAGTCAACGCAACCAGACTGTGGTCGAGGTGGCCGATCAACCCCCTTCGCGCGAAAGTTCGCGAACAAAGACGCAAGTTAGGGTTGCTTATGAGCCGTTCGGTGCCCCGCTTCCCACGGATCCCGCGAGCGAATCGCGTGTACACCCGGCCACAAAAAGCTGTTATACTTGTCAACCGCCACCGTTGGTTCTCATAAGGCCTCCTCATCTTTCCACTTCACGAGCAGTTCCAGACCGCCATCATCCATCTTCCAGTGGTCATAATCCCGCTCTCTAATGAAACTGCTATAACCTAGCGCCTCAAAACATTTCTCAAAATACGCAGCAGGCTCCCAACTGTTGCGCTCGTGCTCATATCCTTCCTACATCTAATGACCTCATTTCTAAACCCGCGTCACTCAAAGAATCCAGACGTGCAAATCAGCTGAAGGGAAGACGGAGAGGGCAGTCTTAGTTCGATGGAGTCGGAGATGGGCCATGGATAAGACGGGTGTTGTATTGAAATCTGCCGAGAAGCGAATGTCAGCATCGGGGAACCAGGGAATCGGCTTGTTGTCCACCGTTAGATGGGGGAGATGGGTTCTGACCTGTTTTCGTGGTTTTGTTTTCACCTTCTTTTTTTTCTTTTTTTTTTTTTTTTTTTTTTTTTTTTTTTTGGGTGTTTCGAGATCAGTGGTGCCTCTGAATGTGCTCATTGCTGCTCGGCCGTGGATCCGCAACTCTGGATATCACAGGTCGACCGATTCAAGTCAGTGGGCGTCGCTGGTTTGGAATCCGACCATTGCAAAATCGCAAAATTAAATCTCGTTCATAATCCGAGCAATATCCGCCTCGACGTCCCAATTGTCAATGAGCTCCTCGAGAGTGGCTGCATAGATTTGACCACCATCCATATCGAGGGCATTATCAACTAGGGCCACGATCTCCTCAGCCGGTGCCTCCTGGGCGAGAGTGGTCTCAATGGACTCGTTGGCGCCAGGCAGCAGATGGTAGGGCGTCCAGCCGGGTTGCACAACCGGGGGCAAGAAGCGCTGAGCACCGGGAATTCGACGGGTGATATCGCTATTGGGTCTGATACCCGCCTTGTCGTTGTTGGTTTGAGCGCTGTAGTGCGCGCTGTGCTCGAAACCCTGAACACGGGGAGAGGCAGACTGGGAAGAGTAAGGTTGAATCGGGGGGATTTCAGTAACGTCGGACGCCCGGCGAGTCGCACGCCGGCGAATCTCAGACGGTTTGCGAGGCGCATATCTGTAGTTGGGGTGAAGCGCCAGCATCCGAGCCTTGATCTCCTGTGATTTCTGGTGGTATTTATCCCGAACCTCAGGGGTCTCGCTCTTCCACATGGTGCCCGTGATGACCGCTGTAAAGTGTGAGCTCACGGATCATAAAACATCGCACACCTGACTCACAAATGTCATTGTTGTGGAGGTCAGGGTTCTCGGCCTTGACGGCGCCGTGCTTGTCCTTGCGGTAGAGAATATACGCATTTGGGGGACGGGGAATCTTGATTTTCGGAGGCGGCATATGCTTCTTCTTCGGGTCCCAAATTGGGACAGTGCCGGCGATGGTGATGTTTGGGCGGATGAGTTTCTTGGGGCCAAGAATCCAGACCTTGGGATTATCGGCGTCTCGTGCAAACATCACGTCCTCGCCCAAGAATTTGCTATATTAATTGTGAGCTGGGATCGCGGTAGGCAAAGTCCCGGCGCGAAGAACTCAAACTTACCTCATCTCACGAGCGAGCTCGATCTTGACCGAAATGTGAATGAGGCGGAACATCTCATCATCCATGATGATAACCTTCATGGGGTTCCAATGTCCCAGCTGAATGGCCAAGTGATTCCAATACTTCTGGCCTAAAGCTTTGGCAATCGCGGGGTCGGGCGCCTCGAGCGAAAAGTAAGTCGTCATGTCGGCGGTCATCATGTTGGTCGCCATTTCTACTGGAAGTTGGGTCGATGCTGGATTGATGACAATTTGAAAGTCTGGATGAGAGGAAAGGAGGGAGAAAATGAGGGTGAAGGATGTGAAAGAGAGGAAAAGAGAGCGGGGCGGATGCGGGGTCCTCGGTATTCTTTGTTTATTCACTCGCAGCGACAATGGCTGTTTGCGACTTTTCAAGTCTATTGACATACTTTAACTATAGGGTACCCTGGTGATACGCGGTAGAGTACACCAAGTTTCTCAACATACCGGATTCCTTCCATAGTGATTCCCCATCTTGAAGTGACCGGAATATCATGTTCGATGCCTTGTGTGATGGTTGAATTTCAAAATATCCCCATGTATGCCGCGAAAGATATGACGACGAGCCAACCGGTTTACACCGCCGGTGACTGATTGCGTTCGCAGAGTTCTCTTCCTTGCACTGTGGTGTTTTCCTATTTGAAGTGTAATGGTCCGTGCGCCAGCCAAAACGGGAAGGCGGTGAGCCGCATGATTCGCCGCCCTACTTTGGGACACAAATCATGGAACTTCAAGGTAGGCATCAACTCAACTCACATCAACTCAACTCAACTCAACTCAACCCAACTTATGCAAAAAAGGCCCAACTCAACCCAACTTCGGGGCCGAGTTGAGTTGAGTTGAGTTGTTGCCCACCATGTGGAACTTCGCTCCAACAGCCACCATTTTCATCCAGCAGAGCACACGAATACCAAGAAGTTCTTGATTCAAGAAAATACGCAAAACTCTCAATTCTGCTGCGAGAACAGAAAGACCGTTGCCTCCAGGCCGAGGTTAGTCTGACCCTCGGACTGCCACGTGAATGCAGTCCTCTAACTACGCTGTCTTGCGTGACTTCCTGTTGCTGCACCTCCTGCCGTGAAATTGGGGCCGTTGCCGGGACGGCCTTCACTGCCGAGCTTTTGGATTTGTTATTTCGGCCTCGCTTCGACGCGGAGGTCCTTCTACCTCGGCTAGGTCCTCCGATTCCCATTCTGAGGCCCAAATGAAGGACTGTTGAGAACCGTTTCCACATCTCCAGGCACCAGGGATAAGTCCAGAATAGACCTATCACCTTATCAACGTCCTCCAGAGAAAACCGAACGACATGGTCGATATCATGCTCCTCGAGAATCTTGATCAGGGCTTGAGTTGGGTTATGTCCGTCGAGATTGTCCCGTTGCAGCAGTTCCCGGTAATTGGTACATCCTTGGTCGTGAAGACAGTGTGAGGGTAGCGCTTTTGAAGGAATAAGACGATATCTCTAGGACGTTGGGCGGGATTCAGAGACAGGGCTTCCACGTCCTTCATCATCGCGTCTGACAGTCCCCGATGGACGGCGTGAGTGGTCAGCTCTGCCGGATTCTCTCCGCTTGTGTCGTGGTTATGGTACTGGTTGGCGATCTCGAAAGTCCACTGCCTGTTGTTCTCCTTCAAGGCTTTAGCAACGCCTCGCCAGTGGCACCCTGTCTTGGAAGTCGTGGTCTTGTGGACGGTTGCGATAGAAGGTCTGGCTTGTCCCCGGTCGCAGTAGAGATCAAAACGCGTGGCTTGTCCGTTGATGTAGTTCGAAGCTCGCCTCTTCACAAATCCCAGACCATAGGACTTCCCCTAAAAGTTCAGATCAAGCAAGAGCTCGTTGCAGGAGGCGTAAGCCGAGCCAGTGAGGAGACGGTGGCCTGGCGGGATGCTTGGTGGTGCGGGTGCACCATAAGGACACCCTGTCAAGACAGCCTCTGGTTGTTAGTGAAGCCGGTAACTCTTCCATGTCCTGCAAACTACGCAATGACATATATTTGATAAGAGAACCTGAAATCGAAGAATCAGCACTTGAATAATCCACTCCAAATGCTCAAATGAGGGTATTCTCACTGCGCCGTTGTGGCCTTAGCATGCTAACTACATCCGGATCAAATCGTTCTGTCTTTGACTCGTTCAAGCCCCTTGTGGCAGGCATCAAGCGGCAGAATTAATTAGCCGACGTTTTGCAGTGTGGCGCACGAACCATGACAGTTCAAATAGGAACAAGAGGGACCGTGCCCGCTGCGCGCGGGCCCGCCAAAGTATGTAAAAAGTGGGGGTTCAAAAGTTTGCGGCACCCCGCATTTTGATCCCCAGCCACACACTTTTCTGACACCACCTGTGACGGAAAGCGCACCCAGGGTTGGGGTTGGAGGTGCACTTCCGCATCCGGACTAGCTCCGTTCTGGGCCTGCCTTCTCGCGTTGCCAACGCGCTCTCTTGTATCTTCCCTCTCTTTCTTCAGCTTTCGATTAGCAGAATTGAGTCAGCATACGCAGTGCCCTTGTGCCTCGCCTAGATGTTACTCGTCCCTCACAACGACCATTGGGACATATCTCGGCATAACTCACCACCACCGAAAGTTCTAGTTAAAAAGATATATACAGTTAGAAACCTAGGTTCCAGCGATCAATATTTTGTGTACAAACCTGTGAGAGATGAGCGATAGGGATCGCGAGGCACAAAGGCACTGCAATTACCACTCTATTCCGTTAATGGAAAGCTAAGGAAAAGAGAGAGAAAAGATTAAGATACAGGGATGGGTCGCGGAATGTCACAGGACCACGGTAGGTCTGGGAAGATAACTACGTTGCTCTATGAGGAAGGGAAGAAACTATGGAGATGCAGAACCTGAAGATGGGTATATCGGTCAGGCACGTGACTAGACACGTGACCTGTGGACCAACGGTTCAGTGCCGTGACAGTACTCCCCCTTCCCGATGGAGGAGATTGAACTTCGAGACGCTCATCGTCAACGGCAAGTTCCTCCAGGGAGGAACCTTTTGTGAAAGTCGGGCGGCACTACCGAGGGACTGCAAGATGGCGGCGGAGGCGCAGCCCCAAATCGTGGTCGAGGTGGCCGACCAACCACCTTCGCCGAGACGACCGAGCCGCGCGTCGAAACCGAGCGCGAAAGCTCGCGAAGCCATGGAATCGCTCGAGGACGTGGCTACCACGTCGAGGAGAGCGGCGAGCGAGACCACGCGGGCGGTTACGACGCGAGGAGCACGCGCGTCTGGGATTTTATATGGAGCCAACAGCCGGATCGAGACGGGGAAGTCAGGTATACAGATGCTCCTGGAGGCGATCAACGAACAACGAGACGAAATGTACCGAATGATTACCGAGCAGCGAAACACGATTGGCGAACTACGCGAGGTGATTTGCAAGCAGCACGACGCGATTCAAGAACTACATCGCCAACTTGCAGACACCAGGACCCAGCTGTCTGAAGAACTGAGACAAGCGCGGGATCAGATTGATACCCTTCAACGCAACCCGGTAGCCATGGCTTCGTCCCAACCAAGCGCAAGAGGGTCATACGCCGAAGTCGCTCGCACCCCACCATCAAGCCAGCCAAGCGGTGTGCGCACCCTCTCCTCGCGAAACACGACGCCTTCATCCTTTACCGACACGTTGTTCTGTACGATCGATACATCTAGAGTGGAGGAGAAAGAGAAGGGAAACGTTCAGGTGGCGGACATTAGAAAGGCAATCGAGACAGAGGCCAGGGCACAGGAAAGCATGGGAGACTGGCGTTGCGCTGCGGTTGTGAAGGAAGCCCGAAACCCGGACCGAGTCAGAGTAATTTGCAGGGACGAAGGCGAGGTCCAGCTCGTCAAGGAAGCGGCAGAGAAGATCAGTGTTCCTGGAGTGCGGGTATTGAGAGACCAGTTGTACCCGGTGAGGGTAGACAATGCCAACCGAACAGCGGTCCTCGATGCGGACGGAAACATCCTGCCGGGAGCCGCAGAGGCGCTAGGGACAGAGAACGACGTCAACATTGCGAAGATTGCCTGGCTCAGCAGGAAGGATACAAGCAAGGCCTACGGCTCGATGGTTGTCTACGTGACGAAGGGCAGCGAAGCAAGGCGACTTCTAGACGGGCGTTACTTCCATCTCGCCGGAGAATCCGCTTACACGACCGTTTTCGCGCCCCGGGAAGGCCCAATCCAGTGCTACAGATGCCAGGAGATCGGCCATAAGGCCTTCGCCTGCAAAAAGCCGCAAAGATGCGGAAGGTGTGCGGAACAGGGTCACCACCACAAGACGTGTCAGTCCGTGGTCCTGAAGTGCGTGCTATGCAGAGGACCACACGAGTCATTTAGCAAGAACTGTCGGGTACGCTGGTTGAACAATGGGGCCCAAGACGCTTAAGATCCTTCAGCTCAACGTCCGCAAACGGAGAGAAGTGCAGCAGAGTCTGCTAAACGACGAGGGACTCAAGGACTTCGCAGTGCTGGCCATCTCCGAACCATATGCCAGGCTGATCGAAGGCTCGGTGACGACGGTCCCAATGAGTCATTACAACTGGACGAAGCTGATACCAACGACAAGACGAGAAGCCACGTGGCCAATTCGGAGCATGCTATGGGTACGAAGCGATATAGAGGTCGAGCAGATTCCAGTGCCGTCGGCAGACCTCACCGCAGCACGCATCCGGCTCCCAGACCGGGCAGTGCTGATGGTGTCAGTGTATGTGGAGGGTGGTAGTGACGAAGCACTGGAAGATGCAATGAGGGAGATTGACCTAATGATTAAGAGGTTTCGAAACGGAACAGGGACGAGAACGGACATCATACTGGCGGGCGATTTCAACCGCCACGACCAGCTTTGGGGAGGGGACGATGTCTCACCACGGAGACAAGGCGAGGGAGACCGCATCATCAACCTCATGGACGAACACTCCCTCTGCAGCCTCCTCCCAAGAGGCACGAAGACGTGGCAGTCAGGCGACATTGAGAGCACAATCGACCTGGTACTGGCCTCTGCAGAACTAGCAGACCAACTACTCAGATGCACGATTCACCCCTGCGACCATGGCTCAGACCACAGAGCAATCGAGACAGCTTTTGACACCACGGTGGAGGACCGCCCCAGTGAGACGAGGTTCCTCTTCAAGAACGCGCCCTGGGCGGAAATTAGGACTAGGGTGGCAGCAAACCTCGAACGCATCCCCTGGGACGGCAATGTCCAGCAGCAGACGGACAGGCTCATGGCAGTGGTAACCGAGGCGGTCTACGCCCTGACACCTAAAGCCAAGCCCTCACCATACGCCAAGCGGTGGTGGACAACAGACCTGACACGGCTTCGCCAGACATACACGTTTTGGAGAAACCAGGCGAGATCTCGACGTAGGATTGGGCAAACAGCACCAGAGATCGAACAACGAGCCAGGATGGCAGCCAAAGAGTACCATGACGCCATCCGCAGACAGAAGAGTTCGCATTGGAACGACTTCCTGGCCGATGACGCTAACATCTGGCAAGCAACGAAGTACCTGCAAACCGGCAGCGGCACGATGGGCGATAAGATACCCCCGCTCGTCCGACCCGATGGCTCCATCACGGAGGGTAAAGCAGAACAAGCGCAGGAGTTACTCACCGCCTTCTTCCCACCTTTGCCAGCGAGAATCGAAGACGAGGGCCAACGACCTCAACGGGCGCCGGTACACATGCCAGACCTAACAATGGAGGAGATAGAACAAAAGGTCCTGTCCGCTAAGCCATGGAAGGCGCCCGGGGAAGACGGTCTACCGGCAATGGTATGGAGACAGCTCTGGCCAGTGGTCAAAGACAGGGTGCTCCATTTATTCCGGACGTCGCTTCGAGACGGCGACATCCCCAGCCAGTGGAGGAATGCCAAGATCATCCCATTGAAGAAGCCAGGGAAGAGCGAATACACTCTAGCCAAGTCCTGGAGACCCATCTCGCTGCTCTCCACGCTGGGTAAGATACTGGAGGCAGTCATTGCGGAGCGTTTATCCCATGCTGTGGAGACCTGCGGCCTTCTACCCGCCAACCACTTCGGAGCCAGGAAGAGACGCTCGACCGAACAGGCTCTCCTTCTGCTTCAGGAACACATCTACAAAGCATGGAGAGCTAGGAAAGTGCTCAGTCTGATCAGCTTCGATGTCAAGGGCGCATACAATGGGGTCTTCAAAGACAGGCTTCTCCAGAGGCTCAGGGCAAGAGGGATACCTGAATCCCTGGTCAAGTGGATCGACGCCTTCTGCTCCAAGCGCACAGCGACCATTGCCGTAAACGGGTTCACATCTGGACGGTAAGAGCTGCCCCAAGCGGGTCTTCCGCAAGGATCGCCGCTGTCTCCAGTGTTGTTCCTCTTCTTCAACGCCGACCTAGTGCAGCACAAGATCGACGCGAACGGAGGCGCAATTGCCTTCGTGGACGACTACACTGCCTGGGTAACGGGCCCGTCAGCGGAGTCGAACCGCACTGGAATCCAAGCTATCATCGACAAAGCCCCTTGACTGGGAGAAACGGAGCGGTGCGCAGTTTGAAGGCGAAAAGACAGCCATCATACACTTCACGAGGAACATGGAGCGATTTTCAGAACAACCGTTCCTCGGTCAAAGGCCGAAGTGTTCAAACCGAGTTAAGTGCGAAAATCCTAGGTGTCGTGATGGATCGCGAACTCTGCTACAAGCAGCACATTGCTAGGACGGCAGCTAAGGGCCTCGCAGCCGCTCTGGCTCTGAAGAGGCTGAAGATGCTTTCCCCGCGGACAGCGAGACAGCTATTTGTTGCGACAGTAGCCCCGGTCATGGACTACGCTGCCAATGTCTGGATGCATGCGTGCGGGGAAAAAGCACTGAGCTGGCTGAACAGGGCACAGAAGATCGGGGCCCTGGCCATCACGGGAGCCTTTCGAACCGCGGCAACAGCCGTGGTGGAAGCTGAAGCGAGCATCTACCCCGTACGAGAACGACACGCCCAGGCGGCAGCAAGTCTGTGGATCAACATCCACACGCTGCCCGGAACGCATCCCCTTGCCATGAAGAAAGTCCGGACCACCGTACGATTCGTATCTCCGCTGCAGAAAATTGCCCGCGTGGCCGAAGGAGTACGAGTCGACCGGATGGAGACAATCCAGGAATACGCCGTCCCGCCCTGGGTACCCCGCCTACGACCGACGCTCGAAGCCGATCGAGGGAAGGCGGCCGAGATGGTCAACAAAATCTCGGGAATCGTGATCGCAACCAGCTCATCCGTAAAGAAGGGCATTGTTGGCATGGGCGGCCTTGCACGGGATACTCTCTTCAACAGAACTAACGAGACTGTGACAAACTATGCTGTTGTTCTTGGGGACAAGGGAAGAGCAGAACCTCATATACAGCAGAGCTAGCAGCCATCGCAATGGGCCCTGGGAGAAGGTTACCGGCTAGCATCCTGCTACAGGCACATCACCGTGATCACTAAGGAACCAGTTCAGCGCTGGGCAGGCAGTTGGACAGCCCGCGGCCAGCAATCCGGGCCAAAGCATCATACGACAAATCTACGACTTGGTCAGGCTGCACCGACAAAGAGGGAACTCGGTCAACTTTCTGTGGATACCAGCGAGATTGACTTCGCGTTGGGGTCAGATGCCCAAGGCAGCAGCCCAGAGAGCGTCGAAGCAAGGACGCACACCCGACTCCCAAAATGCCCCAAGCCCAAGTCTACCGCGATGAGGCTGGCAATGGAAAGACAACGGGCGACAAGAGTTCTACCTGTAGGCGTGGGCAAGTTCTCAAAGACCATGGACGCAGCACTACCAGGCAAGCACACGCGCGATCTCTATGACAAGCTGAAGCGAAGGGAGGCCTGCGTATTGGCGCAGCTCCGAACCGGAATGGCGAGACTGAACGGCTTTTTGAGCAGGATTGGGGCGGTCGAGTCAGACCTTTGTGCCTGTGGACAAGCGAGGGAATCAGTGGAACACTTTCTTTTTCCGATGCGTGAAATGGACAGCTCTGAGGGAAGACATGCTGCAATGCACAGTGGCAAGACGAGGAAGCCTCTCGTTCTATCTGGGAGGGAAAGCGCCATCAGATACAAGGCATCGGTCACCAGATATGAAGGCAGTCCGGGCGACGATCAAATACGCAATGGCAACAGGAAGGCTGGAGCAGAATGAGGAGGAGACTCAGGAGAGTCTAGACCAGTCACAGTAGAAGAAACCGACACTCAACACCACGAGCCTCAACCACGAGCCTTAACCAGCAGGTCCCGCTTTAGCTGCCGAAGATAGGACGTTGAACACTTGGAGAAAGTAGCCTCCAAGCTGATCTGCTACACAACAACCAAGGCAAGAGGTAAATGGTGCAGCGAGAAAGAGGGAAGAAGTAGGGGGCTTGTACGAGTTAAAGGCAAACCGATTTGATCCGGATGTAGTTAGCGTGCTAAGGCCCTATAGGCCCAGTGCCTCCGGGCGAAATAAATTCTATCCATCCATCCAACCCCCTTCCCAAATCGGTTTGTCCTCAAACCGAGGCGTGATTCTTATATTATGTTTTTCGTAGTCTCCGTCGTGGCCGTTTTGGCGCGGGGGGGCTTCTCCACCCATGGCCGGGGGGGCCGGGTTTATCGGGGTTCAGCTCATGAAACTCCAAGAGGGCGCGGTCGCAGCCTTTCAGGCATTCCTCGGGCTCCCATGTTGGTTCATCATGGTATTTCCACTTGATCTGGTAAGTCAGACCATGTTCCTGGATATCTTCATCGTGGACGTCTAGGATGCGCTCGAACTGCCATCTGTCCTCGATGTTTCCGTCGTCATCTCGCTGAGCGATACGGCCAGTGATGTTGCGGCGCTCCGCGGCGTTGAGCTCGGCTTGGCCAGGGATTTCTTCAGGTTGCCAGAGGCGGACTTTCGAGGTGTGGAAACTCTTGTTAACGCGGATGTGGTCGGGCAGGTCGATGACAACGGCGCCCTTGTAGACGGCCAGCACAGGGAACGGTCCGTCCCAGTTGTCATCCCACTTCTTTTTAGGCCTGTTGGTCTTCATATTCTCCAAGCTCACCATGACCATGTCGTTGACCTTAAACGTCTCGCTCTCGTCTCGTTTCCTGTTGGCACTGTCCTCATATCGTTGCTGCGACATCTTGGCTAGAGCTTTAAGTTGAGTGAGGATGCGTTCGAACCGTCCAGCGATGGCATCCGCACGGAGAAATTCCTTCTTAGCGTGGGCTGGGACTGCAGATGGCACGGGCCCCAGGGGTTCAATGCCGAGGCGCGGGTTGAAGCCATAATTCGCGAAAAAAGGCGAGACTCCTATAGTCTCATTGACTTGGTTGTTGGCGGCGAATTCGGCGAGAGGGAGCCAGTCCACCCAGTCGTCTTGAGTAAAGCTGACATAACCGCGGAGGTACTTGTTCATAGCTGCGTTAATGATCTCCGTCTGGCCGTCCGTCTCGGGGTGGAAGGCTGAGCTTGGGCGAAGGGCGGTATTGAGGCGGTGGCTGAATCGGCGCCAGAATTCGGAGACGAAGGATGAACCGCGGTCAGAAATGATAGTCTCTGGGGCGCCATGCAGGCGGTAAACATGATGTAGGAAGACTTCAACCAGCTCGTCTGTGTCGAGCGAAGTGACTGCAACCAAATGCCGCATCTTTGTGAGCCTATCGACTACAGCGAAAATGTGGCGGTAACTCCTGCCGTTGCGCTTGCATTCGGGCAAGTCAACCACGTGGTCTATGGAAATATCCGTCCACGGCCGGGCTGGGAGTTCTAAGGGCTTGAGGAAACCGGGGGGCGCAGAGCGGGGCGTTTTCGTTCGGAAACAGAGAGCGCAGTCGCGTACAAACGTGGCGGTAAACTGTGAGATCCCAGGCCACCAGTAGGTGCGATTCAGCAAATCCAAGGTCTTGACTCGGCCTGGGTGACCGGCTGGGCCGCTGCTGTGGGTGCGATGTACTACTTCAAGTCGCAGCTCGGGCGCGTCAGGGACGAACAGCCGATTTCGAAAATAGATTAAGCCGTCCACAATCGAGCATTCGGACTTGTCGCAGCGGAGGAGTTTTCGGATTGCCTTGGGCCAGCGGCGTGTGGTGCGATCTTTGTTGCGCTCGCCTCGCTCTCGCAGCGCGGCGAGCATCTGTTGCGCCAGTGAGTCTTCGGTGTAGCCCTGGCGAATCAGCTCGTCAATTGACTTCTGTTCCGGTTCGGGGTCCATGGTGGCAATGAATTCCACGTCGCCTTCCCGGCGCGCTGAACCGAGTAGTTCTCTCAGGATAGACGGGTCGACCTTCTCGGGCGGGAGCATCACTTGTTCGCGGTGTTTCAAGCGCTCGTCGTCGGCGCCGGCGGGTTTCACGCCTGGGAGTCTGCTAAGCGCATCAGGGATCGTGGCCTTGGCTCCAGGGCGGTAGGTGATGACGAAATTGAATTGAGACAAGAACTCGGCCCAACGGACTTGACGCTGGTTCAACTGCTTGGTCGTCATAAAGGTCTGGAGGTTCTTGTGATCCGTGACGATTTCGAAGGCCTCCTCGGTTCCTTGCAGTTCTGGGCGCCACTCTTCAAGCGCCTTGACGATGGGCCAAAAGTTCCTTGTCATAGATCTCGTAGTTGCATTCCGGGGCTGTGTGCTTGGACGAGAAGAACGCGACGGGGCGGAGCTTGCCACCATCGTCTTTCTGATAAAGGACTCCGCCGGATGCCCAGTTTGAGGCGTCCGTCTCGACCACTGTCTTCTTAGTGTAGTCGTAGTAGGCGAGGACTGGTGCTGTGGAAAATGCTGTCTTGAGCTTCACGAATGCTGCTGCTTGGTCTGGGCCCCAGGCCCAGGCGACGCTTTTCTTCAAAAGGCGAGTCATCGGCTCTATTACCGAAGAGTATCCCTCAATGAAGCGTCGGTAAAAGTTAGCGAAGCCTAGAAACTGTTGGAGCTCCTTCACCGAGGTTGGGTCCCTCCAGACTTGGATTGCTTCAACTTTGTCAGGGTCCATCGTCATCCCGTTTGTCGAAATGATCAGGCCAAGGTATTTGGTCTTTGTCGTGTAGAATTCCGACTTGTTGATGTCGATCTGCAGGCCTGCAGTGCCTAGGCGCCGGATGACTTCATCGACATGGCGGGTGTGCTCGGCTCGAGTCTTGGAGAAAACGAGAACATCGTCTAGGTAAGCTGTGCAGTAGATGTCCAGGGCGTCGTGGAGCACGTGGTTGATGTAGTTCTGGAACGTAGCTGGTGCATTACAGAGGCCGAATGGTGTGACGAGCATTTCGAAAAGGCCGAAACGGGTGATGAAAGCTGTGAGCCATTCATGGCCTTCGGCCACACGGATGCGGTTGAAGGCAGCAATAACGTCGAGTTTCGTGTAGAACTTGGCACCACAGAGTGCGTCTAGGGTCTCGCGGATCAGTGGTAATGGGTACCTGTTCTTGATTGTCACCTCATTGAGGCCTCGGTAGTCGTGGCAAATGCGTACGCCGCCGCCGGGTTTGGCGGCCAGGAGGAGCGGCGCCGCTGCTGGGGAGGTTGACTCGCGAATAAAACCCTTGTCGAGCATCTCATCAATCCATTTCTTGACGCAACGGAGCTCGGCTGGCGAAAATGGCCGGTTCTTGAAGTATGGGGCTTGCTTGCCAGGCATGATCTCAATCTTGTGGTCCCAGGGTCGGTGGGGCGGGAGCGATTCGGAGTTCTTCGTAAGAAAGTGTTCGACATGGTGGTGGAACTCTGATGGGAGCTGTTTCAAAACATCCTCTCGGGTGACCGGTGCCTTGCTCTTTAGAAATTTTTGGACATCCTCGTCGACAATCTTGCGGCGGAGGAGTTCCGAGCCGGAGCCTAGGTTCTGTTTCAAAAAATCGTGAAAATATTCGGGCATCACTTTCCTCGCCTCGTCCAGTGTGTAGTCTCCCTCGACGAGACGGCGATAGGCTGTCTCGGAGAGTCGTGGCAACTCGATTGCGTTCATGGGGAGCTCGGAGAAAGCTTGCTGGTTCTCTTCTTGATCAAACACTCTGTTCAGTTCAGTCATATGGATCCTCATGACCTGGACGCCTTTCTCTTTGCAGAACTGAGCGAAATTCAGGCCGCGGACGCAGCGGATGTCGTCAGTATTGGGGCGCTCTACTGGCTGCGTGTCTGGCTGGCTGACACGACTCGGCCGGCTATAACGAGCGGGTGAGAGTCGGTGGCCGTGCACGAGGCGCGCAGGTAGGGGGTGTGAGGTTGGACGAGCTGGGGGGAATGTTTCCATTGCTCTGCTCTCGGGGCCTGCCGATGGGGTAGCCGTCTTCAGGGCGCCCGGTCTGGCGAACGGCATCAAACGGTGGGTCGGGTGTCGCACAGGCCCTTCACGTAACTCGAAAGGCTGCGGTGGGGGCGGCTGGGGCGGCGGGGCCGGTGTTGGCTGTGGTGGTGTATCCACATACACTGGGCTCGGTATGATTTCTGTGTCCGTGGCCCAGTGGACTCGGCGGCGAGGTTTTGTGGCTAGTGACTCCGGAAAGTCGGTTTGGAGGAGTGTATGCTTGTCGTCTTCGGCGTCTTCGACTGTGGGTTGGTGATATTTGACTGTCGGGATCGTGGATCGGCCGATGGGGGCGGAGTGTTCCTCGGGGGGTGTAGTCCAGTTGATACAGTGGTGCGAGCAATATTCCGATGTGAAGACCACACCGAGGTTCACGAAATCCAAGGTTGGGTTATGTTTTTGGAGCCATGGTAGGCCCAGAATGATGGGGGTTCGTGGGGAAAGTGTCGTAACGTAAAACAGCGCGACCTCGCTGTGACTACCAATAGTCATCCGTGACACGAAGTAGTGAGTCACGAAACTGGAAGGTACTCCGTCTGCGAGGCGGAGCGGTTTCGGTTGGACTAGGCGCTTCTTTTGCGCTCCATACTTGATAGCAATGCTCTGGTCGTCTGCAAAGGCATAGGCCGAGCTGCCGGTGTCAACGAGGCTCACTGTTTCGACGGTGGAAGTGGGGGACTGTGTGCGCGTAGAGGCGAGAGATGTATGGACAAGGATGGAATTTTTATTACTGGTGCTATCTGCGGCGCGCAGGTCAAGAGACTGCTTCCCCAGGACCAGTGGTGCTGGGTCTAGCAACAGAGCTCGGATCCTCTCATCCTCTCCCTCATAGAGTTTCGACCCTCGCGAGCGACTTAGCGCAAGGGTTGATCTTTTGACTGTATCCAGGCTGGGCTCGGGTCACGGCCCAGGTTGTAACTCGCCTGGCTGGCGCCCGTCAGAATCGGTGGGCGTGTAGTCTGACCGGACCTCGCCGATAACATGACCTGTCTCATGATCGGCGGCGCGTAGCTGGTACTGGTCCTGGTGCCAGGGGGCCATTTGGTTGGTCTGAGGCTGGTAGACTTGAGGGCGCGGCTGGGCGGCGTGGCCGCCCCGACCGTGGAAAGGCGAGTTGCCGCTTCTAAAACTTCCACGGGGTTCACTGGCTGTGGCGCACGACGGGGCGACAGTTTTAATGATAGAGCAAACTGTCACAGGACCACGGTAGGTCTGGGAAGATAACTACGTTGCTCTATGAGGAAGGGAAGAAACTATGGAGATGCAGAACCTGAAGATGGGTATATCGGTCAGGCACGTGACTAGACACGTGACCTGTGGACCAACGGTTCAGTGCCGTGACACGGAATGAGTGTAGTACGCGCACAGACCACTGCAGAGTATGACCGGGAATGCGCATCCAACCCTAACCCAGGGCACCGGGCGCATTCTCCGTCACAAAACCCTTGGCTTTCTTGACTGCAGCCAATCGTCTGGGTATCGAATCGATCAGCTGGTCAATCTGAGCCTGGTCGATTGACCACCAACATGCACGAAGACATCTGGTAAATTCAGCAACATCCAGCTGGTTTTTCTTCAGTAACCAGATATCTGGATATTCCTGCTTCATCCTCCGTTTCAATAGAGCCCACATATGCTTGATTGGGTTAAGATCTGGGCTGTGAGCTGGCCAATCTTCAAGTACCTATCACGGTCAGGATCACCGTGGTAGGGGCAAGCTGGTATATTGCGTGGTTGCACGAGGAACCGAATGTGGGAGGCGAGGCGCACTCAGGGAAAACCCTGTGGCTGCGCACAGACCAGCGCAGAGCTACGTACAGCCCACCTCGGGGTTCAGCCGTGCAACCCTAACCCTACAAGGAACGGGCTGTGCCCGTGACAGTACCTCAATTGTGTGGTTCAGGAGCCACTCGGTCGAGGATGCAGATGTATGTACTCGGGCATTGTCCTGCTGGAAGTGCCTTGTACCATCGTAAATTGGAAGAAGACCCTTTTCCAATGCTTGTTGATAGCTCATGGAGCTATCAACAAGCTTTCTGGGGAGGTTGATGGTCACGTTCCATCACAATAAGGTCGGTCCTCCCTCCCTTCCAGATAGCAGCCCAGATCATGATGGAGATATTGCCTTTTCCATGATTCCGTAGATTGACGAAGCTCTTATCCCATTTCTGAGAGGGAAACCGAAAGACCCAAGCCGTTGGGCTACTCGAATTGTTTTGGCATGACGATTCGTCGGTGAAGATAGACTAGAGGTTGGTTAGCAAAATCAGGGACCAGCTTCAGAGTCACTTACTCGGATCAACACTTCGATATTCTCCAACCAAAAGCAAGCAAACTTATATCTAGCGACTGCCACGTCCTTCGTCAAGGGATTCTCTTCTGGTGCACGCCATTTCCGTATACGATGATGGCGGAGAACTCGGCGGACCGTTGATCGGGAGATTCCGAGTATCAACTGTATTAGTGGAGCATTTGCGTTGATAGGCGAAGGGTTCCGCCTTTGGCCAACTGAATGATGTACCGTCTCCCGACGTGTAAGAACCTCTGGCCGACCAGTTCTAGGTCGGGATTCAACAGTGGTTGAAGATTCGAATCGATGAAGTGTGAGTTGGACTGCCGCCCGGCTGATGCCAAACGCGCGCGCAACGGCCGACTGGCTTGCCCCAGCTGCAACGGCACCTATAATAGCTGCACGTGCAAAAGGCGACAGTTCCTGGCCAGGTTGGCGCCTGGCCGTCAATTTGGCCCCGATTTCGTCTAAATTGACCATGGTAGGCTGGAGTTCTGTTAGTTGGAAGATTGAAGATGGTGAGCAACGTGTCGCGTCGCGCGTTTAATTGATGTGGGGTGCCGCAGACTTTTGAACCCCCACGGGGTGCTAAGGCCCTATAGGCCCAGTGCCTCCGGGCGAAATAAATTCCATCCATCCATCCATAAGGGCAAGTTTAGTGGCACGGGGCCCGATCCCTAGTGGCACGGGGTCCAGTTCACCGCCTTCCTAAAACATCAATGCACGGCTGACCGCCTTTCCTCTGTAGTGCGGTAAAGGGGGGAGGGGACCTATTTCCTCCCCCCAAACGGCGAAAACGTCCTTTTTTAAACGATTTGGGTGCATATGAAAATATTGATCTTACGCTCTTAACTCAGGATATACAGGCATGAATTCCTAGCTACTGTGACTGGGGCGTGTCTGATACGGGCGTTCCTAGCGATATAGCCACATCAGGCCCAGTTGATGCACCTCCCTGAGCCCCATCTACTGCATTTTGCTGGCCCTGCCCCCGTGCGGGGCCTCTACCCTGTCCTCTCGGGCCCCGCGACCGCCGGCCTCGGGCTCGGCCCCGGGCTTGCTGCTGCTCCTGTCGTTCAACGAGCTCCCACCGCGAGGGGTCTCGGTGTCACGGGGCGAGGTCAGGGGAGACGCGTGGACAGGGTCAGGTTCTGGCTAATGACTGAGTTGTGCGATGAGGAGAGAGGAAGCTCTCGCAAGGGGACGCTAACGGAGAGGAGATCCTGCTGCTAGTGTGGGTCTAGGTCGCGTGGGCACGTGCTGCCTACGTGACCTAAGCAGGTCAGGCTTGGTGCCGTGACACTCGGGCCCGCGTGGCGGCCGAAGCTCGGCGGTAGTTATCTCCACGGGGTATCAAAGCGACGGGGATCTCCTCCTGACTGACTGTAGGCCTACCACGCCTTGTGATTCCTACTAGCGGCTCTTCGATCGCGGCCAAGGGGTCGTTAGCGGCGAGGCTCACCTCAAGGTGCCAGTGGGGATGGGTATCGAGGTAACTAAGCTCCTAGTTGCTACGTAGTTTACGCTCGATATCGTGGGAACAAGGGAGGCCAAACTGCTGGTGGAAAGCCCCGGTGCACTCAGGGGGTGGTTCCCTGTGCCTCTGGGAGGCAGTCTGTCCGAGGTCACTCTTGACCCTGCTGTGGCAGATCCTGTGTTGCTGCGCCACGAGGCCAAGTGCCTTGCGGCTAAGGCGGTAGCGTAGGTCTCCCATCCATCGACAGCTGCTGTACTGCCCGAGCTGGCGCGTGGCCTCCTCGCCCTTCTTGGCGTTATATGAAGCCTCTTGGTCCTTCACGAGTTGCTCGACGCGGCTGGCGAGAAACCGCAGTTCTGCCCTTGAATTCAGCAGGTACGACTTCACCTCCTTGTGACTGCCCTCTGTACGAGAGGTGACCCGAACGCCGAAGTTCCGATTTTGACGGGTGAAGCACTCGAGGAAGTGCTTCCTCCATGGGAAGTAGGTCGACAAGATGTAGGAAACAGCGGGTTCTTGATGCTCGGCGAACTGGTCGATCAGGTGCTGCCACGCCATCTGGAAGTCGTCAATCGTCGAGGCATATACGCAGGCCTTCCAGACAGACAGAAAGCCGGCAGGGGTATCTTCAGTATCTTGAATCGAAAGGGGAGGGCCGATGACAGGGGCCTCTGCGATTAGATCCCTGAAAGTAGGGTCCACGTGATTACCCTCTTCTTCCTGTTCTCGCAGGGCCTGCTGGCTGGGCTGTTGGCCGTCGGGCCAGTTCCATTTCCTCTTGACCTCGCTCTGTACGTTCTTGAACACGTGCCACAAACAGATCTGCTGGTTGACAGTCTTCTAGACGGTGGCCAGCGCATTCTTGAGGGCTTTCTCGAAGTCGGTAATTGCTACAGTAGGTAGCTGGGCGCCTACAGCGACGCGGAGCTTTTCGAGATGCTCGATCAACCAAGTGTAGGCTTCTTCATCCTCCTTGTTGACGATGGCGAAGGCGACATTGAAGGTGGTATGAAGATTGGTAACGCCCGTGACGTTGAGGAAAGGCATATCGAAGCGGTTGGTCTTGTACGTATTGTCGAGGCTGAGGACATCAGGGAATCGCTTCCAGGCCTTCTCGCACCATGGGTATGTCCAGTTCAAGGCCGTGACATGTCCGCTTAGCTGGCGGACAAAGTGCTTAATACCAGTGTCGGTGAAGTGCTTGATCAGAGCCTGGGTAGGGGTATAGCCACCAAGAGCCTCGGCCTTAGCCTGGCTCATCTCGTTCTCGATGTCGCGACGGTGCCACTCCTAGATAAGTAAAGTGGGAGGTTAGACAGATAAAGGTGTGAGAAAAGGGGTAGAAAACGGGGGGTCACCTGATCTGGGTAACGCTCTCGCATCAATGCGGCAACACCACGGGAGCCAGTAGCCGTGGTCTTGAAGATCTGGCGGATCTTATCCTTCTGGGCCTCGGTCCAGGTCCTTTTGCGGTGGCTAGGGTAGGCTACGGGGTCTTGAGCTTCGTGATTATGCTGGTTAACCATGACCTTGAAGATCCATCGATCGCCTGCAAGTACACGCTGAACTGCCTTCGCCCTCCACGGACAACTCGTCTTGATGATAGATGTGTCCCGCAGGCCGACACCTCGGGTCTCCTTTTTATTGGCCCCATGAACGCAACTCAGATCGTACCGCCTCGGCGCGCCGTTCTTGTAGTCGCTGCATCGCACCTTGACGATTGCGTATCCTTGTTCTTTGGCTGACGCGTTGACATGGGCGTAGAGTACATCGAAGGACTCAAATCCATCCGCAGGGACGGTAGGGGCCTCGAGAGGCATCTTGGTAGGCGGCAGGCAACAGAGTGGATTGCCGGCTCGTTGGATCGTGATATAATATGGGCCCTATAATATAGCCAATAAGGAGATGCAATAAATCTTTTTGGACACGATGTTGCAGTCGGTGGACGAGGTCAAATAAGAAGTTGGGCGGTTGTGCACAGCGTTAGAGACGGAGTATGGAATGAGTGGGCGGAGATTCTGCCCACCCGGGAGGGTGGCAGAATTTCGGCAGAATTTCCGGACCCCGTGCCACTAGGGATCGGGCCCCGTGCCACTAAACTTGCCCATTCATAAACCTGGAGGAACGCGTCGGCGCAGATAACCCATAGCGGCATCAGAATATCGTTGTGCGATCAGTTTTAGGATGGTTGACGAATGTTGGGAAAGCAAGCAAAAGCAGTTCTTTGGTCAACCTCAAAAGCTTGTCATACAGCCGCGCCTTCTTCCTTCCCGCTGTGGATCTCTTGCTTCTGGCCGGTTCCGGAGAGCTTGGTTCCTTTCTTTTCTTTGTCGGGGTCCTGCTGCTCGAAACGGGTTGAGCGTCCAATAATTCTTCTGTGTCCGAAGCATCGTTCGAGTCTTCACCATCTAGATCATTAATTAGGTGAGCAGTGGCTGTGGAAGGCGGTGATATATACCTGAAGCTCGTGCCTCGTACGTTCCTCCAGGTTAAGGAACCTTTCGGAACATAAATGTTCCTCCAGGCACTAGAGAGAACAAGAGGGAGCGTGCCGCTTCGCGACCCGCCAAAGGAAGCCTGGAGGAACGCACCGGCGCAGTTAGCCTATAGCATCAGAATGCCATAGCGGCGGCGGAATGCTGTTGTGTGATTATCCACTTGCTAGTGGGGGACCAGAGAGCCGGAGGTGTAATTATACAATTGTGGGTCAACCGAAACTTCGTGCAAGCTCGTATATCCGGTAGCCTCCCATTCGTGATGAACTAGCAGGTTGAAAGCGACTCCAGCCGACACAATCGCGTTTAAGGACGTACGGTCCGCGAACGTCTACACCGTGCTTGCACTTCGATAGGCTTCTCCTTTCGCCTCGGCGCGGGCGTCGGCTCTGGCGTGTGAAGCGCGTCTTCTTGGCCATCTTTCTCTCTTCTTTGACAGCGGGGCCGAATCGAACAGTCAACGCAAAAAAATGTGGGAAATCTTGGGGCGCTCGGACTCTAACTTACCTCGGCCCGCGCGCCGTAATCGGCTCCCTCTCACTCGGCGTCACCCGCGAGTTCCCCATCCGCCGCATCCTCCCGCAAGATAACCCATCACGGCAGCACCAACGACAACAACCCCGACCGCGCTGGGCAAATCGCGATTTATCTCCTGCGCAACTCACTCCTAGTGATGCACGCCGACATGCAAGAAGAATGGAAGCACAGCATCAACCCAGCCCAGGCCATCGACCCACACCCCGGTCGCAGGCAACCGGCGCGTCAACATCACCTACCGCCACTACCGCGACGGATTTCCAGCCGCGCAACACCCCGCGCTGCCCCTGGTGGCGTGCCCGCCGTAACTTGCGCGTCGAACTCAAGTGGGTGGTAAAAGAAAATGCCCAACTATTTACATTACTGGCCACCAGCACAGGCCACCCCCACCCCCTCTCCTTCTCCTTGCCCTTCCTCGTCCTTACGCTCCCGCTCCCCTTCCCAACCATTCCCACCTCCGACCCCTTACCCTTGCTTTCGCCATCCCTTGTCACATCCCCCATAGGGCCCGCAACACCCACCTACCATTTACCCTCAAGCCCGCGCCGTGTTCCCGTCTCCGGCCCCGTCCGGGAACCGACACTGGTACGGGGGGAGGAGGATTTTTGGCTGGTTTTGGGCTTAGTCCGCTGTCGTTTGGGTTCTTGGTGGCGCTCATCAATGGTATTTTGTCCGGGGGGGGGAGTGGCATGGGCTGAAGAGTCGGTGGAACGTTGGGAGGCCTGTTTGTTACGCTAGACGGGGTTGTCCTGGACCGTATAACTCGCCGCATCACGGCATGCGCGTTCTCAGGCCCCCAGCGCGAGGCAATGGCTCCGTATCCCCGCACTTGGAGTAGTAGTTGTCCGGGGATTCTTCCCCTTTCCCATCATGCACGCGCCACTCCCGCCGATACGACGTGAGGGTTCCTCCCTAATTTTAACGTCGGACGTAATGTTGTAGTATCCCATCACCAGGTTGCAGTCAGCCAGGTCAGGAGCGCAAAGAAGAGGGATTAATAATGTAATGGATTTGGCCGTATGAGCAATCTGGCGGCGAATGGTTGTGTGTGACTCTACATTTGTGCAAATCGCGAAAAAGGGGGGTTTTATCTAGGGGAAGAAACGCAACCAAGGTCCTGTAGCAACTCCCAAAGCCAGTCGCTTTTCCCGTACCTGGGGACCCGGAGCAGGCCTGCCTGGTGAAAAGAGGCTCTCTCCACCGGTAGGCACCACTAGGCAAGCGATGGGTTCCAGTTGTGTACTGCCATCTCTGAAGATCTCGTCCTATGAACCATGCGCCCGTCCGTCCCAAGAGCCATCGTCGGCCTGAACACCAAACGCGATGATTCCCCAGACGGAAAACAAACGAGAATCCCAAAGAACAGTGACCCAAGAAGGGTGTGATCCTGAATCCCTGGCCCTCCGACCCAGCTGCCGTCTAGGAGCTGGGTCTGAAGAGGGCCAAACCCAAACCCAAATGAGTGAGTCCTCCCCCCGCCGAATTAAATCCTCGGCCGGGATCTATGTCCCCGCCTCCAAACAAAACAGAAATTTCTCTCTCCCTCGCGGGCGGTTTTCACAACCCGCCCGCCACCACTCATCCCCCCTCCGGGCACGCCCCCGCCACCCGCTAACCCCCTCCGCTACCCATCTAGTAGCGCATCACCAACACGCCCGCCTTCAGAATATTCCTGATCCCGATGGCCATCCCCTGGTCATTCCTGACCGTGACCGCGGGCGTCGCGCAGAACCGCACGCGGGCGTGCTCGTTCTGCAGGGCCACGCCCACGGTCACCCCGCCCACCCCGCCGGCACCACCACCACCACCAGTCCCGCCGATGGGGACATAGTCCAGCGGCTCGTGGGCCTCGGTCGCGAAGCGGGTGCCGCCGTCGTTCCACACATACTGGAACGTCAGCCGCGACTGGAACAGCTTGGTTCGACAGCTCCCAGGCGCTGGTTGTGATGCCGAAAAGGTCGTAGAAGGCCTCGTTGGCGATGTTGGTTTGTGTGGGGGGCACCAGGGCCGGGCGGGCCGTCGGAGTGCTGTCGTGGGAGGTGGGAAGCGGCGCCGGGGTGGTCT